TCGGCCCTTTGATGATACCGCCGTGTCGTCTTCATTCTTTCGCACTATATACCGTTACAATTATTTCAATACAAATTTCGAATCTACGCATAACACGTTCTTTACGGTTGACCTTTTTTTTATTGGCTTATATAAACACATAAAATTTAACGGTTTTTTCTATTGAAAATGAAGCGTCTTGATCCCTCTAGAAACCCCAAGACGAACACTCTGTCGAGAATCCCACACACAGCAACAACTAGGCTCCACCAACTTCTTTCGAGGATCTCTCTCGATTAGCTAGCTCCGAATTTTAGCAGCTATAATCACTCGTGTTCGATTTATTTATTAACTCACTTGGTAATTCAACCTTTTATTTTCCTAATTTAAAAATTAGCATTACCGATTTCTTCGATTTGCCTACGTTTTTCCCAGTTTTTCACATTTGTTGAGAAAACTCTTGAAAAATCGAAAAATGACTTTCTTAAAGTACTTCCCCACGCTGTTTTCCTTTTAGAAAAGGTGCTACACTTAGAAATCCGAGCAAGTCTTCTCGTAGATAAATTGTCCATAAAAAAAAAAAATAAAAATAAAAATGTTTGTAAAACTATAATCTTCTTCGCTCCACTCAGAATCTAAAATTAAACTTAATTAAATTAATAATTAAAAGTAAAAATGTACCAGTACATTTTTACTACCGGTAAATATAATATAGAATAAAGGTAAAGAAAAAGTTTTAAAAATGCTGTTATTCATTATATCGAAAACCACTACAGATGTTTTTCATTTTTATGGTCACATAAAATATTATTCCGCAGTTAAAATTTCGATTTTCGATTTTTCTGTCCACTTACTTTTCATCAAAGAGAATAAATATTGCCTATGTTATTTTTACGTAGGTACACATTTTTAGGTAGTACTTAAAAATGGTAAATTACGAACACTTTAATTGATCTTTGCCTCTTTGAAGACTTTTGAACTTAACCTAACTTAACGTCTATAGCGCTTTGCAATATTGTAATGAAAAACATGAAATATTTACCCCCTCGATGAAAAGCAGACGGAAAAAATAAAAATCGAAATTTTAACTGCAGGATATTTTATGTGGTAATACGAATGAAAAATAGAACGGAAAACACTTCTGGGGTATCGTTTTCTGATGTTATAATAGATAACGAGAAATGTTTACTCCAATGATGCATTTTATGCTAAAATTTGTTAACTGAGTGACAAAAAGTTAGTAAATGTTTACTCCCTCCCCTGGTCATCCTTATCTGTCATATCAATTTATATACTTTAATAGGTTATAGTTTAAGATCTATGAAAAATACCTTTTAATAGATCATTATAAACTCTTTTATTGTAATTAAAGATAATACATAATTATATATTAAAAATCTAAATTGATTAGAAATTTCTTAAATTTTCTAATTCTATTAACTATTCTATTATTTATATATACAATTTAATTAATGTCTGAAAATAAATATAGGTAATATAAATACTATTTTATTATTTTTATAATACATTGTAATTTATAAATATTGTCAACATGTCAATAATGTTAACCTACTTACTTACTCATAATTTCTATTTCTAATAAATTGTGTTTAAAAAAAATATAGATAAATTATAGAAGATTATTTGTTAAATGTCATACATTTTAACACATACCTATTCTACCAGCATTACATTTTTCATTAAAGTACATGTTATACAAAACAGACATGAAAAAAATGTTCCTACAACACACAATTTCAAAGTTGACAACCCTATTTGTATGTATTTTATAACTTTGATTTTTAGAATCCCACGATTTTCATTATTGTCTCAATATTATGTACTAATCATTTGATACCTCCAATTATTATGACAATAATATTTCTGAAAGATATAATATCTTTAATTGTGTTTATAGCTTGTGGGTACGGCTATATTAAATAGGACGGTTACACCCTATGGCGAGGACCATCCGGTTTAACTGTTTATCAATAAAACGTACGTATATCACAGTGGCCTATATCTGCCCCTTACAGATAGTTGTTTTTGAATAACAGATAATTTGAATGTTTAGTTGCCTATATTATAAACACTAGGAGTAAATATTAATATATCAAATAGTTAATTACCTAGCATCATTGATTAAATACACATATTTAATCAATGCTAGCGTATAAGAAATCATTCGTTAATTTTATTCTAATATTTAAAACAATTACAATTTTCTGAATTTATAGTTTAATTAATATAGTCTATTATAAACATTATTTATCATAAAAATGTATATTATTTATATTAATTATTTTAAATTGTAATTTATTGATTGAATAGATATTTTATATTGTAAATAATATTATTTGTAATTCTTTATACTATTAGTTAATAATTAAATAAATTAACATAAGTTATTTTTTTTTCCAATTCAGTTAAAAATATAATTCATTTAAAGTTAGAAGAAAAATTAAAATGATAAAGAAATGTCCGATAAATGGGGATAAAACTTTTTAGCTTTATATAAACGTCCAAACATTTGAGAATATAAATCCTGAATAGTTTCAATTTATTTTACAAATTAGTACAATTTTCAATTAAGTTAATATTAACACGATTAACCGTACTTCATACAGAATAGTTGATAATTCGTGATGAATTATGAAAATTCGTGTGTATACATAATAGATATAAATTAAATTACTCTTTTTATCCTTATTTTTCTACTTCCCACAGTTTAACGACGATATACATTCTAAAGAACAACTGCAATGTATATATGTACTACCCTTTGGCATATACCTAGGTTGCCGTTAGTTAGAAAAGCTAAAAGTTCCCGGTTTCTAAAACAATAAACTATCTGTTCCATATTTTACAATTTTGAATGCATTTTTTGACCTAGTATATAATAGTTATGTATAGAAACACATAAATAATTTAAAAAATGTTAAATTCTAAATAGTTTAATAAGACATTTAAATTTCTGTAAGTACTTTTATTATTTTATTATATTAAAGATTCTGAGCATAGCGAGTTATAATAGCATAGTTTTACCATGATGAAAAACCGAAAAGAAAATTATAAGTAAAATTGCATAATAGTAGTAGAGTTATCGATTTCATTGTTTTAAATTTATATAGGTACACGACGTTTATTACCAGAAATATTGCTCGAATTATTAAATGACAAAAAATAGATTTTGTTCTATCTAATAACTTACCACTGACAGAGAGTCATTTTTGATACCTAAAGAATTTGCATAATAGTTTGGAAATACCAAAAGAAACGAAAATATGATTTTTTTTTTTCAAATTACGGCGCAACAATTTTAATTACTTGAAATTGTTAAGATTATATTTTCTTCTAAAAATATTTTTTCAAATCATAACAATAGTATATTTTATGAAAGAAAATGTTGCTTAGTTTTTGAGTAAGAAAGTCATTGCTTGATTTTCTGTATAGTTTTTCTTATAATAAATTACGAAAAACCGAAAAAAAACGTTAGAACTATAACAAATTGCGCAGCATTTGGGTTTTTTGTTGTTTTGCAGTTAAAAACTATTGTAGAAACCTATAGTTTTTACAAAGTACTCATTTTATTTTTAGATTAGAGTGAGATTTCTTATGGAATAATGGTTTACAAACAGAAAAAAAAATTTAAAAAGTTGTCCTACGATAATAGGGATGAGTGCAACCACTGTTATAGATAATTTAATTTATATCTGTGAGTAATGATAAACCATTGCTTACAAAAAAACGATTCTCAGCGGAGTTCAGTTTATAGTGATGCTTTGTCAATAATTATTATATAAATATGTTATTTTATAGTAAAATAATTAAATAGGCTAAATATATTTTCTTAAATAATATTTATTTATTGTTGCACCGATTTTACCGTTTTTCATGCGTTTTTCTAGGTTTTCCCATGTTTTATCTCAGTTTTCACATTTGCTGGGAAAACTCTTGGGAAAATCGAAAAATAAGCTCTCTAAAGCTCTCTTTCATTACCCTACTGAAATTCCCTTATAGAAACATTGCTATCATTAATAGTTGGAGCAAAATTGATGGTAGAAAGAAGTACACAGAAAAAAAGGCCAAAATATATTTTAACTAATACTTACATTTCTTAAATTTTCCCGGTTTTTTCGGTTTTTTAAACTTAATGAGAAAAATCTTGAAAATTCGAAAAATGACCTTTAATTACCTCCCCACGCTTATTTCTTTTCCGAAAAGGTGCTACACTTAGAAATCCGAGTAAGTCTTCTGGTAGAAAAGTTGTTGATAGATAAAAAAAAAAAAATAAACATCTTTGTAAAACCATAAGTTTCTTCGCTCTACTCAGAATCTAAAACATATGAAAAAACGTGAAACCAATACATTCTTCGTTAGATATGCTTAGAATCTAAACATTAATAATTTTCTATTTAAATTATTTCAACTACTAGGAAATAATTATAATTTATCTGCAACTTTATTTTAACAGTATCTAGTTTTTCCATCTAAATATTTGTTATTTAATTATAAAAACACTTCTTTAAAAAATTTAATTGACATTCAGTTATCTACAACACACCGACAGACGGTGCATTATTTCATATTGTGAATACCTTTAAATTATCATAGGAATTTGAAATAAAAAAAAACAAAAAAAAAATACGAGTATATAAGCACCTATACGAAATAATATTAAATAACTATACTTTATCTATAAATATCCATACGATTATCTACGTTTTGATAATGTTTATTAAAGTCCATTAGATGAAAGCCGAGTACCTACCTTATTTAAAAATAAATTTAAGTGTTCTATTTCGCTTGTCATAAAAAAAATGACGTATAACGATTCTGTGTAAGAATATTATAAGTAGATATAAATTAAACTATGTTACTATATTACGATCTAGATCTAATATTATTTTAAAAATTACAGTATTACAACCATTACTTGTTTTGGTCAGCAACACAGATATTTACACTTAGATAACTCTATTTATACGCATAAATATTAAATTACGTTATGCATGTATAGAGATTAGTATAATATTTTATGTATAGGTTTTTTACCATTCGACGAATGTGTACTTTTTAAACTTATATACGTACACAAAAATTCATAAAAACGTGTAGAGACGTGAAGTCGATCAACAACACTTCTTTTGTGACTGTCACTGCGGGTAGGTAGAGGTACTTACTGAAGTGTTTATTAATACAAAATTGAATAGATATTTTTTAATACGCGTACCTATTTAATAATCCATACATTTAATGTTAAGTTTGAAATTTCTCCATAAATATTTCATTAAATGTACATTTCGTAGATTTTGAAAAATTGTAATCACAGTTTTTGTTTCGAGTATTGAGTAAGTGTACCATCTATATTATAAACTATTATACTTATTTGATATTCCTTCTCGAATGGCTATTTCTGTTCTATACCTGTACATTATTTATATTAATTAATTGAAATTGTAATTAGTTCATTATATTGACATTTGACAATGTAAATAATGATATTTTACTTCTTATAACCATTAGGTAACAAATAAATAAGTTAATGTAAGTAACTTTGTTTTCTAGTTCAGTTTAAAATATAATACAGAAAGACGTACAATAATCAAAGTACAAAATTAATGTTGTATATTCAAATGAAAACTATTTTCAACTCAAGAAAGTAATATTTCAGTAAGTATAATAATTTAGGGTTTCTATATTATATTAAGTATTTAAACTTAAAACAAAATTATTGTGAGGGATTGTCGTAGAGAAATTATTTATTCGACACTCCAACTTAAAAATAATGTATGTATTATATTATTATACTAATAATATATTTATGTATTATATATGTATCAGTGCTTGACATAATAAATAATGGTGACCCGCCACTCAGCATACTGCTCAATGGTATTCCCAGGTGGCGGGTGTATTTCCAAAAAGGTATTTTAAAACTTTAGCATAACATAATATTTTCTGTTTATATTATTTTTATACTACTAGGGTAACCAAAAAAGTTAATTTTTTTACGTCATAATATCTTTGTATTTTATTTTTACGAGTATAAACAATACTATCGAATCCTATTTTAAGTAAAACAAAATTTCAGTTTTGGAACAACGATTTTAGGTGAATAACACAGTGTATATACATTTTATTTTTTTTACGGTTTGAATTATCGTTGAACAGAAAATAACATAAAAATTAATCATCAGAATCTAATAAGGAACAATTAATAAGATCCTATTTTTGATAGGGAGAAAAACTATATTGATCAAGTTATTAGCTACGAAACGTAGATATATTGATATTGCACGTAATATTGATAAAATCTAAATCAGAAATTACCCTTGAAATTTTTTATTTTTATTCAATCTTTTGTGTTTTGCGGATAGGCTAGACCTAACCACTTTGTCAATTTTGATTTTAATGATATCATCTAATGGACCTTATTTGTCTCTCATTATATTCTGATGATTAATCTTTATGACATTTTTTGTTCAACGACAATTTAAACTGTAAAAAAAAAAAAAAAAAATGCATATAAATTGAGTTATTGACCTAAAATCGTTGCTTATGAACTGGAATTATTTTTTTTCATAAAAGAAGATTCAATGGTATTGGTACGCCTGAATAAATTTATTATTTATTTAATAATTCATATATTATGATGAATAAAAATAATAATCGACAGTTGTAAATAATTAAACAATAAAAAAATAAAAATAATTAATAATACTTGATACAAATTAAAAAAAAAAAAAATAGCAATAAAATTAAAACTAAAGTACAATACAATAACTGGATTTATAAAATTTAGACTAGTGTTTTCCAATCTGGGGGCGTCAGAATATGCTTGTTTTATCAACATTTATATTTATTAAATTATTTTTATTTTGTAATGTAGGGGAAAAATTAAAAACGAATAATGACCGATTATCGGGTTAATTTTGTGTTGATGACTTGTTGTTAAGTTGTTTGTGGTTAAAAGGGGGTAGGCACGAGATTTTTAAAAATCTAGAAAGGGAGCGGTAAAATGAGGATAGGAAACACTGATTTAGTTATTGATAACATAACACAGTGGTATTTATAGCTTGAGATCAAACAGAAAACTTTTATTTGCCTTTTCTATACGTAGTAAAATGTTCAAACCATTTTAGTCGTTTTTGGACTATTTATAAACATTTTAATTTTGCGAGTTTTTTACGAAATTTTTATTAGGTAGGTACACTATGGATAAAATTATTAAACTCAAAAATGCTTTAAAATTTAACAGAAGCTTCATTATAAGTCATATTAAGTAGCCAAAATATATAAAAATTGAGTGTAATGCAGAATTTTTTTTTATAAGAATTTTAGGATCAAATGTTGACGTAAATCATAAATACTACAGCCTTTTAAAACATGTGTAACCGAACTCCACTCAAAATCGTTTTTAATTAGCAAAAGTTTATCGTTGCTTACAGGCAGGTGCGTGTAGAAGAGATGTTTTAGGGGTTCAATTCCCTCCTCGACATTTCATGAAAATTATGATTAGAGTAGATTTTTATTAATCTCAAAAGTGGTTTCCATCAATGAGAAAAATAAAAAAAATTTTGGTTTTATTTTTATTTTATTATTAAATAGTAGGTATATAATGTTATTGTTGTAATTTCTAATTTTTGTGATTTGCCTGCATTTAGAAAATTATAACTGATATGGCGATCTTGCATAGTCCGTATTATCATCACAATAATCTGATTTACACGTTATCATTTAGGCCATATTCACTAGAAAATTATTAAATGTACAATTTGATAATAGAAACCTGAAAATTTAAAAATAAATGTTATAAGATATTGACATTTTTAATGAAAAATAAATAATCATATAATATTAAAAATATGTAAACTTCTTTGTTACAAGAGTATGAAAGTGTACAAATTAAATCCCCCCCCTGGAATATATTTTTGTAAACGCACCTGCTTACAGGTATAAATTAAATTCCCCTCTATATCCTACCTTCTCAACTTCTCACCTACAACAGTGGCCCACCTATTATGCGAAGTATTTCGTCTTTTTTTAAAATCAATCACTTTTATTTTATATTAATTTGTATTATTATTTTTACTTAGTTTTCATAACACAATTTCAAAGTTAAACATTCATAAACTGATAGTTTAATATTTTAATGGATGTCCAGGACCTACTATATTTTATGTATTTCTTCTTTGAAAAAATAACACCATCACCTAAACAGATTATGATTATACAATGTATCCTTGGTATAATATCTTTGTAGGTATGTGTATTATATAAATGTAATATAAATGATAATATTTAAGTAATCGTGTAGTTATACTTGATAATGTTTTATTATAAATATAGGTATACGTAATCTATTTTATGTTGTAACAACGTGTTTAGATTAAATAAATTATCAACATCTAATAGTACCTATATAAACCCTAAAGAAAACAATTTATAATATCAGTTATCATTTTATAGAGCATCTAGACGATTCACAAAGCAGCATGGCCAATATGAAGATCTATTTAGCAATAATTGCAACATTTATCCTGAAAGTACGTACACACCCAAATTATTCTATTTTTAAATTGACATGTATTAATTTAATTATTTTAACAATAAATCTGTATACAAATATATATACATTATATCATTGGCCATTCCAGAAATTATTTATAGGCATAAATAGTGTTTGACACTTGAGAGAGGGGGTCTGATGATCTTTATTTTTGCTCTTATTCTCTTCTTTACTCTCATGATATATTATTCCAATGTATTATAGTTAAAGTATTAATTTCTGGAGGGATAAGCCCCCCAACCCCCCTATTTACGCCTATGAAGTTATAGTTTTTCATAAAACTTTTGCCTGTTTCAAAATATGTATTTTTCTGCCAATATCCTACCATTTTCTAGGCCTTTGCATAGTGATTAACAGCAATAATTGGCCCATTTAGAAATACTACTTTATAATAGGTAACAAAATTCATATTTTATATTAAATATTTATTTAATTGTAAGCTTACTTTATTGACTATGATTATACAACATAAATATTATAATCATATAGTACAAGTTTCAATATATTATTGAAATTTTTATATTTTACACAAAACTGCTTAACTAGAGTTAGTGGATATAATGTTGTACATATATATATATAATATGCATTTGATTATTTTTAAAAAGCCCGACAACCATTGATCTCCATATAAAGGGTCTAGAAAATAGCAAGCTATTTTCAGAAAAACCAAATTTAAAACTTAAGTTTTTCGCAACAACGAAATTATTTATTAAATTATATATTTGTATAGGTACATTTATTTTACTGTTACTATTTTATTACTAACCTCTAAAATAATTTTAGTTTTTTTTTTTTAATTATTGTACATCGACTTTGTGTGTTCTAGCATGGTGTCTATTCGTGTTCATTGCGAAGTCATACATTATCTCATAGTTTTTCCGATTCAATTGCTACTCCACACCATTCCTCGGTTCAAAAGCTTCATACAATACCATCTCCTTGCAGTAATCTAGCATCTGACTCAAGTTCTTCTTCATCAAATATTCTACCAAATCGTTCAAATGACATTGAACCAGTACCACCTTTAACGGTTCTACCGAATTCACCATATGTTTCCTCTTCTTCATCTAATAGTTATAACCAATCTCTTGTAAATATTTTAATAAAACTTTTGTCGTCTTCTTTAGAAAGTACTTCTATGTCGACCACTGAAGTAACATCTACGTTTTCAACGCCACATTTTGTCTCTAAGCCTTGGTCTTCGTCGTCCAGTCTGCCATATAGCCCAGTTCCAAGTTCTACTACAGTAAAAACAGTAAATCCTGGTCATGTTTCAAAACCAAATATCGTAACTAAACCTTGCGCTTCATCATCCAGTTCAAGCTTATCAAGTGATTTATCAAGGACGTCATGTGGTTTAATTTCACCTTCTACTATAAGCCTAGTTCCCTTACCAGCATCCTCTACATCGGCATCAGGTTTTAATTCAAACCTAGTGAACGTTTTACAAAAACTCTGTTCGTTAGTATCACAATCTACACCTGTATCTGCTTCTCATCCGCTGTGCAGTTCGCTTCTTACGCCAACATTAAATACAAATTTGAAACCCGTTACAGTTTCAAAACCAAAAACTATAACATCTTACCATAGTGCACCGTGTTCGGACTCAAGTTCTTTTTCATCGAATACACCAGGTCTTTCATCTGGTTCGCCATCTAAGGTTAAAGTTACCGAAACAGTTCCATTATCAACTTTTAAAGCAATTCAAAAGACAAATTTTGAAAATAATTCACCACGGGTTACATCACAGACAAAATCAGTTGCTCCACTAGTACCAGTACGAGCTCCACTATCTACTTTATCAACACTTTCAGAACACAACTCAGCAATTATAAATTATTTAATTAAGTTATTATTGTGCACTCACGCACCCATTATAGTTACGTCTTTTCCTTCTACACTAACTTTATCTAAACTATGCTCACTTATAAAACCTAAATTGAACATAACACCCGATTCAACTCTAAAGCCAGAAACTGTATCTTCAGTTATTTCTACAATACCACCCCATTCAAGTTCTGGTCCGTTTTCAAGTGTACAACCAAATTTTCTAAGAGGTTCATCTACTAAACTAACTTTGACTCCTGTCAAAGTAACGACTCCACTTATTCCAATATCAGTTCCAACGCCAACTTTTGGTATTTCTTCTGGTTATAATCCAGCTTTCATCAAACTCTTAATTAAACATCTGTTGTCTACTCCGTCTTCTCTAACACCTCATTTGCATCCATCATTTAAATTACCTCAGCCTATAATAAATACTACTCCATCGTCTCCTTCCATTTTAAATCCAATCCCAACGTCTACTTTTGACGGACCAGTATCTAATTTAAACCCAACTGTATCTAATATATTGTTAAATAAATCGTCCGTTTCAGCTCCATTTTCAACACAAGTCCCAACGACCATTCCAAAGAAATCATTAAGTTATAATCAAACTTTAATAAACTTATTGTTCAAAGTTTTGTCAACTGCTTCTAATGACAATAAAACACCTCTTACAGTACTTAACTCATCAACAAGTTCATTTTTTACGAATTTCTCAAATAGTATTCCAATATCCACGTTAGCCCCGAGTTCATTAACAAAATGTAATTCTTCCACATCATCATCATTTGAATCTTCTGTTAAATTATCAGATCTGTCACCTATTACAGCTGTAACTTTGCCTGGTGATCTATTACCGACAACCGTTACACCGTCACCGGTTTTAAACCCATTTGCAGAACAAATTCGTGATATAATTTCACCAAAATCATTTTTGCCACCTATTTCGTCGAGTCTATGTCACCGGAAACATTCACGATTATCAAAATTATCTAGTTCCTCATTATCTGGTATTAGTCCATGTATAAAAACTATTTTACGACCGTTAGCTCCACCTTTATCATCACTATGTTCAAAATCTACTTTTAAATTAAGTATTGGTTGTAAGCCCCCATGTTCAAACTAATCAATATGTTCAATACTAAAGATTAATATAGGTAGACAAAAATAACATTTATACAAATTATGAATAATGTCGGTTATTTTTTTTTTTTTTTATTAAAGCAATAAAATTTCGGCATCTACGGCCATTGGTTTGATAGTACCTTAAATTATTATAATTGATACATATTCTAATCCATTGCCTTAACTAAAGTAAAGTTCATATTATGTTAAAATAATTAGATATTTTTAAATACTTAATTGAATTATGAATATCTTATTCTTATTAGTATTATACAATTAGAAATTAAATAATATATCTACCTAATAAATTATAAACTTTAGTATTATTTTACATAGTTAAATAAGAATATTTGTTTATTTTTATTAATTTGTGTTATGTTTATCTAATAAAATCATACCGTGAATATAACACCTAAATAAAAAAATATAGAATTATTCGTTTATTTCGGTTATTTAAATTATTTTTGTTTATAGCAGCCAGTAGGTGAATATTTGTTATATTGTTATATGTTCCATGTACACACTTTATTAAGGAGTAAAATATAGGCAATTTTACTTACAAGTTATTTCGGTAATTTACTGGTTGTTTCAACGATGTGCGACTATGTAAGTACATATTAGTGTGAACACTACTCAACATTTGGTTCACAGGGAAAACTCATAAAGTTATCTTGATTACAAAATTATTTTTATTTGAAATATCTAACAAGACATTTTACAGGTCGTATTGTATTCTGATTCGATTCGATTAAACTTCAAAATAATACCAAAACAGTACATTTTTTGAAAATATCATAATACGGAAGTATTCTGAAGATAACTTACTTTATGTAAAGTAAATTCTAATATTTAAATTTTTAAAATCAAGGTACAGACTTACAATTTAATATTATGATATGTCACGAAATGGTTATAGATTGGTTATACTTACCGTCTATACCAGTATTGGATAAACCACCACTTATGTACAACAGTTGGTATACGCTATTTATAATATAATTTATAGCAAGAAATATAATATTGGTTTTACTATAATGTGTGTTTTAGATTTGAAGCGGGAGAAAGGATCTATTGGTTTTACTATGTCGAATTTTGCTCCGAATCATTTTTCATTAGCAATAGTTTATCGATCTTTACAGATATAAATTAAATAACTTTATGTACTCGACTTTTTCAACTTCTCACTTTCAACAATAGCACAGCTAAACTCAGTATCATCTCTTTTTTTTATTACGTAAAAAGTTAATACTTTCCACGATATCGTAATAATAATAAGTCTTTATTTTGAAAAAAAACACAATACATCATAATATAATATAAAGTTAAGCTGTAAAATCTAACCAAAAAGCAGAGCTTGTAAATGGCTGGGTTGAGTTCAGTATCTAGTTATGAAAAAGTAAAATAATATAAAATAATCAGAAACAAACAAAAAATAATAATAATATTAATAAAGGTAAATAAAATTACAAATTTACAAACTAACTGAAAATATTATTTTAAAATACATAAATTTAATAGTGTACATTAAATATAATATACATTTTTTTTTTTAAATACCATATAACTACTGAAGTTATTAATTTTAATATTGTATTTACATAATAAATTTAACTTTTTGAACCAAAGCCAGTAGTACAAAAATGAATACTTAGGTTACATTTTAGTTTTAACCTAGTACTACTATAATTATGTATTATAATATACTCATTCAGATTGAAATTACACAATATATTAACTAAATTACAACGTAATGATCATAATATGATTATTTATAATATATAAGATATTATCTTCGTGGGACACAATGTATACTGTTAGGCATATTTGATTATAAATGATAAAACATCACCATCAATTAAATGTGATAATAATCTAATATTAAGTTTCTGATTTTATTATTAAGTTCCGTCTTTTATAACTTTTAAACTTGCGTTTAATATAAAATAAGTTCTATCATATTAAATAATATAAATAACAAAATATATATATTAATTATTTATAACACAACATTTTGAAGAGATAGTAATTTTATTTTATTTTTATAGAAGGTACTTATAGTACATTCAATTATTTATTTAAATAATCATTTTATTCATACGCTGGAGAAACGATCTGTTGTACAATATACTACCCTGGTAGACATCCGTTCGGGTACGAGAAGGGTCGAAACTCACGAGGGGATACTCTTCACCGCTGTCCACAGGGAGGTCCTCGATTTATTAACGTTTTCCCTGCCTCGCGCACGGAGACAATGGCAGTTTTATAGTATCGTACATTCGGGAAAATGTATAGAACAATAAAATTTTGGTCGGGTACAGGCTTATGCAACTATAGATATAATAAGAAAATTACAATACATTTCCAGTGAATGGTTTCTCATTTATTTTATATACTATACATTATAATACCTACTATTTCAAAAAGACGAACATAATTCGCTCGTGGGTGGACCACTGTTGTAAGTGAGAAGTTGGGGAGGAAGGTAAAAGAGAATTGAATGTATATATTCTCTATGAAACGATAAACCATTATTAACGAAAAAACGATTCAGAGTAGAATTCGATTGATAGTGTTGCTTTGTTAACAATATATATATCATATATTATGAAAAAATAATTTTGGTGCAAGAAGGACCAATATTACATTTGGTTGAGAAATGGGTTCTAAAATTTTAATTTTCAATTTTTACGAAAACGTTTTTATTTTTATTGAAAAAAAAAAAAGAATATTTACAGTCTATGCTACAATGCATAATAAGTAAATTAGAGAATAAAAGATAATACAACAATAATTACACGAGGAGGGAGGCCATCCAGTGATAGAATCCAACATTATTTTAAACTTATTCAATTTTTATTTAGATTTTTTTTTTAATTGTACACTTTTTCTTTTTTATTACTAACTGATTTATTTAAAAAATTAACATTGGCTCTCTTGCATCAAGCCACAGAATTACATATGCACCATATATTTTCTTTGATAATATAAAATCTATTTTTCTGTTTTTCAAACGTTATTTCCTGGTTTACCATGTTTTTTCTCGACTTTATTAAAACCATCTCTCCAACCATTGATCTCTCTAAACTACCAACTCAGTCAGATTTCCTTACAGAAAAAGTGCTATCATCATAAATCGGAGCAAAATTACTGATAGAAAAGTTGTCTACAGAAAAAATAAACACTAGTTGGTACATTGAGGAGGTTATTTTTCGATTTTATAAGAGGTTTTTTGAAATAATTGGGAAAACCCCAAAAGAAAAGTATAAGTAAAACAAAAAATATTTACGACACGCCGCGGCGTCATCGTTTTCATTTTTTTCATTATGTTAACATGATGTTTTCTACCAATAATATTGCTCCAGTCTAAAAATAACACAAGATCGATTTTGTTCCTTATAATATTTCACCACTGATAAAAAAATTCGTTTTTATACATCTAAAGGAATTTTTATAATAATTGGAAAAACTAACAAATTAGAATTGATTAATATTTACGGCAATGTAGCGTCCCGGTTCATTATTTGAATTCTTTCAACTTATATTTTCTACTAGAAATATTACTCCAATAGATAAACGAGAAGAGACTTGTTTTGTTGAATTTTTAATTTAGTTTATGAGTTGGTTATTCGTTTTTTATTTTTTTCTGTAGTTTTATATATAATATTAGGAAAACACCGGAAAAAAAAAACCTAAAATTAAAACTGATAAAGTTACGGCAGTATGATTTCATTATTTAAAATGTTTACAGTTTATGTTTTCTACTATAAATATTGGTCCAATTAAAAAACACCGAGATATCATTTTTGTTGAATTTGTAATCTAGTTGATGAACAAGAAAGTCGTTTTTTGATTTTATTTTTATTTATTATTTTAATTTTGTTTTTTAATATAATTTAATTACCATGTACTATGTATAAAAAAACTCGCAAAATTAAAATGTCTAAAAATTGCTCAAAAGTTATTTAAATGTTCTAAACATTTTACCATATCTAAAAAAAGTAAATATAAGTTTTATGTAAATATTTTAAGTCTCTAAGAATATCGGTTCTTTAATGAACCGATTTTCACGTTTTTCCTTAGGTTTTTTTTCTCGGTTTGTCACATATGATACGAAAACTCCTGAGGAAATCGAAAAATGACCTCCCTAATGGTTACCGTCTTTGTCAGGTTTCCTTTCAGAAAAATCACTATTATTGTAAATCGGAGCAAAATTTATTGTAGAAATAAGAAGAGTTGTTCACAGGAAAAAAAAGGCCGAAATATTTTTAAACTAATACCTACATTACGTACGTAAATTTTCCCGGTTTTCCTCCATTTTACCCATTTGTTAATAAAAATCCTGGGAAAATCAAAAAAATGACCTTCCTGAAGTACCTTCTCAGTGAGATTTCCTTTTAAAAAAATTGCTATCATTATAAATTATTGTTGCAAGATTTCTGATAGTAAAAATAAAATAAACATCTTTGTAAAACCGTAAGCTTCTTCGCTCAACTCAGATATAAAAGTGGTTTATTCTTGGTTCAAATATAAATTAAATAACATTGTGTATTTTACTTTCCCAACTTTTTTTTCTTCCAATTCTTAGATTGGTTTAGTGATTTCGATGGGCAGATTCATAATTTCGGTATCCTAGAGAACAAAATAATAGGACTTATTTTAAAGCGCAGTTAAGCCTAATTTGTGTATTTGAATAACGAAGATGTAAATAATTCGATAATCAATTTTTGTGTACTTGATTTTATTAAATCTCGTGGTTATAATAATATCGTCAGACTGCATAAAAACTAAAATACACATAATATTACAAATACTAGTAATTAGTTTTGTAGTTATAGTGTGTTGTTGTATCACTAAACATGTTTATCCAACTAAACTTTGTACCCTGATGTATAAATCTTTAAATTACCGTCAATATTAATCGTATCATACTATAGAGTTGTTTTTATTTCATTAGATTTTGAGTTATTCGGGTCCAACGAGTTGCTCAATTATAGCTACAATTCTACAATCACCCATATCACTGACGTTCAACGGTCAATAAGTAAAATAAATACTCTAAAATTAATTAATCGTTAAAGATTACACATAGAAACTGAAAATGAACATCTTTTTAATCATTTCTTATTACATTCTTATATCATTAAACTCATTAACAAATCTGCTTTTCAAGATTGGGATCCAATATCAACAATACAGATATGGTTAAACCAAAATAAATGACATGTCACAGATACCTAAGAACAAAGAACAAAACATTATTTACTTATAATTTCGAATGAAGGTTTACATAATAAATATTATTTATCACTTATTAATATATATTATCCGTAAACTTGAACATTTTTGAAATACGAGTACTTAATATGTTGATAGCCATATATTTAGATATCGACTACGTCTATCATTGCATTCTACGCGCCCTAACTATTATTTTTAAATAATTGCGCGTATACTTCATCTAGATTAAATTGGAGACTCTACAAGGATATTTTATCATATCATATAACACAATATTATAAGCGTTTCAATGACAACCGTTATATTGTATCACTTTAATCCAACGTCGAATTTTTAATTAAAAATAGTATGGTATATTTATATTATATAAATAGTATATTATTTTATATAGTATAAGTATCTTTTTATTAGAACAAGTTTGGTACGTGTAGACATATAAAATTTATCGTTAATAGTAAGTCGATTTAATAATAAGTATGGTATTTTACCCATAATACACCTCTGAATATCGAATCTATATCATTAATAGTTTTGTTTTTTAAATGTTAAACAAAATTATTATTTAAAATTCACTAGAATTTAAGTTTTGTACGTTTTACACCATATACGATGTATTATGTAGCAGTTGTGAATTTTAAATGGTATTCGTTTAAACGTAGGTTGTATTACGTGGGTTTTTGCCAGCCCCCTCGCCCCAATTTGGAAATTGTCATTTTTTATTCATTCTAATATTGAGTATGTAATAACACACATTAAATATGTATTTGACAAATATATAATATAGCCAAATCTAACAAAAATGTCACACATTTTCGTTAAGTATGATTATTTTAACATAATCTAACTTAAAGAGAATTAATTAAGTTAAACTAGTTATAGTATAAATACATTCAAATAATTCTAATATTTATTTATTTATGTACCTCATTAAATTTAAATACTCAAAATAAAAAAATTTACAAATTATATAAAAATTAGATAATTTAAGAAGTCCAGGTGTATGGGAAAACAAATATAAAATAATAACTTATTAACCTATACATGTATCTATGTATATGCATTGCATTGCATATACAAATTTTTGTAATCATTATATGTGACTTAATTGGTTTATTTCAAGAAAATAATTTAAATAGATTATGTGGTTAAGTATTCATAAATACAACAGCTTGTAATCGACTTTTGTCTGGGAAGAGGGTAGTAAGAATTTCAGGATTGGTCATACTAATGTCTAATTGCAAAATAAATATTGGCGACTGTTGTCGATATTTTTTTGATTTTATGTATACTTATATATGGAGGAGGGGGCTGGCGAGACGTACGTCGTTGTATAAGAATATTTAAAATAATATAATAGATATTATAACCCGTTGTTATCGTTGAAAATGGAATGTATACGAAGTGTGAAATGTAATGAAACTGATAGCATAGCATGCTCTTTAGCAACGCTAATGGCTTTTCGTGTGAAAAGGTTTGTAGATAAACATCTAATGTGCCTTCAGGTATACATTTTTCTAACAAAGTATATTAAAAAGGTTCAAAATTAGAAATTGTATTTAAATTAATCAATATATACAGAGTGTTTCTGAAACTAGTTAGTTAATGGGTACTCTCGGTGAAATTGGGTGTAGACACTTTTTGTTTTTTCAAATCCAAAACCTATGTTTATCGAGATTCGAAAACCTGATTTTTTCCAAAATAAACACCGTTAAGTTTTGTAACAGCTATTTAATAACTGGATCAAGAGTATATGAAAAGCTCCCTACGGAAATAAAAAATTGTCAGCAATTTTCAATTTTAAGTTGTTAAGATGGTTGATGAAAAATGAACTAATGTTGTGAAATCATTTTATTAGTACTATACATTTTATTATCATGTACATTTTTATTTATTATTGTCAATTCTTTAATTATATTCTTCATTTTCATTTATTTTAATTATATATTATTTAAATTATTATTATTATTATTATTTTATCTTGTTTTATATTTAATTTAACTTTAATTATATTTTAGAGACTCGCGTCTATCAACACAAGAATTTTATCCTTAGTGATAGACGTTGCAGTGCAATACTAATATATTATGTTCCAATATTGTAAACATTATTACTGCTAAAATAAAAAAAAAACTATTTTCATTATTATTATCAAATTATCTTTATTGTAAAAATAAATAGGTACTCGAAAGATATTTTTTGCGAGGCCTTATACAAATCAATATAGTTATATAATATCACACTACTTGATTTTTACTCGAGTAATACGTATATCATATATATAACATAAACGATGTCACAAAAAACGATTCGTGTGGGAATTGTCAAGAAAATATATTAAGAAACATGATTTAAGCATTTGTTTTTAATGTTATTTATTCAATATTAATATCTTAAAAATAAATCGACAAAACACTTGTTTTGGTGATATAAAAAGAAAATTTTGAAAATATCGTCATTCCGACAGACCATCTAGCTGAGTACGCATTTAACATGAATGTCTATTTATAGTTACATTAATTTCGAAATACCCGTATATTAAATAATATGTTAAAAAACTAAAACAGATTCATGAATGCCTGATGGTTCTATAACCTACTTGTAGAAATATAATAGTTCTATAGTTCTTAAGAGTTCAATAATATTAGATATATTATTGAACTACGTTGGTGATACGGAAAAGACACATTAATAAAAAAGCTATCTTAGGATAATAGGAATGGGTGTAGCTATTGTTGTAGGTGGGAAGTTTAGAAAGTAGGATACAGAAGGGAATATAGAGTATTTAATGTATAGTTGTAGTACGTGTATAGCAAGAATTGTACCTATCAATAATTTTTAAACGAAACAAATAACATTACAGTAATAGTAAAAGTACCTATATCTATATGAACCATTTTCTATGCACTCCGATAATCGAAGAGGTTTTTTTTTGTTGGGTGTTTTATTCTTATTTAAAATACAATATTATATTTTTTCAACTGATTTTGCATATCTCATAATTGAGTTTTTCATTTGATTATAATTCATTTATATTTATGTTTTATATAGTTATTTACATAATAATGCCAATAATAGGTATTATATATTGTCATACTATAATAATGTACTTCGTAGTATAGGTAAGTTAACGAATTACATGCTGTCTGCTATACTCTGTTAATTTTATTATTATTGTTTATTAAATACAATACACACACTAATCTAACTGATGTTATATTTTGATTATTTAACTAAATATACATATTTACAAAAGGAAATAAAAATTATATATCTTAATGTAAAATTGTTATCTATATTTGTCTGATATAATATAAAATGTGCACATTTAGATTTTTTTTTTATAAACAAAATGTTATATAGTGCATAAATGAATTTGAAATGTTCTTAAAAATCTTATTTTGGTTCTTGTGTCATTTCTTCGCAGCCATATAGAGTCATAGAGATATCTATTTAGTTAAACTTGAAATAATTAGGCATATCATTTGAGTCATTTGACTCCAACGGTAGTAAACTAATGAGAGATAATATGAGACTAAAATCGACAAATACTGCGAGTCGTCTCATTGAAAAATAACAAGTGCTTATACTTACCAGCTGACCACCTAATATTATAAAAATGAAAATATATGATATCAATATCCCCGAAACGCTCTAAACTATTAAGATCATGAATAATATAGAAATTAATAAATGTATTATAATGCGATTGACATCACATATTGTAGATGGGCAAACAGATAAATATCATTATTTTCTCTATGTACATAGTATAATCTTTATAAACCTGATAATTAATATTGACATTTTATTTAGTAAACCAAACGAATTTGAATTATTATCAAATATTCATAACAAAATTGTTTGATTCCGGATATTTAATTAATTTTTTTTTTGTATAGATACATTAATATTATTACTATATACCTAATTATTTATACAAATATGATTTACTTAATATTACCACTAAGTATATTATGTAAAATGCAATGACAATACTATATAATATCATATTATACACAAATAATATTTCTAAAAACAAAATATTTGTACCATTATACTATTATGAATAGGTATTTAATCAATTTTTTAAATTAATATTATTTATTTTTAACTACCTTGAAAAGTATATAGGTTTTATTGTTTTATTAAATTAATAAGCGGGAAAAAAATATTAACTTATATTATGACATTTTGTTTATATAATGATTAATGATAATCCTTATTCGGTATTTGTACCTACCTACTTTTATACAGTGTTATTGAAAAAAAAAAAAAAGTTCTAGACACGGAATCAAATAGTACTATTTTGAAGAGGAGCTGCAAGTGACGTATTGATGATAGTGGTTGTAGAAACCAAGTCTGATTCGCTGTTTGGGTGTAGCGGTTCAACGACTATAGGTTCGAAGTTAGATACGGAAGTCGATGCAACAGGTGGACCAGATGACTCAGTGACGGAAGTAAATGCAACGATTCCAGGTGATGTAATAATTGGTTCTGGAATAGTGCTCGATACGGTATCAAGATACGTTTGCGATACAGTGACCGGCGTAAAGGTAGTAGTTGGAGCGGCGATAGGTGTAGTTGGAGTGGACAACAAATAAGGTCCTGAATTAGACAACAAAATCGAAAGTAACTGGTCTGCTTGACTTTGGTCAAATGTTGGATATGGATCGGATAGTGCTGAGGGTAAATTTGGTGCAGAATCATAGTGCAACGAATTTGGTGGTAGTGGAGGCGGTTCTGTGGATGTAATATGAGGTTTCAAAAATTGCGATAAAAGTAGGAAATCGTTGAGAAGTTGACTATCGACAGAAGTAGACACGGCCGGAGATTCAAGAATGGGGTCTAGTTTCGATGAATATGATAGAGAATCAATCGAAGTACCTGGAATTTTATTTATTGAATCGGAGCGATATTGTCCACGTGATGTTTTCCATGAAGTCAGCGTACGGTACGAAGACGGAGTCGAATCGTATACCGAAGAAGCGCCGGAAGTAATATGAATTGGCAACGAACACGAATGGGCACCGTCCTAGGGAAAATAATAATGCATGATGTATAATTAATCATTAGTAATATTACTATGAATTAAACAAAATTTCAATTTCATATCTTACCTTTGCCACCAATACAGAAAACAGTATTCCGATAATTTTCAAACCCGCCATGGTATACCGCTCAAGTTGTACTGTGTCGTATTAAATTGTATGTTTAGGGTTTATATAGGTATTTTACCTACTATTAAATATGTTGATAACATACATTTTATCGTAACACGTTATTACACACTACACATATCAAATAGATTATAATATTTAATTTATCTATAGGTATCAAATGGGTAGTAGAATATAATACCAACTATAAATGCACACATTTATATAATAGAATATTATATAAATTTATAATGGGTTGAACATACACGTATATTAATTATAGTTTATACCGTAAATCAGAGAATGAGTACATGTTCTTACAACATATTGTTTCCACTAAAAATATTGATCGACGTGTCGTTCGTTTCCGCCAAAAAAATTAATTTTCGTTTGCGACGCACACACACATACACACACACACACACACACACACACAAAATAAATATATTATTGTCAATTATAAATGGAGTACGACTTGGGTTTCTATGTGCACCCGAAATGGATTTGTTTTTTTCCTGTTATTTACCCAACGTGTTATTACAAAAATTAAAATGTTTGGAAATCGGGTTTAAACTTGCGATATCTCTGACAACAGATACGTACCACCACTAGAATACGACAGACATACTATAAAATTAACAGTATTGAATTATTTAACATAACACATATAATATCCACATAATATCAGAACTCGAATTCAAAAAGCTATAATTTCGAAACTAAGTCAGTCCGCTCAATTCTGAATTCACAATCGTTCTTATATTAGCAATATATATATTTTCAAAAAAATGAAAAATGTTCATGGATTTTCAATATTTTACTCAAACGATTTTCGTCAAAATCTGATATTAAAATTCCTTTATAAAAAAATAACTACATTGCTCAAATTTTTTTTTAACCACAAGTACGACTTTAATAAACTTCTTGTTAAATTTTCAATAATTTTTGTTCAGTCTAACAATTTTGTCTATAGAATACCTACCCAATAAAAATTACGCGTACAAAACTCACAAAATTAAAATATTTATTTTAAAGCTTAGAAATAGCTAACATTTTTGAAAATGTTTAGAAAAGGCTACAAATATAAGTTTTCTGTCCAAATTTTAAGTCTTTACAAATATTTTAAACTTAATTACAACACAAAACAAAATTGAAAACATTAAAAGCATTATTTTCGTAGAAAAAATAAAATTGAGTTTAATGCAGTATTTTTTTTTTTTTTTTATATAGGAATTTTAATATCAAATTTTGACGAAAATCGTTTAAAGTAAAAAATTATGTGGAACAAATCTAATCTTTAAATTTTTTTTTAACATGCGTATATTGCTGATATAAAAATGGTGGTGAAGTCAAAGTTGAGCGGACTGAAGTTTCGAAATTATACCTTTTTGAAGTTTTGATATCACGCGGATATTATATATGTTTTGTTAAATAACTAAATATTGTCATCTTCATAATGTGTGCCGTAGTTTCGTCCTAAGGTTTGCGAGTTTAAGCCCGTGTTTCAAGAAATAATGTTCGCACCTATTTTATTCCTTTTACTTAAACAGGAAAAAAACAAATGCATTTTAGGTATACATAGAGACCCAGCTATCGTTCGCTCGAACTATTTTAATTGATAAATACCCCTTGATTTATTGAATAAACTTTTCTACTAGAAATCTTGCTCTGAAGTATCAAGTATAGTTTATTTTCCGAAAAGAATTTTATCTCCGTGGTAATTTATCGATTTTCTCAGGAGTTTTATCAACAATATTGAAAAAAAAACTGAGGAAAAACGGTAAAATATAAGAAATGTAGATATTAGTCAAAAATATTACGGACTTCTTTTTTTCCCGTTGACAACTTGTCTACCAACAATTTTGCAAAAATAAATTTTGATGTTAACTTTTTCCGTCAAGCCGTTGATGAGATTTTTCACTTTTAAGTTTTAGTAGAAGAAGCACTTATAAACACAACACACCGTGCCACCACACAAATGATACTCTACTACTCTCCCCTTACCAAAACATAAAAGTGGAATATCTCGTTGACAGGTTAATGAAAATCAAAATTTATTTAAAGTAATGTTCCGTCTATTTATGGAATTTAAAATACCTAAGTTGGTATCACCACTGAATACTCCTTATATGGTGTGGAAAATCTAAGTATTCGAATATATCGGACTAACTACATATAAAAATTGCAAAAAAACAAAATTTTAATAAATGCAAAAATTAACAAAAAAAAAAAAAAATGGGTTGGGCACGGTTAGCCACGATGAATCATCCTGTATACATAAATCTATTTATGATAAAATATTTCTGACCATACTATAAATTACTAATACTTTCTATATGCAACGATAAATCATTGCTTATAAAAAACGATTCTGAGCAAATTTTAGATGATAGTGATGTTTTGCTAACATTATATATATATATATATGTAATATTATGGTAAAATAATTGAATAGGTATCCTATATTATCTTTAATAACATTTGTTTAATCTTGTACCGATTTTCTCAGCTTTCCTATATTTTTCCCATGTTTTATTCCGGTTTTTCATATATGCCTGGAAAACTCTTGAGAAAATCGAAAAATAACCTCCCTTAAGTACATTCCCAATCAAATTTCCTTTTAGAACCATTCTTTATCATAAATTAAAACTAAATTTCTGGTAGAAATGTTGTGCACAGAAAAAGAAATTGTAATATTATATTTTAAGTAATAGGAACCTACATTTATGATATTTTCCTGTTTTTAACGGTTTTTTTTTCTATTTTTTTAAATTTAATGAAAAAATTTGCCCCAGTCAAAAATTGACAAGAGATCGAATTGTTCCTTTGAATATCTAGAATACCTAGTCACAGACAGAAAAAGTCATTTTTCGATATCCATAGTAGTTTTCATAGTAATTTGGATAAACTGAAAAATAGACTCAACGATTTCAACGATTTTAAATGTTTAAGATAGTATGTTTCTACTAGAAATCTTTGCCCACATTTTAAGAATATCATATTTTTCGAAAGAAAAGAAATTTTGTCTATTTTTGTGAGTAAGAATGTCGTTATAATTTTTGTTTAGTTTTTCTAATAATTATGAAAAACCGGCAAATAACATTGAAAATACGACAAAATTTTTATATTAGTCTTTTGTAGATGTGGTAAAAATGTCGAAATATTCTAGCGCTTTTTATGCTATTTATCAGTGATAAATTTTAGTGTAAAAAAAATTATTAGAATAATGTTGTTCCGTAATAGTTAGGCAACTCAACATACAATCCCGTTGCGTTCAAAAAACGGGTTCTAATAATATCTGTTTGGTCACAACTCACAAGTCAGGCTTCAGTAGTACCGAGCAGTATTGAAACAAGCTATGTGAAATCAGGGGGGAGCGATAGCCGTAATATTTTTTTACTAATACATACATTTCGTACATTTTCTCATTTTTTTTTGCGATTTTATTTCAGTTTTTCCAATATATTGAGAAAACTACTTAGAAAATCCAAATGACCTTTCTATAGTACCACCCTAGTTTGATTTTCTTTCGGAAAAAGTGCTACAAGTTACACTTGTAAATCGAAGTTATATTTCTTCTATTAAAGTTGTTAATTGCAGATAAAAAAATAAGAAGTAAACATCAATGTAAAACCATAAAGTTCTTCACTTCACTCAGAATCAAAAAAAATTAATTATAACCATGTTCCTGATCATATTTTAATAATATTTTCTAGTCTAGATTGTTGTGTGTATACGAAAATATATAATGAATTTTTAAAAAAATAACCAGAAGATGACCAGTTGTATAAAGTTTTTATGCAGAGTGTGTAACAAATCGCTACCCGATGTGGAGCGATCGAACGTCTTTAGGACGTAAAAAAGTACGTCCATATTATATTATAATATACAAATAATAGACAAAATATATTCTGTTATAAATTGTAAAATAAACAGTGGCGTATTTAGAATTTTGTCTAAAAGAGTGCTGTATTAAAAATGAACATTGTGTCAATATTTTATATATCTAATGCCTTTTTTTAGCCTGGTTCCTACCAGGCTAAAAAAAAAATGATTAACTTTTTAGTTACACATTTTTGTGTAGGTAATTTATATTTCAGTATGTCTTAAAATATTCAATAAAACTACTATTTACGAAATAATTTCATCTCTTTTATACAGAATAGTGTTTCATTTTTAAAATCCCAAGATGTATTTACATTCCGGTTTTTTTTCACACTTTTTGATATATTAAGTTTACTAAAATATTAATTGTTAATTTTTCTGATAAATTTTCTTTCAGAAAATAAGCTACACTAGATACTTCGGAGCAAGATTTCTTGAAGAAAAGTTTGCACAACAAATCGAGGGGTATTTTGCGAATAAAATAGTCCGACCGAGCGATGGCTAGGTATGCTCAAAATCCATTTTTTCCCCCTTGTTTGGGTAAAAGGTAAAAAAATGCAAACAAATTTGTTCAAATCCCAGGTTTAAATTCGTGACTCCTGGACTGACAATAGGTATTTATAACCATTAGATCACGACAAACATTCTTTAAAAAGACAATTTAGAGTTTTTTAATGTAACATATAATATCTGCATAATATCAGAACTTCAAAATGGTCTATCGAAACGTATTCAGTCCGCTCAATTCTGACATTACCATCGTTTTTGAATCGGCAATATACATGTTCAAAAAAAAGAAATTGAAAAAAGGCGTCCTAGGATAGTGGACTCCTGAGAAAATTGAAAAACTACCTTTCTAAAGTACCTACTTAGTGAAATTTCCTTTTAGAAACATTGCTGTCATAAAAAATTGGAGCTAAATTGCTGGTTGAATATTTGTTAACAGAAAAAAAAAATAAACATCTTTGTAAAACCATAAGCTTCTTCGCTTTAATTAGAATTCAAAATTAGATTTGTTCCTCATAATTTTTACTAAAACGATTTTTGTTAAATTTAATATTTAAATTCCTTTATAGTAAAAAAAAACTACATTAAAGTTAATTTTTTTTTTGATCACAAAGTTAGACTTTTATGAACCTCCTATTAAATTTGCATGCATTACTGTTTAGTCTAACAATTTTACCACACAATACCTACTGAATGAAAACTACGTAAAAAACTCGCAAAATAAAATTTCTATATATAGCTCATAAGTCGCTTAAATTTACGAGTCACCACAAGCTCAGATACGAGTTATCAAAGTTTGGAAATTGGCTCACCTACTTCGTCCGATTTCGTCGAAACCCGTAGTTTTCCTGATGAATTGTTATTAATATAATAATAATTTATAAGTTTCCTTAAGAATATAAAATTCATTTTTTTACTATATCTTCATTTTTTCTTATGTGTTATTGAAATTTATTTCAGTGTTTTAGGTGGCATGCAACTAGTTCTAAAAGTACTAAGACGGTACTGGTATTAATTACTGAAATTTATCAGGATTTAGGCAATGATAATATTAGTAAAACAATCTCCCATCACCAATACTTCTACCAAATATGAAGCATACTTGACAGTTGAAGATACACTGATCAGTATTATGACTACTGTACCATAGTATAAACTAATCTCCGATAATAAAGGCCATTGAACTGCATTGTATCTATTATATTTTATATATATATACATATATATTTACATATCTTTGTCCAGTACTTTTGAAAACTTTTAGTGACTTTCTATTGACCAAATGCACATAAACTTGGGGGTTAGAGTTTTTTTTAGGTAGATTGAAGCGATCATTGTTGTTCGTAAAATTTACTAACTTTGTATACTGCTACAAACCACCTAAATAAAGGCAATAAAATATAATTTTGTATATGCTTTTTGTGGGTATCAAGGATATGTCTTTTGGTAGTTTCAATTTTCAATACTCAACATAACTATTTTTATTGTAGAAAAACTAGTTAAATGGTATTTTTTAAAAAAAATAATAAAAAAATGTCCTGGTAACCACATTATAATTGATCTACCAGAAACCTTGCTCCGATGTAACAAGTGTAGTATTTTTTCTGAAAGATAATTTTCTTTGTATGATACTTAAAAATTTAGAAAAATTGCGAAAAAACGAGAAAATGTACGATATATATATACTTTTAAATATAAATTAAATATGGTAACATATTTAGTATTTATTGACGGTTATCCTTATCTTGCATTGTGCTTAAAATACAATACAGACACCATTTAAGCGAACAGGGAAAATTTAAATGGTGTACATTTTATGTTAAATACAGCTATAATCTTGGTGTATACTATATAAAACAACTATTATTTTTTTATAAACATGTTTACACAATGGTACAGTGCAGTCATAACACTGATCAGTGTACCTTTAACTGTCAAGTACCTATGCTTCATATTTTTTTTATGTATATAGTAATTGACAACGGGAGATTGTTTTACTAATATTATCATTACCTAGATCTTGATGAATTTGTTCAATTAACATCAGCACCGTCTTAGTACTTTTAGAACTAGTTAAATGCTATCTAAAATGCTGAAATAAATTTCAATAACACATAAGAAAATAATGAAGACACAGTAAAAAAATAAATTTTATATTCTTGAAGAAACTTATAAATTATTAATAACAATCCATTAGGAAAACTACGGTGGTAATCACTGGGTTAACAATAGTTATCTTCCGTCGAAGAACGGATAGATAGATATCGTAGACTATGCATACCTTATCACTGTTTCAAGAGGGACGAGCAATTTAAGTAATTTAAGTAACTCTACACGGGGTGATCAATCTATTATATGATACTTATTATCTTGAAAAATGTTAACCTTTTTTGAAATTTATTTTATAGAATATTTAAGAAACAAGCAGCTCTATAATTTTACATTTGTGTTTTTGGCACCCATATTTTTAGTGGTAAAACCATTATCTACATTTGATTTTAAAATGATAACATATATTCGAAATTCAATAAATAGACGTAGTATTAGTTAAAATAAATTTTGGTGTTGACATTTTCGTATTCCATTAACGAGATATTCTACCTTCAAGTTTGGATCGGAGGAGAGTAGTGGTAGCATGGTGCAGTGCGTTTAATTAATGCACCACCACTCTCCCCTGACCAAAACTTAAAAGTGAAATATATCGTCAGCGGATTGATGGAAATCAAAAATGTCAACACCAAAATTTATTTTAACTAATACTCAGTCTATTTATGGAATTTTAAATATAGGTTATCGTTTGAAAATCAAAAGTGGGTAGTTTTACCACCAAAAATAACATAAATGTAAAATTGTAGAGCTGCTTGTTTAACTTAACAACTTAAAACTTAACAAAAGTTTTTACTTTTCGTAATTAATTAGTTTTTATGTATATTTGTGAAACTGTTTAACCTACTATGATAAATTTTATAAACTAGGTCCATTAGTCAAAGTATAATATATAAACTTTGAGTATTAAGTAAGTTCCGCTAGCAATTTGATAAGAAATCCCAGTTGTTTCCATTTCTGTACCTATGTTGCCTTGTTAAAAAATGTATATTTGTACAGAATTCAATAATCAAACAATTACTTAAACAAATTATTACAATAATAAATAATACAAGTCACAACTAAAATTTAACGAATCAAAATAATTTTAACAGAATTTGATGATTTTTAATGGATATTAAAATGTAATGTTAAAAATAATACTAAAAATTATTTTAAAAAAAATTAAAAAAATTTCTATTTATTAGTAAGAAAAATTACTAATAAATAATATAATATTAAAAAAATTATAGAATACATATGTAATTATTTTACAATAATATGACATACATACCTATATCAGGTCTATATTAAACCCTATAATTAAAGTCAAGAAAGGAACAGAGGCAAAATCTTTGAATTCTGAAATTAAATTTGTATTCAGCAAAAAACATGTAATAGTAGAAGAGATTAATAATTTAGAAACAATTTTATCTCAAAATTTAAACCACATACAAATTTCACACTTCAAAATCACATCCAACAAAAATGTCTAGGTACATAAGACAAATGAGAAATGGCGTAGGATAAATGATAAAATTAATATTTTAATAGCATAAAAAACACAGAAATTACAACTTAAAAACCAACATTCTTTTTAACTACGAGTTACTTAACTCGGTTAATTAAACATAACTTTCAATATAGCTGAAAATAATTTATTAAATAAAGGTAATAATTCAATACATATGAAACATTTAAATTTCAATCAATTAAAAACAATTAATATAATGTAAATCTGTTATAAATTATATGCAATTTCAATATTAAAATCAAACAAAATATAAATCAATGATTAGTGGCAATAAAAATTATAAAAATAAGCATGATAAAATATTAAAATAAAATAGTATAGTTAAATGGTAAAATACAATTATTAACAACATAGTAATTAAATACAAATAATTCAAAAATAGTTCTGTTAGATAAATCTAATGCTATTGTTATCATTTATACTAATGAAATTCATAAATAAAACTTTAGACTTTATAAATAATAATAATATTCAAAACCTAACATTAGACCCAACTATAATTAACACAAAACAAATTAATAAACTTATAACAAATTCAAAAGAAATCATACCTAAAGTCCAAAAGAAAATATTAAAATCTGATTACAAAATAAAAGCTCCAGACTTACATCCATTCATAAAATTATGTAAACAAGATAATACAATTCGTTCATTAATTAACTTTAAAACTGTTCCAGCTTATAATCTTTTTTAAATATTTACACTCTCTCATAAAAAAAAATTTAAACATGAATATTTATACTTCTATAAAAAACACTTTTGATTTTCTTGATAAAATTAATAAAATTAATATTATGCCAGGTTACAAAATTATTTCTCTTGACGTTAAAATGTATACAGGTCATTCCTAAACACGATACAGTAAATTCTTTATAAAATAAACTTATACATTGTAATAAATTACACAATATAATACATACGAAGTACTAGTAATTATTCAATCAATAAATGTAATTATTAATCAAAATTAATTCCAATATAATAATAAATTATATTCGCAAAAAGATGAATTAGTTATAGGTGGTTCTTTAAATGATCTTTTATCTGAAATTTACAAGCCAAATTATAAAACTAATAATATTATTAACAATAAAATATACAGTCCATATATAAAAGCATATTATAGATATGTTGATGACACGTTCATTTTATTTAAAGATTCAAATAGAGAAGCAGAAAATTTAGTTAACTACTTAAAAAATATTAATTTAATTTACACTCGAAATACAAATGAACAATACATTGAATTTCTTAGAGCTTACCGTTTCCATAAAAAACAACAAATTTGATTTTAGAAATTACAGGAAACCTACACAAACTGATTCCATAATACCACATAATTCTAATCACCCTCATTCTCATAAAATATCATTTTTTAACTCAATATTCGATAGGCTTGAATGTATTCCATTGAATAAACATAATTATCAATACAAGCTCAATATTATCTATAATATAGTTCATATAAATAATTCAATTTAAATATTATTAAAAAGATCAATAAACGTATTAAAGAAAAAATAATGCAAAATTTACCAAATAATGTAATTAACTATTGTAGTATGAAATACCAAAATAACATGTCTAACAAATATATATATATTTATATTCTAAAATCAATGGTCGGAATGTATGTCCACATATTATGATACCGACCATGGTCGGGCGTGTAGACACAGCGGTTTTTATTTTGTATGAAAAAAATAGTAGGCACTTAGGTAAATTATCAATTATCAATTTTACGAACAGCTGCTGCTGTTATCGGTGAATCCTTGAAATCACTATCATTTTTTTCTTTGAAAAAAAAAATAAATAATATTTACATTTTTTCGTCGTCCAAATCTTGTCGACGTATCCTTTACATTTTTGTTGTTCAATTAAAATAATATCTTAATTTTCTTCAACACTGCTTACACAGAATATTATTATGATATCCTGTGTAACCATGCTCAATACTCATTGCAAATGCCGCCAGAATAAAATTCAATAATCGTCGAATTACTGAAATCGTTCATCTAAATAAGCGGTAAGTTTTAATAATAATATTTCTTACCTACTTAGTACTTATACCCATATCGCAAGAAATAATTTTCGTTAAATTGACCACTTTTTAATAATAAACGGTACCTACACCTGTAATTGTAGGTACAATATATTTGTAATATGTATATTTTTTCTATACTCAAATGAATTACCGAATTACTCAATCATTTTTAAATTGATAATTTACCACTATAAAAAATAAAAACAAATCCAACATGTAGTGCATAAATTATTATTTTTCAGTATTGTGTCCATTAATAATTCGTCTTTATCCTGATGCTATGACCATTGTTTACCGTACTTACCTAAAACTTATTCAAATTTTGTTTTATATGTTTAAATTATTTTAAATTTTTATATTTTGTGTTCCTCTTTATTAATAACTTAATAGTCATTCATTTCCTGAACATTAATGGTGATTAAAAATATAATTAAGCGCTTTAGGTATTGCATTCAAATGTTGAGTTTTAAAAATATTGACCTATTTGATATTCATATCATCCAAACAATCAGTACATTTTGTCAATATTGGCTCAAACTTTTTTGGCCATTGGCTATACAACCCAGTTGTTTTTATTTTTTAGTTTTTATTTAGTGCTAGTTTAGTCAACCAGCAGGCAACACGGTTTAAACTTATTAGTCTTGTGGAATCAGCTTCAGAACTATCTACCCATTGTCTATTCACTATCTATGTTTAGTGTTGAAACTTACATAGTCTCATTGACTTTTACTAAGTACTAATTATATAGGTATGATGAATTTAATAACGCCATCTGGATACAAATTTTAAACTGAAATATCAGATAACATTAATACCAGTAATGTTTATTTACATTACCTAGGTATGGATTTTTTCATTAAGATATTGTACTTATTGTATTTAAACATACTGCATTATTATTATTAACACATAGTATGAAGACTGTTACAAATTGTTTGGCTTTTATATTAAAAGGAAATGATACTAATGACAGTTAAAACTTAAATTTAAATATTAAAACATACCTAGTTACCTAAATAATTATTGAAGTGAGAATTTGTTCTATATTTTTTTTAGAAACTTATAAAAAACTATCCATTTTATTCAAACAAATTTAAAATTAAAATTTAGGTATTAAATATTTTATTAATGAAATAATTTAAGTAGGTAGGTGCGTATACAAAATACCTACTTATTCAAAACAAACTTCCTATTTAAAATACTTAAAACTTTTACTTACCCTATCTTAATGGCAACTACATACCTATCTGTGAAAATGTGATCTTCAGGAGATCTAAAAAACTGATTGTTTTTCATTTTACATACATAATAGACATATACATGTCAATGCAGTATTGTATTATGAAGATAGTAGGTACATGAAAATATTATTGAATATATATTTACTATATTTGTTTTTTTGTTTATTGTTTTGTTTTATAAAACATTTATATAAAATAATATTAATATTTATTTCAATTGTATATTAACATATATTATTTTCATTATTATTAGTATAATTAATAAATTCACATAATTATTACTACATTGCCCTTATACATTACAATTAATTAGAACCGCATTGATGATCCACCAACTAACGAAGTGAAGACACTTTATTAGACCACAACTGAATTAAACATATTATTCTAGATGCTTGCTACCCCATGATTTTACTTAAAATGATGCCTATGCACTTATAAGCTTGTTAAACTATAAATACCATTTTCGAGTCCATAAGAAAAATTTTAAATATTCTATCCATGGATAGGTGAAGTCTTACTTATAATAAATTATATGTGTTTCAATTTCTAGAACACTCATAGATCGCTCAGTTTGCTCCAATAAACAAATGACAAGAGATCTTATTTATTAAATCTTGAATTTAGTTGGAGAATTGAGAAGGTCACTTTTGGATTTTTCGAGTAGTCTTGATAATAATTGTGAAAATTGGAAGCTATAAAGAATAACTGACAAATTTGCTGCAATAGTTTCATTATTTTCTATTTTTTAAATGTTATTTTTACCAGAAATCTTGGTCAAATTATTAAAAATAATATTTTTTTTTACTTAAGAAAATTGTGTCTATTTTCTGTGTAAAAAATCTGTTTATTAATCATTGAAAAACCATAAAAGTTTATAGAAATAACAATTTCATTATTTTAGTTTTGTTTTCTTGTTATACTGCTATTATAAGTACTCATAAAGAACTGAAATTTTCACACAATACTTGTAGTGTATTTTTATAGATTTATTAAAATTTTCAAAATATGATGACTGTTTTTAAGTTCTATATAGGGATTGGAATTTTCGAGTTTTTAAATTTTTATAGTAAATAGAAAGTAATACATATATGTTTAAAACTATAAATATAATTATATTATCTACAACATTTAAATTGCACTATATCCATTCTATATAATATGCAATAATTGTATGGGATGCCCAGGCATTATAATGAAATGCTCAAGTTGTATACTTTGCCTATAACCTAATTTACCTAAATATTATTATACCTAATTTATAACTTGATTAAATAGAATTTTTTTTAAAAAATAAATTTAGGTAATATATTTATAAAATAGGTAATTTTTATTACCTGTTTTGATGTATTATTATTATTTTTTTTTGAAATTGTATTGTTTCATAAATAAATAAATACTTACTAACAACTGTAATACCCATGAATTAGTAATCAGTGATTATTATAGACCTCTGTTTATTATGAATAGGTACCTATAATTTATAATAACAAATAATTGATTACACTTAATATCAATATTCTACTAACTTTTAATAATAATTATTTGATTACATTTATATTTTCCAAACAGTTCCTAAACTTTTATTAAACATTAACTTTAAAAAATAAAATATCTAATCACTTATAAAAATACTGTTGTTATAGAATATTTCGAGCTTAAAAATATATTATTATAAAGTTTTAATAGGTTTATTATTCATTATTCACTTAAAATAAAATATGCAGATAAATGCATATGTTAAAACTATTATGTGTTATCTACTTCTATTTCAAATTTACCACATGTAAATTAATATAATTTTTTTAAATTTTTTTTTCTAATTTCTTAAAAATAATGTATATTAAAAAAATATTGTTGTATTGGAAGCTGTTATTGATATTTTAATTTGTATAACAATTTTGAGTAATTTTATGAAAAACTTATAAGTGTAGGTATCCTATAAGTAATTCATATCATACAAAATAAAGAATACCATAATTATTTCTTTTTTTTCTGATTTCGTTTGATTCTGATGATTAAAAATATTTTAAATATATAAAGTTCCATTTGATACCTATACCTATGACGTTATTACTCTTGAAAGTGATTCCTATAAACATAACCTCGTGTTGAGTAACATATTAACCCCTCCTATAGTAGTAGTTCGTTCTCCCAACTGTTAACTGTATAGTTGTTATTCCCCTCTCATTCACTTCAATGGAACACGCATGGTGGACCAGCCACAGTCATCTTGCCAGTGAAGAGAGACTAACTTGATCTCATATTTATTTTATTTTCTTAATGGCGTGCATGTTTTCCTGTTTGGCCTAAATAAATTATTATTATTTTTATTCACAATACATTTTTACTTAAATAAAATATTATGTATTAAATTAATTTATTAAAATTTATTACATATAATTTTTAAATGATATTATACTATATTTTAGTGTTTATTGTGAATTATTGTGTAGATTCTTAGAGAAAAATGAAATCTAAAAGAAACTAAGTCATATTAGTTTTTTTTTTCTTAAGTGATTTTTTTCAATCAATAAAGTCCGAATATGAAAACCACCAATATTAATAAAGAGGTGAGACAAAAAAATATAAACAATTATAATACTGTATTTCGGTTTAAGCATATATGCAGTGGGTATCTCTTATAAATACATGAGGTATTTAAAAAAAATACACATTTATATTGGGTATTTTAATATAATTATATATATATAATTATACAAACAATTTCTATTAAATGGTATAATTTTTAGGGAATTTATGAGTTTGTTTAGTTGCCTATGATATTTACAGTTTTGGGCAACTTTATTATAATGATTTATTATAATTTTACATAAAATCATTGTAACAAATTTATCATTAGAGATACCTAGTCAATTTACCCTAGATAGTATTTTATTCAATAATACAGATAATAGACTGTACAAAATGATACTAAGAAAAAATTATGAAAAAAATCATATAGGAGGTGAAGGTACCTACACCACCTTACCTAGTTAAGCGAAGTAATACTAGACAAAATACTCCTTCTCCTATGTCCTTTTTTTAAATTTTGTGAATCTTTTCTCACCTGTTAGTTATCTGTTAACTATGGTGGTTTTATGGTGGAAGGAATTCCAGGGGTCTGGATCATCCCAGATCCCAAGTTTAGACTACTAAAAGTAGATTTTGTGTTATAATTTTTAAATTAAACTTAAACTTTGTTGTTGATTAAAACATAGGTATAATCATGTAGATAAGTAAACAAATATTAAGTTAATTAAAATAAATTAATAAATATTGGGTAAATATTTTTTTGGTTGATTAAAATATACATTGTAAATTAATATCAAAGAACCCTTCCTCCATGAAAAAAGTTAAAACACTGCCTCTATTTTTATTGAAATTTAGTTGGTTATTTTGCTGTTGGTGAATTAAAAAAAAAAAAATTCCTTGCTTTACTTTGAATCTAAAACAATTATTTAAAATAATATCTAAAATTGTTGATTTAAGTCATATCAACCAAATATATTATCTTCCTATTCTATTACTATAGCCTATAACATTTATAATGGTTTGTAAAATATTAAAGAATTCAAATTTAGTAACTTAGTTCTTTATTATTGATATTTATAAATAATTAATTAATGACTTATAATATTAATTATATACTTATTTTATCAATAGTAGAAAATAATATTTTAATATTTATTTGTTCTTGGTAGAGATGATTTATTTTGTATCTAGAGCCATAGGCGTGTCTTCGATGGCAGCCTGGGCTGCCCCAACAATTTTTAAAAAATTGCTAGTAAAACTGGTCAACCAAATTTTATGTCTAGTGGCTTACAACTTTAATTAAAAAAAAAAAATTTCTTATGCATTGGATAATATTTCTGTACTTAAATTTAAAGGCACTGAAAATATTGTTCATTATTATGTGTAAAAAGATAATACAGACTTTTTTAAATTATATAAATATTTATTGTGGGGACCTCTCCCCATCCTATTTAAAAGGTATTTAAGTGGCACCGGTCATTAGCTAGGCTGTCACTGCAGATGAAGTCTAGTCACCTCTATGCCTAGAACTATACAATTAATAATAATTATTGCTATCAATATGATTCTGGGCTATTGTCCACAGCAGCTTATTATTTTACATTAGTATAATAATTGTTTTTCAATTAATATATTTTTGTTAAACATCTTTGTGAAAAATGGTTTTACAAGTATTTATTATAAATATAATTAATAATTACTTACTTGTTTCTATACATTTAAGGTAATATTTATAGTACTACACAGTACACATTTACAGTAAATATGCTAAATTGATTTATTTATTAATAAAAATACTTTAGATAGGTGATAGATAAAAAATTGTCTATCTATGACCCTTCTCTATTCCTTTGGTCTAAACTTTAAACTGTTATAACTCATAAACGGTAAATCTGAAATTAGTGTTATGTATACCAAAATTTTTAGAAAAATATTTTCTATTCAAATTTGTGTTCAAAAGAGGGGGGAATTCCTATTTGAAAATCAAAAGTATGCACTTATTTAAGGTATATGGAGTAGAGTAAAAAATTAAAAATGGTTTAAAAATAAAGCTTAAATGATTCCATAATAATTGGAAAAAAGAAATTAAATTCATTTAAAATTCTCTGAGATAATTGCTGGTTCGTGATAAAAAAAAAAAATCACCTTGTACTATAATAATAAAATATATAAAAGCTGATTTGCATTAGTTAAAATTATCTACTACTTAATCTAACTTAATATGTTAAGACTTGGTCCCAGCAAACAACGTACAGGTAAAATTATGAGTATTAACCATTTAATAATTTCGTTTTTACTTTATTATTTTATTAAAATAATACTTATAATAATAATAATAATAACAATAAAAAAACATAATCAAAATCATACTAATCTAGATATAAAGTGTTGCTATTGGGTGGCTACTTTCTTTTCATGTGTCTCCAGCTATAATTTATTAACACAAACAAGCTTATTGTAATTACTGATTTATAGATTGTTTATTTTGAAATATACTTATAAAAAAAAGTGTACAAACAAAATTATATACATGTGAAGTTTTTTTGAGAAAGAAATATTTGTTTACAAGACAACGAATATGTTTTAAATTGTTTCTTTCTTATAAGTTTTTAAATTTTAGAGCATAATTCAATTACCTTCTATACAACACGAAACGATACAATTAACAACAATTAACTTAAGTATATTTAAAATACAGTAAATACCTAGTGGTAATTTAGATTTAATAACAAGAAATAAATATTGCAGATTATAATCATTTAATGAAATAATACTGCTTATTCAGCTAATTTAAAACTGATAGGTACCTGTCTTAAAACTGTGTTTTGTTATTAAATTTTGTCTAGATAAATTTTCAAAATATTACGTTTCGTCGTTTAAAACTAATTAATAGGTACATTTTAGAAATTACATAGTGATAGTAGTAACTAGGTAAGTTTTGGCCTATTAGATATTAGTCTAGGGCCATTGGTGGCGCAAACAATTTTAACTCGTGGGACAGTATAATTTTTTTCAACCATATCCTACCTCTGAAATGGATTATTAGTTCGTCCATACAAAAGTCATCCAAAATCTGGTGGCAACTGGAAAAATGATAACCATTCAGTTTAAAAGATGCCAACCATCCATCACCAAATTTTTGTCTGGGACGGTTATCCCAAAAAATCTCTGTTGTGCCGCCACTTTTCTGGGCTCATAACTACACATATTTCTAAAGATTATTATAAGTGCTTAAATATACACTAAAAATGATAAAATATCCAAAAAATAATAGCAATAATGAAACCGGAATATTTAGAACTATAAAAATAAAATACTAATGCATGTGATACAATTCTAGAAGTTTCTGTATCAATATGATTACTGAGTTGCAGCGAATGCTAATAGAAACAAATTAAAAAAACATTTAAATATTCAAGGCTGTTTAAATTATTTTTGTTATTAAGAATATTTTAAAGTTTGCGGTGTTGAAATATCAGTAAACACAAAAAAAAAAAATAATAACACCTAAAATTCGAAATATTATGCAACATAAACTTTTGTATACATAGATTCCTAATTTCCTGAAACTAATTTGTATCTCATATAAGTATCTTAAAGATTAAAACAAAAAATATGAAAATTCTTAAAGTTATGAGCCCGGGTCATATTCTATAAAATATATTAAAATATCTATGGGTAGTGATTTTATAAATCAAATTAACCTTGTATAATGAAAAAAAAAAAAAACAAATACCTAGGTACCTACCTATAAGAAACAGCAACATTCTATAAGACATGTGGAGTTCCTGGTTTCTATAAATAATTTATCAGTTTAAAATAAAATGTATAATTAATACATTAAATTGCCTAATCAAATTAAATATGTGTCCAAATTGGCAATAATTAAAACAATAAACTTGCATCTATCCGAAACAGCATGTAATACTACCTGCTGCAGTACGAAACAATAATGTACGATTGATTATTGTAATGCCAACAAAACAATATAATATTAAAGACAATGAAATAACTCAAGGGTCTAAGTTAAAAATTGTCGTTAAACAAAATATTATTTATTAGTTATTATAAGCAATAAAATATTAATAATGGTCTCGAAAAACTGTTAGGTATTTCGAATTTTGTGTAAAAATGACACCTAATTGATTCTTATTAAAAATCATTGGCATTTTAGATTCTAAGCCTAGCGAAGATTGTATTAGTTTTATAATGTTTTTTTAATTTTTTTTTAATTTTGTGAACAATTTTTCTATCAGAAAATGTATTCTGATTTTCAAGTGTAGTAACATTTATTAAAAGAAATTTTATCTAGGTGGTACTTAAAAAATACCATTCTTTAATTTTCCAAGTGGTTTTCATAATACTTAGAAAAAAAGGAAAACTAACGAAATGTATTATTTACAATTTTATTTTTAGTTGTGATTCAGTTTAAAATATTTGTAAAGACTTGAAATTTGGATAAAAACCTATATTTGTCTTTTCTAGATGTGGTAGAATTTTAAAAATATTTCAGTCATTTTTGAGTTACTAATTTATAAATATTTTAATTTTACGAGGTTATACGTGATTTTTATTCGTTAGATACTCTGTTTAATAAAATTGTTAGACTAAACAAACATGATTGACAATTTGTTTGATATAAGTCATACTTTTTAGACAAAAAAAAAATTGAGTGTAATGTACAATTTTTTTTTTTTATATTTTAATATTAAATGACAAAAATCGTAAATATTACGGCCTTTCAGAATATGTATAACTAAATTCGGCTCAGAATTGTTTTTTCATTAACAATGATTCGTTGCATACAGATATACATTAAAGTTCCCTCTATATCCTATACACTCCCAACTTTTCACTTATAACAGTGATCAACCTATCATGCGAAGTATGCCCGTGTTCTTTTCATAATTATTCCTTAATACCTTTGTAATAATATTTCTTTATGAAAATGTAGATTTTTTTTTTTTTATTGTACCAAGCTACAAATAAATCACTAAATGATTGTATACAATAAATTACTTTTAATAATTATTGTATTTTACATTCAAAACGTTTGAGTTCGTCTTGTAAATCAGACACTAGGTACTTAATAATATATACATATTATAATATATAATATATTAAAATTTATCGTATATATATTATCAAGTTATATTTTATATCATCATATGCAATGTTTCTCATGCAAAGTTTTTTTTGTTTATAATTTGAATTCATGTTCTATTTTTAGCTTACTATATATCTACGATAGAAGTATATATTTCTAAAAATGTCTGTTTATTTAGATATTCGGTGTATGTGCAATTATAACTATAACGAATATAAGATACTACATAAACTATTATGACTGTGAATTAATATACCAGTCCAAATGTACTCGATTGAAATTGTATTTAAAATATACCTATGTATTATATTTTTTCTATATGAGGAAGAGCCAAAAACAAATTTGTACAAAGTTACACAATTTAAGATTTTATTTTAACTACCTAAATAAATACTATATTATAATATGTATAATGCATATGTTTATAAATTATATTATTAAATATGCGAACAGAGCAATGTTATTTTTTACTTTAAAATACCAGCTATAAACCTATAAGTTTCATTAGATCTGTATTGATATATTATGTGTGTACCTCATAGGCAAGGGGCGATGTTGAGAAATTAGGATTATTTGAGAGGAAAATATATGGGCTTGTGTTCAAAAATTCCGAAGAAAAATGAGTAATCAGACTTAACGTCCCTGTAACCATACAAAATGTATAATAGATAGAGAATATGATTCAGTTCATCAGAGGAACAAGACTAGAATAATAGGCTGGTATTGTTTTCTAGGTTAATGAAAGTCTCATGGAAATTGTAATATTGGGTACGAAAGTGATAGGAAAAGGTCGGGGTGGGGGGGAGTTGAGAGGAATATGGAAGGACAGCGTTGAGTTGTTAGAAGAAGTGGAAAGTGAATCAACATAATGATGTAGTTGAATGGATACAAAATCTGGACATAGATTTATAGTTCCATATAATTCATCACTAGGCTGTATAGTATCTATGTATAGATTCTGCTAGTTCTTAATTGTCTTATTATTATTTACTTATTTTTTTTTTTCTAATAGTTATTCTATTTTGTACTATTTAGTATTTATTAATATTTATGTCATGTTGAATTTTAAATTCAGAGTGTAGCGAAGAATATATTAGATATTAGTTTTACAATGATTATTTTTTATTTTTATATTGTGACAAAAATGTCTAAAAGAAATTTTGTTTTGATATATAAGTGTAACACCTTTTCTTAAAGGTCTGCCCATCATATCCATCATGTCCGTCCCTTTATTTTTTTTTGTATTTATTTTATTCTAAAATTTATTTTGTTTGTAATTTGTGTATATTATGTTTTTCTAATTAAAAATTCATACGAAATATATATAAATACATATATAGGGTGATTCATTAAGCATGCTAACCAAATTTTTGTAGTAAATTATGCATAGATTCAAATTCTGATTTTTGAAATAATATATTTTTATACTTGGATTTTTCACAACATTTAAGGATTATCCTGTTGGCAATACCAACTTTGATTTTTCAAATGAGAACCTAAATTCAAAATTTCATAAATAGATAGAGTAGTAGATAAAACAAATTTTGGTGTTGACATTTTTGATTTCCGTCAACTCATCCATGAGATATTCCATTTTTAAGTTTAGGCAAGTGGAGAGTAGTGTTGCTGCATTATTCAAATACCAGACACTGTGCTGGTAAGTATGAAAATATCGCCTTGAACGACACCTAAAAATTTCTAAAATCGTAATTTGATAATATATATAATTTACTTTTAAAAATGGGTTGTGCATAATTAATGAATCGCTTTGTATATTAGCTGTCCTGCATGATTTTACGCGTATTAGTATTGACCAAAACAAAAAAAAAGGGGGTTCTCTGTGACTCCTTGTTTTCATTCCTATCATTGCAGATAACCGTTGTTGCCCATACATTTTTTAAAAATTTTCTTAAATTTTCTTTACATCCTTTAGAGGTTCATTTTTTAATTAATCCTTTCCTATACCTATCACAATTAAATTGTTGCTCGATAATTGTTTTTTTTATGAGTCCTGTTTTGCTCGTGACATCCAAATTAAATAATAATAATTGTTTTTTTTCTTACCCATGTCAATCCGTAATTCAACAAAAATAATTAGGTTTTCGCTCCAATATTACCAAAAACCCCGTATAAGGGGCCCTTTTTTTAGGGTTAAGTTAATACGTGCACAACAAATGGAATAATATCATTTACAACATTTTGACATGAACTTATTCTTTGACAAATAATAAATAAAATAGGTATATAATTTACTTACATTACATAACGAATCGCACATTAGTGTGAAAACTACGTAATTTTACTATTTTAGCCTTGCAATGTGTGTTAAACAATAGTTAATATTTATACAAATATAATATTACGTTATTCACAAAAGGTGTGAGTCTCGTATAGGCCTGCATTGTATCATAAATTGTATTTTATTTACTTATGGGCTATAGCCAACAAATGTAATAAAAATAACCACATTTAACACGTTTAATGTATTATATTTATACATTTTATAGTATAAATCATTTATTTATAATTTAATTCATACCTTTCACGTCAATAGAATTTTAGATTCTGAGTGAAGCAAAGAAGCTTATGGTTTTACAAAGATGTTTTTTTGTGCGCAATTTTTCTACCAGAATAATTGCTCAGATTTTTAAGTGTAGCATTTTTTCTGAAAGGAAATCAGTGTAGGGAGGTACTTCAGAGAGGTCATTTTTTGATTTTCTCAGTTTTCCCAGAAAATGTGAAAAACCGGGATGAAATATGGGAAAATCAGTATAACATTAAACAAATAATATTAAAGAAAATATATGAAGCCTATTTAATTATTTTACTATAATAGTCATGTATGTACTCGTATATTATTACAAAGCATCACTATCAACTGAACTCCGCGCAGAATCGTTTTTCGTAAACATTGGTTTATTATTGCTTACACGTGTATATTAAATTATCTATAACAGTAGCTGCACCTATCCTCATTTTTTTTAAAAATTTTATCAGTAAAATTAATCAGAATAATTACCTTTTTAAAAAAATCTGTGGCTAATAATACAAAAAATAAATTTAATTCCGAGAATAATAATAGTGTTTTTAATACTCGTATCTATAATGATTTCAGGTATAATTAATTTTAGTTGTTAATTACTATTTATTATATTACATTATTTCAACATTACTTTAATATACCCATATGTGTTTATAAAACCAATCGTTACAATAAATATTGTTACCTAATCAAATTAATATGTTATGAAAACGACAAATACACGTAATAATATTCACGGTCTGCATGTGTAGGAAACATTATAATACTGTAATATATACATCGAAATATAAATGAAAAAAATAATTGAATTAATATCAATTGTATGCAACAATTAATTATAATATATGTATTACGTAGACAAAAAACAAAAACATTGTATATTCTATCTTATATATAAAATTTTCGTGTCACGTGTTTGTAGTCGCACTCCTCCGAAACGGCATGACCGATTTTAATGAAACTTTTTTTATGAGAATAGGTCGTAAAGAATTTTTCACCGTCCTAATGGTTAGGACCTAAATTTTAAAAAATGGCGGGTTGGGTTAGGTCCTAACCCAATCCACCATTTTTTAATCGTAATTTTATTATTTTAATTCGGGTTTTAGGTATTATTAAATTATTAATTTTTATGGATTACCTTAGTTACACGGATGAAATGAAAAGAAATATAAAAGTTTGATGAAAACATAATCAATCTGTCATAATTAATATAAATACAAATAATTTATTTTATTTTATCGATTTTTGAAAATATTTAAAACACATTTTCTTCAGTATATTTTATGATTATCTTTACAAATCATTTGTTCCTCGACAAATTTGACTACAATCAAATTTCTTTCAGTTATACATGTTTTAAAAGGATGTAATATTTACGATTTTCGTTAGAATTTGATTTTAAAACGATTATAAAAAAAAAAAAAAAAAACATACTACATAACACTCAATTTTAATTTGTTAGCTATATGACTTATAATGAACCTCCTGTCAAATTTTCTAACATTTCTGTCGAGTTTGACAATTTTATCTATTGTATATATCGTAAAAAACTCGCAAAATTAAAATGTCTATAAATAGGTAACTCAAAAATGGCTCAAATGTTTTGAACATTTTACTACGTCTAGGAAAGGCAAATTTAAGTTATCTGTTTAAATTAGTTAGCCAAATAAGACAAGTTAATCAAAACCGAAAAAAAAATAAAATTTATGAAATAATGCTTATTTTAAATTTTGTTTTTTGTAATTTAGTTATAAATGTTCGTAGAGACTTAACATTTTAACAGAATACCTTTTTAAAAGTAGTAAAATTTTAAAACATTTAGCCAGTTTTGAACTATTTATAGACATTTTAATTTTTAGAGTTTCTCAAGTAATTTGTTTGGTATCTGGAGATAAAATTGTTAGAATAAATAAAAATGCTTGAAAATTTGACAGGAAGTCCATCATAAGTCGTACTTAGTGGAAAAAATTAAAATTGAGTGTAATATGTAGTATCTCTTTTTTTTTATAAGTTAAAAAAAAATTTGACGAAAATTATAAATATTACGGCTTTTCAAAACATGTATAACCGAACTTCGCTTAGAATCGTTTTTCGTTAACAATATGGTTTATCGTTGCTACAGGTATAATTTAAAGAACTATACAAATCCTACCTTCCCAATTTTTTGAATTTATTATTGTGTCCTTAGAAAATGAACTCAATTATTTTTTGCTTCAAAGATATTGTAGTATTTCTTTTTATAAGTATTAAATCGTTAACTATTGCTTAATAAGATTTAAAGAAAATAAAGAAATTTGTTGAGCAATAATATTAATTAGGAAATTTTTCAATGTCATTGTATTTAAAAATACATTTTTATGCGATCTTTAGTATGTATGTAGAAAAATATAATTTTTAAACTAAAACTAGTATAGGTACTTAATATTGCTAATAGAAATAAATGAACATTTAGATACTCAAGGCTATTTAAATTATTTTTGTTGTTAATTATATTTTAAAGTCTGCGGTATTAAAATAGCTCTAAGCAGACAAAAAAAGTAAAATAGCACCTAAAATTAAATATTTATATTCTATAAAACATATTAAAATATTTGGGGGTAGTGATTCTATTAATCAAATTTATGAATTTTGAACATAAATATGGTAGGAGTAGTGATTGGAAATCTTAAAAAGGGGATTAAAAATTGCACATTTTTTTTTACCTGTAAACTGACAATTCTTTGTGTACAACGAAAAACGTGAAAACGCTAAATGACTACTAAATAAATGACTACTCGTTTTCATACAACTATTAAAATTCATTCTCGATTCAGACTAATATTAGATAATTATATAATTTGCCCAAATAATTTCAATAAGATTGAAAATAACTGAATGGAGTACCTACAATAAAGTTACAATATTTGCCGGTTATATGGTATAAGTATTACTATTATGTGTCTATGGTTCAGTTGAACGTCTGATGTTAACGAGTTAACGTTATGTGTAGTTAACGAGTGATGATAGGTATATTGCAATCGATAGCGAGTTTCGTGTTTTAAAATCAGGCGATATATTGTTTAAATTTACTAATCAAAAATGTACATCAAAAGTTACAGTGAACAAAACATAAGCTCATTAATACTTAAACATACACAACTACAAGCATACTCATTCCTTAAAGACAGGAAGCCGTAGGTAAAATTTCATGAAGTAACTTCCAATATCCTTCCAGTTATTGTGGGTGTCCCCCAAGGAGGACACCTTTCTTCGCTTATCTTCTTTTTGTTTATAAATATTTGCGTTTGTTGACTGCAATAGTAGTTAGTATAAACATTTTAATTTTAGGATGTCGATATGACGTAGTATGTTGATTAGGTATACCTAGGTAATGTAATATATTATTATTACTTACGTCTTTTTTTAATTGTTGATTTAATATATTTGTAACCTTCGTATTTTTATAATAAATCTGTTTTAGAATAGGTAATAGGAATGTTGTTTTCTTTTCATTTTGTAGATATCAACGTTTTAAAATAATATTCTCATCAATAACAACAAAATTTTCTCCAAAGTGCGATAAAGCAAATATTATGACCTTACTGTTGTTGTCATAGTCATGGGGATACATCATATCTATGCGCGTCATAGTATTATTATCTACATAATTAACTTTTTTAGACAAATATTTTGCTTCGAAAATGGGTTGAAAAGGCAGGGTTATCATTCGAAAATGAAAAGGTAATATTCATTTTAGCTGCCTGGATTTAGAGGAATATTTTGAAATAATTGAAAAAAAAATCATTTAGTAAAATATTTTATATAAAAGACATAAAAAAAAATCAATTTTACTCATGAACTTTGTTATAATTACTAGATCATGACCGGAAAAAAAACTCTCTATATAATCGTAATATTACGATAAAAATTGTAACATTATAATGAATAGCTTTAGTTGAGGTGTGTCGTAAGGTTAGGTCGTAAGTCATCGTAAGTGTCGTAAGTCATTGACATAGTATTGTTAAGCCGATCAAATGACACATTATGTATATAGTTTCAGCCACGTTTTTATTTTTAAATTTATATTCAAATATATATTTTGATAAACGTGAATGTATTAATATTAAAATTGTATTTAGTTAAAAAAAAAAAAACTGACAAATTTCACATCACCATTTTACTTGGAGAAACGATGCATTTTTTGACAGATTTAAGTTACCAAAATATACAGTTCAATNATGGACATCTTGTCAAATTTTCAAGTATCTCTGTTTAGTCTAACAATTTTATCCATCAAGTACATCTATAAAATAAATATGTTTTTTCTTGTTAATTATGTTTCAAGTTTTATTTTAACTGTGTTTAAGGTAAAGCGTCTAATAATTTAATTGCTAAAAAGACATAATATGACAAAAAGACTAATTTAAAAGACATAATATGTACATACAATAGGTATTTTAAATGATTAACAATAATTAACAATAACGATAATATTGAGAACTTTTCTGATTATGAAGATAAAGAATTTGATAACTTGGCCATATTAATCACATTTCCTAGGCATCAGTGTTTAGACTTCGTTGGTACTAACCATTTTACTTGGAGAAACGATGCATTTTTTGACAGATTTAAGTTACCAAAATATACAGTTCAATTTTTAGTTATCGTATCTGTTCTCGTACTGATTAGTAAAGTTAGGCTAACCTAACCTACCTTGTATTTACGGTATCTGTTTTCATACATTTTATAATAGACTTATATTTTTTAACTTGAGAAACTAAAAATTCTGACTCCGGGGTTATGATATTGACAGAACGTTGATGTTTTTATTCATTATTAAAATTTTTAGATACATTATATAAGATTTAATTAGTTAATTAAAATTAAATATAATATAATAAGACTAGAAAGAATAATAGAAAGACATTTTTAATTATTATTATTTGGATAGAATTGATGATAAGACAGAGTACCATTTGAATAAGTACTAACTGTAATAAAAAATAATGAAAATATTTTATAAAAACAATCACAACATGATTTAATCATTTATTTACTAATCATAACCGAATCTCCAATAATATAACACTCAGTGGACTAAACAGTCAATGATTAAATTTTGATTCTTGATTTACTAATCACTCTTTAACCACGGAACTGTACAACTGGCCCTAAGGTGGGTAGTATATCTACTAAAATGATTTTAATAAGTTCGATACACATCGAAAATTAAAGATATAACCGCCAATGTGCGTCATTATTCAATTCGTTTTCGATAATGGGTAAGAGAAAAATAGATATCTACCTAACCTACAATCAATTGATTTCAAAATAATATAAATCTATAATTATTGATAACAAATATTTTACACGCCTATGTATATAATAACATTGAGCGGAATTAAAGAGATATTAAATGTTGTTTTATGACTGAACCTACATATACTGAGTGATCAATATAACGTAAGACACTCATAATATCAGAAAATATTAACTTTTCGGAATTTGTGTTTTAAAATGTTTAAGAAACAACCTAAAACTTAATATATGTTATACTACCGTTAATTATTGCCACTCTATATTTGGAAATGAAATTCCTTTCCTGCTATTAATGATTTTCAAACATATACTTATATTAAAAATGTCATATACAGTTGAAGTTTTAGTTAAAATAAAAATTGGTGTTGACATTTTTAATTTTCGTCAATTTGTTGACGAGATATTTTACTTTTAACTTCATAAATAAACATTAGTTTTGAGGCTAGGGGGAGAGCAGTAGTAGAGTATTATTCAAACAAAGTGCGCCTCACTGTCACATAAATGGTGCTCTACTACTTAAAAAAAGTTGATACTTTTCAAAATATTGTGTTTCTTACGTCAATTATCCTGTATACTATTACTATCTTTCGATAGAGGAAATTTTATATAAAGTATCAGCTATAATATAACAATAAGCGTACGGCCGTTATAAATCGCACGTACAATTGCGATTTGAACAACACGTAATATAATATAATGTATAACACGTTCGGTTGTCCGTGTCTCGACTGTATATAAAGTTTACGTTATCGATACACATTTCATACCTGTGTAGTCATTGCGGTTAATTATTTTTTTAAGTGAAAGTATACACAATATACGAATAGTAACCACTTGTATACGTGTAAATATATAATTCGTCTACGTATGGGTACTATAATAGGTTTTTGTGTTAGATATATGTATTATATATATAGTATAGCCATAATAAATGAAAACCAAAATACTTAACGCAAGGCTCGACGCTACGATAGGAAATTATTGTATTATTGTGTACAGGTGTTTTATTATACCTACGCTGCAGTTATCCGTCTGTTTACGGTTGAATTGTGCAATTCCATACAGTCATGCATGCTTAAATTTTAGATTCTGATCAGAGTGAGGAATGTATTGATTAATGATTATACTATGATGTGTGCTTTTAGATTATGAGTAAAGCAAGAAATGTATTAGATTTACTATGCGTGTGATATTTTTTTCGTGTTTGTTTGTGTTTGAACAAATTTTTACCAGAAACCTTGCTCTGATCGAAAAATGACAAGAGAGCTTTTTTGTAGAATTTTTAATCTTTTAATTCGTTGAATTTTTTGATTTTTCTTATAATTTTCATTATACTCGTGAAATCCAGGATAAAATGTATAGAAAAAACGGATAAATTTACACTAATAAAATTTATGTTTTTAATTTTTTTGTTATACTAAAAATTTTGCTTCAAATTTCAAAAGTAGCATCTTTTTTAAAAGAAAATTTTATCTTGTCGATGCAACGGAAAGTTATTTTTTTTATTTTTCTTGTAAATTTTTTGACGACTGGGGAAAATCTGAAAAAAAAACCCATATTAGAAAAATACACAATTTGACGACAGTAAAAGTTTTATTATTTTCAATTTTTCTTATAAATCAGAAATGTTAAAGGAATTTCTAGAGTATAATATTTTCTTCATAGTTTGATAGAATTCAAAATAATTAAACGAATATGAAATATTTTCCATTTTCATTCATTGACATGGTAATCATTTTATAGCCCAATAATCATACCATATTTTATCGTCTTGCACTAAATTATATGATTTTTTTTATATTACAGTTGAATATAAATCTAAAGAGAGTTTTCTCCCTGTCCCCCTTTGGGAACCCATGAAATACAATTATATTTATTTGTATAATGCCTTTAGAAAATTTAATAATTAAAAAAAGAAAAAACTGGTACTGGGAATGAATGTGTCACTGTTTTAAGTGGGAAGTTAAGAAGGTAGGATTCATAAAGTTATTTAATTTATATCTAAAAGTAACCATTGTTAACGAAAAACATCTAAATTTTATGATGAAATTTATATATAAACAAAAACTAGATAACTATATTACACTCTATTTTTAATTTTAATTTTTGTAGATACTAAGTAATGAAAAATCTAATGAATTTCTTGTTACATTTTCAAGCATTTCTGTTTAGTCTTAACAATTTTATCTACAGAGTACCTACCAAATAAAAATGTTCACTGAATACATTTTTGACGTATTATTATTCTGGCCATTTTAGATTCTGAGAATGTATTGGTTTTTATTATGATGTTAATTTTAAAATTTGTTTTTTTTTATAAATATTTCTACTGTATACAAATTCTACTAGGAATTTTGCTCCGATATGTACATGCTGCACCATTTCTGAAAGGAAATATTGTCTAGATGGTATCTTGAGGTGTTCATTTTTTTATTTACCAAGTGGTTTTCAAAATATCTGGGAAAAACCCGCATAAAACCTAAGAAAACCGGGAAATTTACGAAAATAATGCATTTTATAGACATGGTAACATTTTCAAAATATTTGAGCTTTTTATAGACATTTTAATTTTGTAAAATGTGTACGTAATTTTTATTCGGTAGGTAAAACTTTTAAACTACACAAAATAGCTTGGAAATTAAACAAGAGGTTCATGAAAAGTCGTACTTTGTGATCAAAAAAAAAAATTGAGCTTAATGTATTATTTTTTTTTTTTATAAAGGAATTTTAATATTAAATTTTGACGATCATCGTTTGAGTAAAAAATTATGTGGAACAAATTAAATTTTTTAATTTTTTGTTTTGTACATTGCTGATTTAAGATCGATGATGAACTCATAATTGATCGGACTGACTTAGTTTAGGAATTATAACTTCTTAAAGCTCTGATATTATATGTTATGTTAAGTAACTCTATATTGTAAAATTTATATTATGTGTGTCCTAGTCAAGTAGTGTTACCTACCTTTTGTCATCTTAGAGATCGTGAGTTCTAAAATTCGTGTCTTAAAAAAATTAATTTGCATTTGTTTTTTTCATTTTTACCTAAACAGGGAAAAAACAAAGGTATTTCGGGTGTACCTAGTCATCTAAGCTATCGTTTGTTTGTTCTATTTTAATCGAAAAATACCTCTAGATTTGTTGTGCAAACTTTTCTACCAGAAATCTTGATTCGATGTATCAAGTATTCAAGTGTAGCATATTTTCTGAAAGGAAATTTTATCTATATGATACCTTAGGAGGTCATTTTTTGATTTTTCTAGCAGTTTTCATAATATCTGAGGAAAAAATAGGAAAAACCGGAAAATAAATACACTATTAAATAAATATTATTAAAGAAAATATATAATGCATGTTATGTAATTTTTTTTCTGTGACGTGTATATTGTTAACAAAGCAACTCTATCAACCGAACTCCACCCTAAATCGTTTTTTCGTTAGCAACGATTAATCGTTGCTGATGTACATTGAATTTCTCCTCTACTACCTTGAAAACTTCATACTTATAACAGTGACTGCATCTGTCCTCTTTATCCTAAGACAGCTTTTTGAGTTATGTATTGTAATTTGTAATTTGACATTTTTGTGTTTTTTTTTTGTTTTATTTGTTTTTATATAGATAACTATTTTTTTAGGGTTTATAAAGTTATGAAAATGTGAAGGGTTTATAAATTTCACATTTTGATGAAAATCCTAAAGATCACATATGTTTCGTTTACTATTTTCTGAATAATTTATATATAATATTGTTGGCTATGTACTAATAATACTCAAAAATTTGAAATCAAAAAACACAAACAATTATGAGATATTTTGTATAGTTAGGTATAAACTAATACAGTTTTCAGTTAATTAATGATATAAAAACATTAACCGTTCAGAATTGTTTTGTGTATGTATGATTTATTATTCCTGCGTACAATTATACGTTAACCTTACCCTTTATATTCAATATTCTTAACTGCCCACTTACAACAGTATCCTGTACGAAGAACGTAGTAACGTCTGTAGACATCAGCAATTTCTGTCGCTTTCCGCCCCCCCCCCTTCCTCATTGAGAAATTCTTGCTACTTAATTATTTATTTATTTATTATGTTTGATTAATTCAAGAATTATTCAATCTTGTGGGTCACTGCACTTAAGATTATCTAGAAAACTATTCGATTTTTTTGTTCTTTTATGTAGTAGTATAGTAGTTTCTATATACGTGTGTATCGTGAATTAACTTTCATATCGTTGAATGAACTTTGGTCAAGTGCTTGAATACAGTCATTTTTGTATGGAAGATTTTTAGTGATTTTATAATACTGGAGTTCTATATAACTTCATATATACCTATTTATATAACTTTTTACTGTATATATTTTATTAGACTAAGGTATTTTATAAACATTTGTAAAGTTTTTAAGGTTTAATCAAAAACTATACTCAGTTCCATTAAAATATTACTGTATATTGTTATATATTGTGTTTTTGACGTATACTTCGCACTACGTGTACGCCACTGTTGTTGGTTGGAAGTTAGGGAAAGATGGAAGATTGAACTAAAACTTGTAAAAAAGAAGTTTATAGATGTAATCACAATATATTTATGGCATATTTCACTCCTCATGTAGGCCACTATTGTAAATAGGAAGCTGGGAAAAGTATAAATTATAACTTACTCCCCGATAATTTATCTCTGAAAAATAAATAATTTGTCTATTAAGCATTGTTGGAAAAATTTCTTTCAAAAAGACACTTGTTCTCGTTCCTCATTTCTTATAAAAGAAACTTGTAAGCGTTCATTTTTTTTTTTATTATTTATTCATTTTTTTATAATTTTAAACAATTGTCATCGGGACACCGCTTATGTCACGGTTATAGAAGTACCTAAAACATTGTTGTTTATATTAAAATAAAGTTCTTAAAATTATCATATAATTATGTACCTTGTATGTTAAATAAATGAAAAAGTTGGGTTTTCAGTATTGCAATAATATATTGTGGTATTTTATTAATAATTCACGAAGTGATAACAACACTAAATGATTTTTAGGCAAATTATCATTAAAATAACGTGCGTTTCATTTTTTTTTATTTTTATTTAATTATTATTTTTTTTTTTTCCATAATTGAAGAAACGAAAATTTTTGTTCACGTTCCTCATAAATAGTAACTCTTTCCCATTTCTCGTTCTTGTGAAAGGAACGCGTTCCTTTCCAATACTGATACAAAATAAGTAATAATATTGCATTTATGAAATATTATTATTTTTAACATTTATGTTTTATTTTTTAATAAAAATATATATTGGAAATAATTAAACGATTAAAATTATTGTGCGCTTTGATAAAATTAATTTAGAAAATTAACGACTGTAACATATTATGTTTAAATTATAAACATTTTATTATAATTCCAAACTATATTAAACACTTTTCGACTTTCACATTTGTAACAAAATCTTAACTTAAGTATCATATTTTCAAATGATTTATACTATTTCGTTTACTTTTTTGTGGATCGTTATTAATGATCGAGATACGTGTATAGGTAATAATAATTAGTGTCTGATTCGTTAGTAATATATATTCCTTTTGAAATGCTTTCACTTCTTCTTGACTAATTTTAAAATGTGAATAATTAAAAAATATTGACGTATGAAAGAATTAATAATATTATTAAAAAATTGGTACCATTTCGGTGCTATTATTACATATTTGCTTGCCTAATCTCATAAGAGCATAACATAATGGCAATGCGTATATTTAATTGGTAGGTACGCCAAAATATATTTTCTCAGGAAATCGAAATTTGTATAAGACAATCATCCTCCTCCGTTGATTCCGGAATATTCCTCAGAACAGGCCCGTAGCCACAGGGGGAGGGTAGGCAAGGTGAGGGACATTTCCCCCTGGATCTAATCGTTGCTTCTCTAACAAGTATTAAATGTGTAGGTGTATGTAGTTAATATTATGTTTTTCTAATGTCCTCCCTAAAATTTGGTTTTCCCCACCTGATAATTTGCAGGTTTGGCTACGGGCCTGTCTCAGAATAATATGTGATTAGAATATTATAATGGGACGTAACTTGGAATTTTTTAGTAATTTATTATCGTGAATAAAAAATGATGCGGCGTTTACCTTAATATGCGATTGCAACTATTAACAAACCAGGAGTGGGCAAAACGGTTACACAATTATGTATTTAAAACATAAAATGTCAAATAAGATTTAAAATAGTTATTTTTACTTATTTAAAATAACGTACGAATGATAAATGATTTATTTTTTTTAATGAGATTGTGTAAAAATAGTTAAATAGGCTTCCGTGTATAATGATTTATAAATCCAGTAGTTTTTAACCTTTTTAGGTCTACGGCTCTTCTGATTCGAAAACCAAATTAGTGGCTCTCTTATGAATAATAATAATATAATAATACAAAAAAAAATAAACATTTTATAAAATCTGTAATTTAACTAAAATTGTTATTTAAGCAATAGTTTAGATTTTGAGTGCAGTGAGAAATGTATTGATTTTATTGTGACGTGTGCTTTTATTTTTCAATTATTATTATTTATTTTTTATTTTTGTGCAACAACTTTTCAACTAGAAAAATATATCTGTATCTGACAATCGTCAATAATCTCAATATTTAATAATAGAAAACATCGATTGATATATTTTTAAATATTTAACTCTATATTTTCTGTTAAAAAAAACAACGATCAATTTAAAATGGAATATATGAAATATATATTGACAATATATAAATTATAAAAACCATATGTATTTAAATTGCATACATATATTATTTTTGCTTGCCCAAGCCAGATAGAGAAAAGCATTTTGTTTCGTATCTATTGGCATTTTTCATTGTGTTTGAATAAATGACTTAGTAACATAATTGAATAAATAATCGATCTAGGTATTTAAATTTTTAAACAGACTTTCGTATATGCATACATTTATAAACTTTGTAGTTTGATTAAATTTGTATTTAAGCAGCAGTTTAGATTTTTAGTGCGGAGAGAAATATGCCTATTGGTACATTACATTATGTATGATGTGTGCTTTTTTTTAAATATTATCATTATTTATTTTTCATTTTTCTGTAAGAACTTTTCTACCAAAATCTTGCCCTAAGAAAAAAAGAAAATTTTTTTTTGTACTATTGTAGATCTGGTTGAAACATAAAGGTTTTTTTTTATTCGGAAAACTCCTAAGAAAATCAATAAATGACCTCCCTAAAGTACAACACCAGTCAGATTTCCATTCAGAAAAAATGCTGCACTTGTAAATCGGAACAAGATTTCTGGTAGAAAAGTTATGATAAATAATAAATATAAACATTACTATAAAACCTCGGTCCACTCAGAATCTAAAAACTTTTTGAATATCATATCTGTTTAGTACAATATTTGGGAATAGCATTTTATAGTTTATTGACCTAATTAATATTTTATTGTTCAGAAGTTAATTGAATTCAAGTTTTTGTCTTAAACGTATAATCGTGGTGACTAAAAATTCGATTAATTGACAATAAACACGATCGGATAAACGGATATTTTTTAATTTATTGGCGTTTGTATATACTATAGTAATATGTACGAATTATACTCGTTTTAGCGATTCACACGTCTGACTCATCATTTTAATACGATGAACAGCATATATTGTATGTATGTATGAATGTGTGTGTGTAAGTATGCAATTTGCAAATGGACATGTTATTTGCGATTACACATTTGTGTACTTAACCGTTATTCGTATAAAATATGTATACCTGTTATAGTACACGAGTATTCATTTGTGCCATATATTCGAACTGCAGAACAACGAGCGCATTCGTATCTAGTAAATATACATGCATAGTATTAGCGTTATTATATTAATTGATACAATAACGCTTTTAAAAAGAAAAAAAAATAAGCACCTCCCCTATTATTTTAGTTTTATACGCGGGAATTTGAAAGGAAAGACGTGTAGAGTAATTTGATTTTTAACTGTACATAACAGTCAACTTTTGCTAATGAAAAACAAAGCGAGCAGAGTATTTTATTAGTCGTATTAGCATTAACAAGGTAAATCACTAGTTCTCTTCGTTTATTCAGAAAATTCAAAAGGATAATCAAAAACGCTCGCAAATTGAACGAATTTAACTATAGCTTTGCATGTATGTAGTTCTAGAATTCAACGGTTCCGAATGTTTTATTAGGATGAGTTGGATGACCCAAAATTTTAAAATTGAATTATTCATGACCTCAAAAAAAAAGACGGACATACTTCGCACAACGGGTGACCACTGTTGTAGGTGAGAAGTCGGGAAAGTAGAATATCGAGAAGAATTTAATTTATCTGTTCGCAACGATTAACCATTACTCACGAAAAAACAATTCTGAGCGAAGTTCGGTTTATAGTGTTTCTTTTGCCAAAAAAAAAAATATATATATATCATATTATGGTAAAATTATACATGCATTAAACATTATCTTTAATAATATTTGTTTAATACTGTACCTATTTTCCCGTTTTTTCTAGGTATATTTTTTCTCGGTTTTCCCATTTATTGGGAAAATAAAAAAATGACCTCCATAATGTACCACTCTGGTTAGATTTACTGTAATAAATTCTCCTCACTCAAAATCTAAAATAATCGTATTAATTGAAATTATAATGTTTATTTGGTAACTTATTTGTTTTAACTACAGACTTGTTACAAAATTATAAAAATTAGTTTACCTACTATCAAAAGTAAATATTTTAATGGATTCCTTGATGCTAAACACTTTTTACAAGTTCTTTAATATTGGGTTGAATATTATGTGTAAGTGACACATCTCGTGTTAAGGATCAAGGTGATTTCTGTAATCTGATTTAATGACGGCTTAAACAGAAATCCCAGCATTCACCATTCACTTAGGTAATTTTTTGGGAATGGTGAAGTATTTTCAGTTTCTTTTGACAAAATAGGTTTGTCTTGTGCCCAAAATTGAGTTGAACATTTTGAGAAATATTTTTTTTTTAAACTTGATTGAGCTTATAAATGGAGTTCAGAAGTTCTTGAAAACTACAAATATCCTCACCAACTTTGTAAGTAGAAACTTCAAACGGATTCACCCTACTGAATTTATCCTACTACGAATACCTACTACGTTTTGTGGTTCAAAATGTAATTTTCCCAAATATTCTTGAATAAGGAATTTTGAGTTATTAAATATAAATTTTGTTAAATCTTTAAGAAATTTACTTAAACGAAATAAAATTAAATAATACGGGAAACATGCTTCCGGAACCTATCATAGAAACCTCCACGGTCCTTGTGACCCAGGATTGGGAACCACTGTTCTAGACCATGAATAACATAAAGGCTACTTTTTTCTTCTATATTCAAGCCCTAAAGGGTAAGTGAAACAGGATATTGGTGTTTTTAGTACAAAAATCTAATTCATTTTGCTGGTTTATGGGTTACCTTCATGATACGGATGAAATTAAAAACGTTAAACTTGAATGCTATTTATTTTGGCGCCGGGTAGGGCAGTTAGTAATTTTGAATAATATTATAAACACACGGTATTATGTATTTTGTTCTACTCGTGTAATATTCGTTTAATTTGTCTAGGTTAAATTAATAGAGAATTCTTTACGAGGATACGAGTTTGTTCTCGATGTTTTCAAAATAGCCTACTTTTTATCTATTTTCGCAAACTCCGCAGAATCAAAAGTCCTTGTTGTTATTTATCATTCGGAGTTTGATTAGATATATTAATCGTGAATCGAGTAATACAAAACATAAGACGTTTGCTGTTTCGAAGGACGATGTTTGTAGTTTATATACATTATTTCACTATTATAATCAGCTATGTTTAATTATTGTTCAAATTTAAAGACGACGATGCGTCGAAAATTTCGAATATCATTTGTCGGATATAAATCATCGCGAATGTATTTTAAAAATACATACGAGAATACAATATACTTAACAGTTAAATGTTTATATATCCGCTGAATGACTTACCAGATTTATAATACTATTAGAAATATACCATACCTATACCATTATTGTTACTGGGTTTTACATTTTTTTTTTCAATCGAGTTATAAAATGACGGAATTACGTCTATAGGAAGTAATAATTGACTTTCTAGAATTTCCGGTTTTCGTCAGCAGCGATGTTGTTTGACTGCTATAATTATAATAATAATAATCTGTTCACTGTTGTACCTGGTGTATGTTGAAAATGCGGAAAATAGGAGACACACCAATACACACGTACCTATCGTTTCGCCGTGTAACCTCTCCCGCGGTATAGCTGGTAATCTCGTTGACTGAAGTCAAGGTTTGCACGCAGGTTGTGTCGTTTTTCCGTCTTTATATACACGCCATGTATAATATACAAATTTAATAATAATAATAATATAACAACGTGATGATAACGGCATATTACATAAAAATATATTTGTATACCTAAATTGGTGCGTTTACGAGTAAAAATATTTGGAAAAAAAACCCCTACCGAAAAATAGAGTTATGTATTCCTGCTTTGGGAGTTCAATAGCTTAATAATACTAATAATACTTGTTATATTTCGCTTTATAATGATGGTTTTACAACTCGGGATCATATTTTAATCACGAGAGGACTAGTTTTTTTTTAAATTGTATTATTATTATTCGATCGTAGAAACGCAGGTATTTATTATACATGTTATTTTTTTATCAAGCACCATTGATTTTTTCAATCATTATAAAAGGGTATTACGGAATTGGTTCCTGATAAAAATAACTTATAGTCATTCAACTGTTCGAGTTGATTCCAATAAGTACAAATCTGTATTCTTAATATATATTATTAGATTTATGATGTCTGGATGTCTGGGAAAGTTCTCGTATTATCACATATAATTTATTAATATAAATATAATATTATAGTTTAAGGTGTTATAAGTATTTTGTATATCGTCACAATTTTTAGAGACAGCCATCTATTCTATACGCGTAAGTATAGAATAGATTAATGTTCACGATGACTACAATAATATTATTATTATAAACATCGTTGATCGTTACCTATATATAATTATGATAATCATCGTACACTATCCGTTTCAAGGTGCCTATGTCAATAATTATATTTTATCCGTTCAACTGCACATGGTGCCTTGTACTACAGACTGTTGTTTTTTTTTTCCTCTTGAGATTTTCATAACGATTATAATGATAATTTTAGATGTACTTGGCCGTAAATTTTCGATAACCCAGTATAATTATTGTTATTTAATTTAGGTTAGGTATATACGGTCGTTTTAATTAGGAATATTTACATATACTGTAAAATTAGATAGGTAATTTTAAAAGAAGGATCTAGGTAAATATAACCAAAAAATACAAATCGTCTATAATATTATAATTGTAAAAATTGTAGAAAATTACAAATAATAATTTTACGTCCAGCCTGTACACTAGTGTACACTAGCTAGCTGTATACTAGCTAATATACTCTACAGCTGTAGAATGTAGGTAAATAACAAAAATAATAACGAACGACTGCGAGTCGTGAGGATCGGGTTTTAAATTTACTTTTATGATCATATTTATAATTTCTATATGTTTTACTTTTAACCAGATCCAACATTGTGATTACTATTACACTATTTGTACATTTCCTATACATGTCTATTGTAATTCTTTATCAGCACTCAATAATAATAAATAATAATTTTACAATTTTTACATTGATTTTAACCACAATGTAGAGACGATAAGGTGATAACACTTATGAAAAAAGTGGTATAATTTTTGATGGCACACATTTAATAAACATGAATACCACTGATTAACGCCACTATACTCGAAGGCCGGTTATATTCATTATTCGCTACTATAGTGCATTAAAGACTAAAGATATTCGATTTGTAAATTGTTCAAATTTCACAATTCAAAGACAATATGCTAATATTATACTAGCAAGTTGGTATAAATAAAAATGTTACTAATATGTAGGCACGAATTCAATAAAATAAACTTATTATAGTGATTGACTTCTAGTCATAACTAACCGTATTTAAAATAGAAATCACTTCCCTAAATTGATTGCAATTTAGTAGGATTGTATGAATTAAAAGTTGTCTATTTAAAAATATTTTATTGATCTTCGATTTATTGAACTTATAACTTACATTATATAAGAAACTGGATGTACAATTTTTTTTTTTTTTTTAAAAGTTAAGTAAAATAAATTAAAATGCCAAATAAATGTTTTGTTCCGGGCTGTAAATCAGGATACGCTAGTAAAGAATACAAAAATTACATTATATCGGACTCCTAATATACCACCATCACAATAGATAAAAAATATTTAAATTACTTTTTTTAAGTTAAAAGTAAATAATTACTAAATAGCATCAAACCTTAATAATATCTGATTATTTAATAACAATATTTTTAAAACGTTTAATAATTAAAAGTAATTTTTAACATATTGACATGTACTAATACTTTAAATTTAAATATTATAAACTATTATAATATTATAATTTTTAGCTTAGGTTAAGACTAATTGAATAATAAGTATAATTAATAAATAACTCTTACATAAGTTAATCAAATTTGGAACTTTTGTAAAAACGTATAATATACTAATTTGTATTTATTATAATATCCTTTTAACATTTTGTTTAACTTTCATGTTTTTATAATATGATTGGGATATAATTTTAATTTTAATTAAATAACACAGTTGTTCAATGTTCATGTTAGTAATAAATCTAGTTTACTATTTATACTTGCATAATTTGTAAAAAATATTATCTAAATTTAGATATAATCTGTAAGTCATAAAAATAACTTTCAATAAATAAATACTTATACTTAATCATTTTGTATACATATGAACATTGTACACAATTAACACAAATAAAACATTTAAATTTAAAAAAAAATCTGAAGCCCTTTCTTCCCCTAGACAAGCAAAATATTGTCACCTTATCTTCTCTACATCGTGATTTTAACAATTTTTTGACTTTTTTTATTCCTTGTGTTGACTGGTGATATTTTTTTTTATGATTTTACTTTTTTGTTCAATTTTTTTCTAATTTTCTTATTGTATACTATGGTAATTATTATTTCGGTTTATTATGATTATTATTGCTATGTCAAATATATTTAAATGTATAATATACTTAAATATTATTTTTATTTTTTTTCGGACATTTTGGTAGAACACCTTAAGTCCTAAAAGGACACATTTTCAATATTTATGGATTATACCGTACTCATTTCAAGAATAAATTATTTTTGATAAAATAGTAATGTATAAACATTTCTATGTTAAAAAACTCTTAGGTACGCTGGTATTTTTTTAATAAATTTTTAATGAAAAACAATACAAAATTATAATATTAATTAATTACGGAATTACGTAGAGACTACAATGGTTTGCTCTAATATTAAGTAAATAGATTAAAATATAGGGCATTGCGTACGTAGATGTATTTTTTTCATTGGGTACACCATTGCAGAGTTGTAAAAATAATGACCAAGCAAATATTTTAAATTATACTAAAATGATATTCAAATATCATAATATCAAGTATCGTGTCTCGGGTTACCCACGTATTAATTACAATATTAGTATATACTTCTAACTTAAACGTTTTGAGACGTTTGTGGTTGAGACACTACACTACATATACTTTCATGTGTAGACGTTGCTTCCATTGAGCTCCTCAAAACTAATAATATTATTATTAATTATTGTGGCAAATGCAGCAAATCGTATTATTTTTTATTTTTTTTTAGTAAGACTTATCACTATTTCGTCGTTGCCGTTTTGATGTAAGGCTACTTCACCGTTAAAAAAAAAATAAAAACCTGATGAAAATAATCAGAGTCAAAATAGTTGTTGCTACCAATATTTGAAATGTTCACTAAAAATTTAAACACGTTTACATTCACATTCGTTGAAAAAATAAACGTGTTCAGTGATAAGAAATGTTAACCATATATGGGACTATTTTGTTTAATGATATTTATTTTTAAGTGATAAGTCATAATTCAGGAACAAAAGATTTATTTAATGGCGTATTGAACTACGTTTACTTTAGGGGCTATGATTTGTATATATCACCCACATAACTAATTTTATTTGAATACACATGTCAAAACTTTTTATTAATTCTCTAAAGAACAACTCGTTATTTCAGGATTGTTTCAGGAATAATAAATAAAAATAAAATTCGTTACTTTACATACAATATTCATTACACACAGATATACATGTATATTCTACATGATTATGAACTTACAACACATTTTTGAATAAATTGGGTATTTATTTTTGATGGGGTAGTTGATCGTATGTCGAAATAGTGACGGTGACACGATTTCACGGCGAAACGGCAATGACGATTTGACTGTATTCTGCAGACAGTACCCAAACAAGGAGACATGTGTAGGCAACACTTTGTCGAATGTGTAAACATTATTATTTATAATAACCTATTGTCTGTGTTTTTGCTATAAAATAATAGATATCAAAGTTTTAAATAAAATGGTCTATGGTAAATTAATAAAAACAGTTTTTTTTGAAAACTCAACAAATAATGTGTATTTTTAAATGCTACTGATATAATATTATGTTACGAATCTTATTTTATTCATTTTTAACGAGTTTTTCGGAGTCGACTCATGAAATTCAAAAATGATCTATTGTTTCGTTAACATGAACGAAAGCAAATAAACTCGTGTTATCTGTAGAATTTTGCAACACTGAAAACATCGATGAAATCAATTATAACAATTTGCTTGAAGTTTGATTGTTGGGTAGGAATTATTTTTAAATTTCGAAAGTCAATTAACCTACTAAAAGTGAGGTTCATTATAAATACAAAATCTAATTTTCTCTATATTATTACTAGTTATCCGAGAAAAATCGTTACCGGGATTTCACAAAACGTATTTGTCATCTTATCTGGTATTTTTATATTTTACTTATCTAACAATATATGGTGTATTGATTACGCTCAGTCAGTATCAAGAAATATAACTTAGAATTGAGCGAAAACTTTACCTATTGGTTTTTTTTATAACTAATTTTGAATTTAACAATAAGCACAATAATGTATAATTTTAGTTAGGTTTTATTTTAGATTCGGAGAGTAACGAAAGATATATTCGTTTTACTATATGATATATCTATGAGTAATTTTTTTTAACAGTAGCATTAATGTAGTACCTTTTTTGACAGACAATTCTATCTAGTTAGTACATTAAAATGTTAATTTTTTTGATATTCTAAGGTATTTTCATAATAATTGAGAAAAACAAAAAGACAAATGTAAACGAACAAATGTACAGCGAGCGTACGATTTCATTATTTTAAGTTTTTACACATAATGTTTTCTACTAGAAATAGTGATTCCACCAAAAACCACAAGTTACGATATTTGTTGAATTTTGGACCTTTTTGGTGAATAACAAAGTCGTTTTTTGATTTTCCAAAGGTTTTTCATTATAATTAGGACAAATAATATTTTCACAATATACTAGAATAATTATTTTAAAATAAAAATCTAATAATTACTTACTATAACGTAATAATCGAAAAGAAATCTTTTTTATATTACATGACTTTTTTGACACTTAACTTTCAAACACTTGATATATTACTACTTTTTGTCATTATACTTTTTAAAATTTTAAACTTTTTAATTTACTTTTTAACTGTTAAATGCAATTTTAAAACCCTATAAACAACAATATTAATAATAATCTACACACAAAAGTTTTATACATACCAACAGTTGAAAAAAAAACAATCTATTTAAATTATTTTATCGAAATACTCATATACCAATAGTAAAAATCTTTAGAGTAATATTACATTTTAGATTTTACACTAGACTACACTAGACTAGAAAAAAAGATTTATTTATTTTTCTATATAAGAAATTTCAATAGCAAAGGCTGAAATGAACTATATATACATTTAGACAGTGACTTATCTACGACGAGAGGGGGAGGTTAGGATTGAAACCCAAGTTATGAAAAAAAATTAATTATTACAATTTAAAACCATTGTCACTAGACTACCTAAATATAAGTGCCCCTCCCTCAGATAAAATAATCCTGAATACGCGTTTACATTTAGGTATATAATTCATAGAACTTGTTGGATAAGAGAGAACACTCTCTTCTTTTTTGAATTAAAATTGTTCGTTTAAGTCCATCTTAACTTTTATTGCGCTCTTCCACCTTTCTCTTTTTCTCCCTATTTCTCTCAAACGTTGCATCTATGTCCAACGATGCATTGGTTTTATTTTTGAAAAAGTGTGGCTATACTATTATATATACACGCTTATCCAGTTTTGGGTAATTTGTGAAGGTCTTCATATTTCATCTTCGTGTCAGGGCCAAGAATTTCGCAAAGATTATGATTTATATCTTCATTGTTTTAGTTCATAATGTGCATTTAATAACGCAAATGTATGTGTCATTATACTTAATATTTATATACAAATATATATTATACCTATAGTATGACAAGATTTTTTTTTTCTGTTTGATATAATTATAAATATTTGTCTTGAATGGTCTTCAAGATATATTGAACACTTTTTTCGAGAACTTTAATATTATTGTTAATTAGGTAATTTATTTAATTAATTAATAATTTGCATGATATTCATACACTTTTATAATTTTATATAGGTATAGTATAACTATAGACATAATAATAATTATTAGGTTTATTAATAGTTATTTGTTTATATATTTAACTTATTTTTTCATTTAGATATAGTTTAATTGTATTATTTTAAACATATTTTTTCAACACTCGTAACGCATATTTTCTACAAAAATTTGTCTTGTATCTATTGTCTTATATTTTAACATACTTTCAATTTGCTATATTTTTAAAGTAAACCTTTGCATCTTCGTTGTATTCCACATGAATGCGCATAGAACTATAAACTTAAACCCTTCTTTCAACAGTCACAAATCACAAACCACTTACGGTATTACATTTAAAGTACCTACTTACTTTTTAAACGTGGCTAGTTGTATGCGAAGTATTAAGGGCAACACGCTTGAAAAATATAAACTTTTTAGTCTAAATGACAAATTGAATACGTAGGATACGTACGTATTAAATTTATTGGTGATGGTTACGTCCTATTTGTAACTGTAGAAGTGAAATCAAACATGTAGATATCAACACGTGAACATATTTGTTAAGTATCTATAATCTCATGACAGGTCGACGTTTGCACATTATTTTCTAAAAATGTAATATTGACCAATCTTAATTAATTTTTAGATTATGAGAGTAATAAGAAATATACTGGTTTTCTATTTTATGATGTGTGCTTCTTTGTTTTTTGTCTCTTTGTGTGCAACTTTTCTATCAGAAATCTAGTTCTAATAGAACAAAAACAAAATTAATTAACAATACATCTTTTTTGTTAAATTTTGGATTCAGTTAGTATATTGAGGTAATTTTTTCATTTTCTTTGTGGTTATCCTAATAATTTTGGAAAATCGGAGTAGAACTTTTGATAAACTAGAAAATTTACGGTTTTATAAATTTAAATTTTCTTTCATTGTCCCTAATTTGATTTATTGATTGATTTGATTTATTATCGTAGAGATTTTCACAGAATATTTATATCAGTATTTTATTGACTTGGTAAAATGTTCTAAACATTCTGGCGACTTTTAAGCTATTTTATAGGCATTTTAAATTTTTAAATCATGGAATTTCGTGTGAACAGTACAGCGGGGAAGTTAACAATAAATTACAGTGATGGTGTAGAACAGTAATTTGGGTGACGTGTAACTTTTGTTTTACTATATATAATTCCTAAATTAATATGTATAATTTGTTTTGAATAATTGCTTAATCAAGCTCCACTCAGAATCGATTCCCATGATTCATCATTATGTACCGTATTAATATAAATTAAATAACTAAAATATATCCTGCCTTCCCAACTTCCCTGATTTCCCACCTACAACAGTGGCGCACCCATCAATATTTCTTATTGGATGATGTTTTACACAACAACTAAAATATAGGTACTTATTTTGATTACGAATTCTCTGCATTATATTCTTAGCTTGATTTATCATTGAACTCGTCATAAATGCGTGCCTTACAAGCATTTTCAAAATCGCACAATATATATACATAGAGTGATATAACACTCTATGTGGAGTACTCTATGCAGTACCTGCATTATATATATATATAATGCAGGTACTGAGGTACTTCAACAAAATGTCCTATAAACTATAGTGGTATAGTTTATCACATGCCATATTACACGTAATTTATTTTATAGATAGTATGTAGATAAAATGTTGTTAGACTAAACAGAAATACTTGCAAATTTGATAGGAAGTACATTATAAATCGTACTTAGTGGTAAAAAAAATTAAGTGCAATGTAGTATTTTTTTTTTTTTATAAGAGTTTTAAAATTAAATTTTGACGAAAATTTTGAGTATTACGATCTTTTAAAATATGTATAACTGAATTTCGCTTTGAATCATGTTTTATTAGTAATGGTATATCGTTGGTTACAGGTATAAATTAAATAACTTTATATGTTCCGCCTTCCCAACTACCCACCTACTCACCTACCCACCTACAACAGTGGTTACACCCGTCCCTTATATCAGCTTTTTTTTTTTATTTACTAACAAAATACATCACGAGATAGGTACTTGCTATAATAATACCGTAAGTAACTAATTATTTTTTCTTGACGATGATCATTAATAACAACTGTATAGATACTCATATATTAATATGTTGATAATCAGCTGCAGATTTTGGTTCTCTAACAATAATGTTTATATTGTTATATTTTGTAAAATATTTTTATTTTTATCAGCTATCAGTTTTTTTTTTTTTTTTTTTTTTTTCTTGGTATTGTGGATACAAATAAGTGATGAGGACAATTTTTTTTTATAATATATATATATATAAATAAACTACAGAAGCAGTTGTATTTTTCTTTAGTATAATCGAGCACTGTTAGGTATGTATATAGAAAGTCCAAAAGATCGATAAGACCGTTTTATTGATGTAAACGCATTTTGGCGTGGGAAATCGTCCGGAAGTTCCCGGGACGGAGCTTTTGAATATTGCATTACGCGGGTACAGTAGACGAATGAAAGGTCACGTCTTTGCGAAAACCAACAAACCGACGACATCTGATTGAATGTGACGTCCCATTACGCTCTCAGAGGTTTACTGAAGTGATGTTGACATGAACCCTAAACGGCGATAAGATAATAATATTTTGCTACAGTGTTTAAAGGTCTTGGCGTGTAAAATTTATTCAGTGGTTTTTGTATAATAATATATAATGTCCAAAAGAGATGGTAACACTCATTTCAGTCGATTTATTTGCAATGATAATAATTATTGTCGCGAGAAATGATGCATTTATTTTTATTTAAACAAAATTAGATAATATAAAAAGAAAATTCATGTTCCGTTGACTATAATATTAAATATGAATTTAGCAAATACAAATATTTGTATATGTTTTTGAGCATTATAAAATCTTTAAATTCAAACTTTTTACTTAAAATAAATGAGTAAACATGTATTCTAGATACTTTTAAAAACGTGTATTAGAATATACGAGTATACCTGTCTGAATACTTGTGGACCTTCGTCTACCTAATTGGACCAATTACCTGACGCTATAAACAAACCTTTGTGAGGCATCTTCTGGGGTAATGTCCCAATAACTATAACCTAACTTAACCTAACCTAATATGTTATAGTTTGGCCAAATAAATTATGGGAAGGGGAAGGGTCGTGTGTAATGTTATCATGAGTATTGTATACTGAATAATTCTACTACCTTTAAGTTAAAGATGTTTCATTTTGTTGGTCAACCAATTTTCTACTAGAATTCTAACTTCAATAAAAAAACTTCACTTGTACTTTCTTTTAGTATTTTTTTTTTCTATTTGATACATTAGGAAGATTATTTTTTTATTTTTTTTGGGACGATAATTGATATAATAATCCCTTGTAGTTTTCTTAATAAATTGGACAAATTATCAAATAGTTTTTGTTGGTTTCTGAATTATCTTGTCAACAAAGAAAAATTACGTATTTTGATTTACTTTGTTCAGAATAATTTTTCCTAAGTAATAAATTATGAAATTACAACAATGACATATTTGTATTATATTATTACTAAGTTATGCATTTTTATTTCAATAAATAGTTTTATTGAATACAGATTTCTTATTTATGATTAAAAAAAAAAACATGTTTTATAATACCCTGAATAAAATAAGACATATTATATTACATATTTTCATATATTTTACCAATAAATAAATATTTTGTAAATATTTTGTATATTCATGTGTAAGTACACATCGAATTTAACAGAAATATTGAAAATAACAATTATTATATTGTATATAATAATAAAATAAAAAGACTGAAGTACTTCACATCATCGTGACAACAGTGATCCACTCTATAATGGGCCACTGTTGTGGATGAGAAGTTGGAAAGGTAAAAGGAAAATTGAATGTATATCTGTATACAACAATTTACCATTGCTAACGAAAAACGATTCTGAGCAAAGTTCGGTTAATATAGTGTTGCTTTCAAACTTTGATATTAAAATACTTATAAAAAAATTCAACATTACCCTCGTTTTTTTTTTTTTACCACAAAGTACGACTTATAATAAATCTCCTGTTAAATTTTCTAGTATTTCGGTTTGGTCTAACCATTGTATTCATGGAGTACCTACTGAACAAAAATGACGTAAAAAAAATGGCTGCAATGTTTTGAATATTTTACCACATCTAAAAAAATCAAATATGTATAAGTTTTCTGTACAAATTTCAAGTTTCTACTAATATTTTTTACTGAATCAAAACAAAACAAAACATATAAGAAAAATTGGACGGACTTCGCATGCGGGTGCAGCCACTGTTGTAAGTGGAAAGTTGGGAAGGTAGGTTATAGATGGAAATTTAATGTATATCTGTAAGCAACGATAAACCAATGAAAAAAGGATTCTGGGCCGAGTTCAGTTGATAATATTGCTTTGTCAACAATACAATATATGGTATCATGTCATATTATTGTAAAATGATTAAAGCAATGTGAAATGTCCAATTAAAAACCATAACCTTTAAATACATTCCCCTGTCCTTTTTCTTAGACAAATATAATGAAAAATCCGGTGACGTAGTGACACTCAGGAGAGTATTTGGAACAACTTTGTGAAAAAAAATTGGAAAAAAGTTAAATAGTGTCGTCACAAAATTGAAACATAAAATCTATAATAATAATAATATAATATACATAGGTTTAAGGATTGTTAGAGTAATTAGTTATAATAATTGTATAGTGTATAATATCTACAGAGAGATAAAATTATAAATTTTTAATTCTATTTTTACATTCCATAGTGTTCTTTAGACATTAAATTTAAACTAAATAACAGTTATAATGCATTTATGGTTTAGAATTTTTTTCAATAGCCGTAACAAATTAAATTTACTGTTTATAATATACAAATTATTACAGCACCTTAAATAAATTTTTCAAATTTTTAAAATTATTTAATTAAATGATACAATTAAAAAGTTTAGAATTTCAGTTGTAACATAGTTCAGGTTTTTAGAATATTTTATTTTTATTGTTTTTAAAATATTTATGTAAATAATAGAAATATCTATGTAATTTATTTTTATGTGATTTCCTATGGTAGCATTGATTAAAATAATAATTTGTAGTTTGTGAACAAAACAAATAGGATTGATAAACAAAAAATAACTATTTAAAAGAAAATTTATAATTTATTTGTGTTATTACATTTAAGTTTACATTTCTTGTATAGTACCAATTGCATGCATGCTTAATAAGTTAATAACAATTACAATCAATCACTAAAAGTACAAGACTGATTGGATAATCATATATTAGGAATGGTTTATATAGATAATTATTCTATTATACATTCTTTAATATAATATTTTTTTTTTCCATTAGCACCCATAGCATTTTTTTGCTACCTATTTTTTTTTTTTCATAACTTTTTATTATTAAACTAATATATTAGAAAATACAATAACAAAGTATTAAAGAAATAATTAAAATTACCTACACCTTTAAGCAAAGCTTGTGGTGGTATAGGGAGTATTATACATGATTAAATTACATAACATAATAAATAATTAGGTTATACAATATAGTTAAATAATACTTAACGAGTTAAATTAAATATTATGAACAATTTAATTATTAAACATGAAAAACATAAAATATCTATCTAGTATGTAGAGTATTTATTATTAATATATAATATTTTTACTAATATATACATTACAAATTGTGTTACTAACATATAAAAATACAATAGTTAAATATCATTTCTTATTACAGTGCTGAAAATAGCCAATTCGGAATTTTATTTTTTATTTTTGTAGTTATACCGTTCCCTAATGTATAGAATATGTGTTTTTTTTTTTATATTTATAGGTATTAAGTTGTTGTTTTTTGGACCCAGGTATTCTATGCATTTCTGACCAAACGTCTTTCTAAAATACTCCATTTTGACATCAAACGCCATGTATTATTTTTAACTATTACATTTTTCATATTCATCATGAAGGATTAAAACTTTTTGGTTATGCATAAAATAATTATTTTATTGTTATAGATTATAACAACTTTTATATTATATAATATCTGGTCACTATTTTGGGATTTTAAACTCACTTTTTACATTATTTGTATATAAATATATATATTATCTGTTTCTCATACTAATTACTATAAATTGTTACAAATAAAAAAATATAGGGTTAACTAGTAGATACTAATAACTAATAAGTAATAATTTATAGGTAAATAGATTGTAATTTTCTGATTTATAAGAACTTTTCACGTTGTTTTAATTTAGATCAATTGTGATTAATCTAGATGTTTAAACGCGTTTTAAACATCTCAACCCTGAATTTAATACACGCGCCGTTCGATTGTTCGAATTAGGCCTGTAAACGGTTTTCCAACAATATCGTACGCGTACAATTATTATTAGTATAATATACGAATAATGATTATAATTTGTATTATTATTATTATTGTTGTTGTTTGTATACAGGAATGGGACGTGGAAAGAGGTTTGCCTAGAGGAGTAGCAGTCGATCTCGAACAGGACGGCGCAAACGGTAGCTATAATAATTGTAGCGGCGGCGTCGGTTTACGGCCGTCGGCGGAGGTCGTCGACGTCGAACAGCAACGCGACGGCGGCGGCGGCGGCGGCGACGGCAAAACCTCTTCTTCCGTAGTTTGCAGAGTGGTGTGTGCCGCTGTGAAAGTCACCGTCGTCGCGGCCGCGCTCATTGTGACGTGCGCGTTCATATGGTACACTATGGGCCTGCCGTTCCTGTGTCAGGTGATCGTGGTCGCGTTCATCGCGTTCGTGGCCAGCGGAGGTTACAAATTCATCTATCTGCTTTACCGCACCGCTCCCAGAGACATCAAGTGAGTTGGTTTTTTTTTTTTCCTGTGTTTTATCGGTTCGTTATTTGGAGTAAATAACAACACCGGGATCCCGTAATATTATTTATCATTGTGTAATACAAAGCTATTATCGTCTGTGCGCGCGTACACGAGCGGCCTTTGTCGCCGAACGCCAGCGTCGGGACAGATTGGCGCCGCGCGACACTATTATTGTATTCCCCGCCGACGCGCCGCGGTGTACCCTGCTCGAAATCGTTTAATTGTCCGCGAGCTTAAGTCGCTTATAAAACATCGTTATTGTAGCCGTAGTGGCGTGTTAAGGTTTTTGCCAATGAGAGGGATGGAGGGAATATCGAATTTCGAAAATCGTGTCGTATTATTACGCATTGTCAAGCGTGTACTAGGGCTAAAACAACAACAAAACAATTCAAATATATTAATAATTTATTTAGTTGTGTAAGTAATAACAAAATTTAATCTGCCCTGAATCATAATAATTATTTGAATCAAAGAGGTGTGCGTCGTGTACTTAACTACATAGGTATAAGCGATTGATAATTGTTTTCTTTGTACTTTGTCTCATTTAGGTACTAATCGAATCTCCTTCGCGCGTATATTATATTGTCCGGCATAGGTTTCCTTTTAAGAAAATATATATGTTCGGGTATTGATTACCAACAAATTAATTTGTTGATTTTTCTGACTAAGAAGTAAGAAGTAAAGACATTTTTATTTAAAAAGACGGAAATATTTCGCACGATGAATGGGTCATTGTTGTAAGTGAGAAGTTGGGAAAGTATGATATAAAGGGAAATATAATGTATATCTGTACGCAACGACTAATCATTGTTAACGAAAAACGATTCTGAGTTGTTATACATTTTTTAAAAGCCTTATTATTTACGGTTTTCGTCAAAATTTGATATTAAAATACTTTGAAAAAAAATTCTTCATTAGTCATTTTTTTTTTTTTTACCACAAAATACGACTTATTATATGAACTTTCGATTTATTTTCAAGCATTTCTGTTTGTTCTGACAATTGTATTCACAGAATGCCTACCAAATAAAATTACATAAAAACCTCGCAAAGTTAAAATGTTTATAAATATCTCAAAAATTGCTAAAATGGTTTGAAAATTTTACCACTTCTAAAAAAGGTAAATATAAGTTTCTGTCTGACCTAATTTCAAGTATCTATGGATATTTTTAATTGAAGTACAACAAAAAAACAAAATTGAAAATAATAAAACCATTATTTTCGTAAATTGTCTCGTTCTTTCTAAGTTTTTTTCGGTTTTGCTGAATTATTAAAAAAAATATACACTGAAAATCAAAAAACGACTTTCTTTAATACCAACTAGATTAAAAATTTAATAACAATGATATCTTGTCTTTTTTTTATTAGATCGATATTTTATATTTATGATAGTAAACATAAAACGTAAACATTTAAAATAATATAATATAGTAACGCCGTGAATTTGTGAGTTATCGTTTTTGGTTTTTCCCAATTATTATAAAAATTGGAACATCGAAAAACGACATTGATAAGTACCAACTAGATAAAATTTTTTTTCAGAAAAGATACTAAACTTAATACATTGGATCCAGATTTATGGTATAGAAATTTTGTACAGTATAAAAAAAACAAATTTAAAAAAATTAACTTTGTAATACCAATAACATTCTTTGCTTTGTTCAGAATCTAAAATGGGTAAGTTATTTAAATAAAAACAATACCTACTAAAAAGAGTCGAAAGGGAAAATATACGAGTATATCCCTCAATCTTTTCCCTGTAAATACGCCACTACATGTATACCTACACAGCGTCGTGAAGTGTTTTTTTAAACACTTCATCATAGGTATTATATGGTACGGAAAAAATTATTTAGGCCAATATGGATATTTTATATTTATAGGACTTATCATCTTGTGCACGTTAATAATGTGATTGGGAACATCTTGCGACGTAACACTTTTCTCGCAATACTTATTATACATACTATTAATACTCGCTATCATCCGTACGGTCATATAACTATAATTATCACGTTTATCACAGTTTTGTATATTATTATTGATTTTTCACGTATTTCATGGCGAAAATGACGCGGCGTAAAATTTCCCACAGAACCGATGTACGTACCAAAAAATTGTAAAATCCAATTTATATATCGCCTGTGTTTCTAACAAAAAAAACCGTCCGTTCGATCATAATTATTGTATTTAATATTATTCGGAGGTACCTGCCTCCGCAAACCAGTTTAAAATATTCGAGATCGGGCACGTGTGTACGTTTATATTTTTCAAATAGGTAACCTGCACATTCCTGTGACGATTATCGCCGCAATACGTTTCTCTGACCGATAAAATAATATTATACTCGCTTCAATTGCGTCATGTCGTCACGTATACGATTTTATTTGGCGTTTTCAACTTGACAAATAACACAACAAGCAATATTATAATAATAATATTATTATCTTACTCCATCCCGTATACTGTGGCGTTGGCCGTGTTGTTTTTACTATATAGCCAGTATGATGAGACAAGAAAAAATTGTTTAAGTGCAGGCGAACAAGGTATTTTCCGAGCCTTCCAATATCTTTTAGAATCGATTATGGCGATTTAGATTTCTTTTATCTCATTTTGAAACTATACTAATACAATAATGGTCAGTCCTGCTATTCAAAATGAAATTATTGAGGAAATATCATGATGTTTTTATGTCAATAAGTTGAATTTATTATTGTTTCGTTCTAATTGAATTATTTTTTTGCTTCCCCTCTCCCATTAAAAAATATGTTTTAATAATATATAATTAATAAATAAAATTCATACTCGTCGACCGCGTTTAAAATAGGTAACACAATACAAAACGCCTATGACGCGCGTGGCGTCTAAATATTTTAACATAAAATGCATAGTTAATGTATTATGAAGAACCCCATTATTCTGCGCCAACTCATATTATTATACTCGTAACTCCACTTCGTGGAAAATAATGATTTAATCGTATTTACGAGAGACGAAGGGTTTTTATTTTCACAAAAAAAGGTTTTAATAAGCGTTCGTTCGTCGCAAATGTCGAGAATAATATTTATTAAAAGTGCATTTTTTCCGTCGGATAATACTACCCGATCGCACTATGTGATCACAACTTTGAAACGCGGTTATATTTTAAAATACAATTGCATAAAATGCTCGACAAAATGTATGAACTACTATAAGTTACGCCTAACTAATACTACTAAACTATAAGTTTCGAGTAAATTAAACGACGATCTCAATAATTTTTTCGAAACTATGTATATAGATAAAAGAAAATTCTCTATGTATATTGTTTATATTATATAACTACTTAAAAATATAATATTTCAAACTACAAAGTAAATAACAAATAGCTGGCTCGTTGTTATTGTTATTATTTTTTATTTTCTTTAAATATTAACTATTTGCTTATATCATCGTGTCTCGTCTTTCTCACGCGTTAACATCACAAATTAATAATAATATATCGCTCAGTGTGAATATCATCGTATGTTTAAGGAATTTCCATGTATCATCACTAATAATTTTAATTGTTAGAAATAAATTATTAATCAATATTAATTAGTTTTACTGTTATGAGAATTTATTTTCTTTCACTTTTTCGATCCTTAAAAGATTCTTCATTTTATATCTACACTTAATACCACAATTCACTAATGTATAATGTATTATTTTCTTTTAATAGTGCATGATCGCAGAATATTTCTATTATAATTAATTAATACATATAAATATATGTACATTATATACGTGTGATAAATTTTCTATTCAAGGCCGCGTATAATAATTATTGTACTAGCTAGTTATAGGTAGTTGATTAGTTAGGTCGTTGAAATATAAAAATATATCGTATATACTGCAATAATATTATATTAATAAGTTATAAAAACAGGATAATTCAGTTAATGAAGGTTGTCTAGATTTCATTTAAAAATATAAAACAAATAATAGATCCTGTTGTTAAATATCGACATATTTCCTATTTTATATTTTGAACAAAAAAATTAAATTTGCCTTTTCTAGAAATGATAAACTTTTCAAAAAATTTAAGTCATTTTTAAGCTATTTATAGACATTTAAATTTTGCAAGTTCTTTACATAATTTTTATTATTTAATTTTTAGGTAAATAGTTTTATTCTGTAATAAAATTGTTAGACTTAACAGAAATGCTGGGAAATTTATCAGGAGGTAATTTTTTGTCAAAAAACAAATTAAGCTTTCTGTAATTTTTTTCTTTTAAAAGAAATTTCAATATCAAATTTTGATGAAAATATTTTGAGTAAAAAATTATATAGAACAAATCTAAATTTTTAATCTTTTAATCTTTTTTTTTGAACATAATATGTATATTGCTTGCCGATTTAAGAACGATGGTGAAGTTAGAATTATTCGGACTGACCTAATTTCGAAATTATAGCTTTTTAAAGTTCTGGTATTATATGTTATGTTAAATAACTCTATATTGTCAAATTTATATTATGTGTGTCGTAGTTTAGTGGTACTACCTACCTTTTGTCATCCTAGAGATCGTGAGTTCTAAAAACCATGTGCCAAAAAAAATTGTTCGCATTTGTTTTTTTCATTTTTACAGGAAAAAAACAAAGGCATTTCGGGTGTACCTAGTCACCCAAGCTATTGCTCGCTTGGACTATTTTAATCGAAAAATATCTCTAGATTTTTTGTGCATACATTTCTACCAGAAATGTTGCTTCGGTGTATCAAGTGTTACACCATTTATAAAAGGAAATTGTATTTACAAGGTACCTTAGAGGGGACATTTTTTGACTCTCCTAGCAGTTTTCCCATTAATTGGGAAAAATCAGAAAATGTACGAAATATAGGTATATAATCAAAACTATTTACGGCCTTTTTTTTCTCTGTTAACAACTTTTTTACTAGTAGTTTTGCTCCGATTTACATTAATAGTACTTTTTCTGTTTTATTTCCCAAAAGAGGGGGTTCCTATTTAAAAGTCAAAAGTATGCACTTATTTAAGGTATATATAGTAGGAGTAAAAATTATAAATGGTTTTAAAATAAAACTTAAATATTTCCCTAATGATTAGAAAAAACAGACATCAATTAACTTAAGATTTTCTGAAATAATTGCTGGTTCATGATAAAATTATCACCCTATTAGCTTCCCAATGTCTCACCTACAACAGTGCACTAACCACGTGTGAAGTATAGGTACTTTATTCTTTTAGTCTTTTTAGTTTTCGTTTGCTATAATGTGAATAAAATTGTTTTGGCCTAGTTGGAATGTTTGTAAATTTTACACCATATTCATCATTAGTTGTAATTAGAGGTAAAAAATAAATTTGAACTTAATTTAGCAGTTTTTTATAATCTTTTTATAATTTTAAATTTTATCGAAAATCTTAAAAATTACTGCATTTTAAAACATAATATCACCGAAATTTGCCCTAGAATCGTTTTATAATTTTTCTTCAAACATAATATTGTATAAAAGTTTTGTAAAATTTGGCATGAAACCGTTGATACTACTGTACAGTGCAATACAGCGGGCGTTGCCTGTGACAATTGTTGATTAATTTGATTTTTTTTTTAATCGCCTTGTCTCGCTTTACTATTAGGTACGTTTTCGTTATTATTTTATATGATCACACGCTGATATTAAGTTATCTCCGATAATCATGAATCAATAATCAATAAAGAAAAAAAAAATACATGATTTTCGTAATTATATAATGTTTATGAAGTGAAACATTCGAGTGAAGAAAATTTAGAAATCCCCGTGTTGACTGAGCAAATGTTGTACAGTCAAGCATGTGTTGACATTATACACGCGTACAAATACGTATTTGCGTTATAAAATATATTAGATACTATCAAGGAAAATTCGGAGGTGGCAGGTGGTAAAATATGTTTTAATCATTTTCACTTTTCAAATAAATAATAACATTTAAAAGAAAACGGACATACTTCGCACGATGGGTGGGTAACTGATGTAGGTGAGCAGTTGGGTAGGTAAGATATAAAGGAGAATTTAATGTATATTATCTGTATACAACAATTAATCATTGCAACGAAAAACGATTTTGAACGTGTAAATAAAGATCATTACCTATTCATACATTTTGGTAAGTTCTTATCAAAGATAAGATATACCTATTTATAATATCTTTAGAGACAATAAAAATAATCAAACTCTGTTTTTTTTTTTTTATATTACTCTCTGGGATAAGGAATTTAAATATTTATATTGCAATTATTTTTTTATATTTTAGTAAAAAATAAAAAATAAAATAACTTTTTATTTTTCTATTTTGGAAAAATTTGAAGATAGTAATTTTATAGAGTTTGTTTTTCTAGAAATTTTGACGTATCGAGATTTTATTTTTATTAAATTCGTAATTTGTAATTATTTGTTTAAGTTCAAAGAAAAGAAGTGTACAGTCAATTAATCGTAATAATACTAATCAATTAGAGAATGCAATTACAATCTGCTACATAATTATTAGTACTTTTATCTGAGCTTTAAAAAATTATTAAAAATCACGAATTTTATGAAAATAAAACGCTGATTCATTAAAATTTTCAGAAAAATAAACTATATTAAGCTATTTTTACATTTTTAAAAAATAATAAAATAAAAAGTTATATATTTTTTTAAGTTTTTTATGGGAGAAAAATATTAATTTTAATATAAATGTTTGTAGTTTTTATCCCTGCGAGTCATATAAAAAACAGAATTTGATTATCTTTATTATCTCCGGGGATATTACATTGTGTATATTTGTGTGGTACATGAACATTTTTTTAGAATTAATAATCGAATTTAATTACATTTGAAATAGTTCTCGTTTTATTATATTATAGATCGTTGAGATTTATAAATATAGTATTAGGGGGTGTGGGTAAACAAAGTCTCTCGCCACTTATACTGACACAAAATACTTTTGTGTACCTATAATATTTTGGTGGGATATACCATAGAACTATTTGTTAAACAGTAATGTTTAATATTCAAACTTTTACATAAATAAAGTCAAAATATTTTTTTTTGGGACGACTAATTAATAATATACAAACGACTTTGATGAAACTTATCGTGTTTCATAAACTTTTCAAACATTCCATCATTGCTATGTATGCATAATAATACAATAAAACCTTACGAAATAATTTTGTCTAACTGAAATTCGTGAAGGTGTTTTACATAAAAACAAATGAAATTGAAATAACTTTATTGTACCTACTCTATTACAAAAATTATAATGCCTCCATTATTATACCTGCATTTTAAAACCGAATAATTAACGGGTAAAATGATGGCAAAATTACCTTAACTAATAACTTGGTATATTTAAATAGTGACGTTAAGATATTAAGTAGAGTCTATAAAAACACAGACCATTTAAATGAGGAGAACATTTTTAAAGTAATACGTTGCTGTTTTTATAAAAATACTACGGCTATAAAAAAAAGCAATAATCAATATTGCTATAACTCTTTTGTTTGACAATATTCTGTAAAAAAACAGCTACATAAAAGCTGCCCTCGAAAATATTTTCCTTTTTACATTTTATGTTAAAACTCCGATTTCAATGTAAACGCCACATTTTGTGTTGGTAATTTTGCCTTGCTATGTCACCTGTTAGAGTTTAACAATTAGACCGAGAAACAGTAAATGTGGGAATAACCTACTATAGGTGAAAAAAGAAAATTATTTCTTATTCGAAAACAAAATGAATACAACGAAATGGTGACCTATTAACCTACAAATTTAGCAGTATATTATGTTGCAGTTGTATTATGAGCAAAATCTAGAATAATAATTTTAAAGTCATGAAAATGTATTTCGAACGAGATTTTATTATATTAAAAATCAGCAATGCATACTTTTATGTAGCCATTGCATAGGTTTTTTTTTTTGAGGAGTACGTACTATAATTATTAGCTATGGCCTCAAAACGTGATTTGAGTGGCTATTGATATAAATTTAAAACAAAACTTATTTCATCATGAATTTTACCGACTGACCATATTAGATATTTTTACTCGTTTGTTTGTAGTGGTGGACCGTCGCGTTAGATTCAATTTTATAACATTCAAACCAACCTGTTCTTTGAGTAGTAGATAGTTGTATGAATAGCAGTAGTAGTAGTAGTCCTACTTACTAAAATATGAGATAAGTGGGTCACCACGACACTATTAACTATTCGTGATGCGCGTTCTGTTGAAGGCAAAAAATAAAACGTAATGTGGATACAAAAACTTCCTCCAACGTTGATATTTTCTTGTCTCAAACAACACAATAATAATAATAAATATTATAATCTCCCAGGGCTGTTTTTTTTTAGTGAATATCTACTGCATGTTCACTCCTTCTGCCTTAAAAAATATCCACTAGCAGATTGACAAAATCTTCTTCTTAAATTTGGGAGTTACATCAACCCCAAACCATTAGAAACCTTTCTGTTCCCCTGTATTTTTACGGATTAAGCCGAGTTTAGTCAACGAATCGGCTATACGCTGTGACACCGCTGGAGCGACACGTTCAAACATTTCGGAGTCATGAATTCTAGGTCAATTCTCCAAACATTTGATATCGCATTCCTAGTAATATTTTGTTACAAAATCGACTTATTTTATCATTGACCATTGATTATATAGTGGACTTATGTACAGAAAACAAAATCTCCCTCTAAATGGGTGTCCAATGGACTCGAAAAATCTCCTTCAAAAATGCCTTCCAAAAATAATCTTATATCTTTTATACGTAATTACATAGTTTATAATAATTATTTACCTACATCGACATTTCTCTACACATATAATCCAGTGATGGATCCAAGACAAAATAATAGGGGGGGGCGATCATCAACATCACCCCCACTGGATCCACTAATGACTTGAATCCAAATTTGCGTAGTGAAATATTATTTTTTTAACGGATCACTATCACTGCTACTAAAATGTTATATAGACAATATAAAATATGTTGCTTATTTTATCGTTTATATTTTATTATTATTGATAAAAAATATCGTATATTATACTAAAGTGCTAAGTAATAATTGTTTTGTAATACTATGTATACTACACTTATCTATAAGAATAAAACTTTTTTTTTATTATTAGTACACCTATGTATTTTATTATGAGAATCGCCTGTTATTATGAACAAAAAAGTATAGAAATAATTTATATCTATAGATTGTATGGGTCCACTATAATATAACATAGAGTTGGCAAACACGGTATTTTAGCGGAATGTTGTAAGTCCCATAAAATTTGTATCTGTATGTATTTTTGCCATTATCGCTTTTATATTTATTATTTACAAATGGCAAACATATTATTATAGATAGACTGACTATCGTGTAAATATATTCCATTTTATTACGTTAAGAGGACATCGTCGACGCTTTTTAACATAAAAGCTTTGCGTAGAAAAAATATAAATTTGTCCGGGATATAATATCCATTTAGTAAAAAATATCGATTTTATAAAAGTTACAGTTATTTATTTTGTTTTAACATAATTTTAAATAAAACAAATTAGTATTATTATGAAATATGAATGCGTTTAGGTATAAAATATAATATATAACATTTTTAAATTAATCTTTTCTGTTTCGCATGAATACTTTTTTGATCAAATGTCTTGATAACACTGCAATAATGACAAAAAAGAAAAGAGATATATTCATAAATATTAAAAAGACTGGTATATTTTGCACGATGGGTGGGGAACACTCTTGTAGGCGGGGAGTTAGGAAGATAGAGGGTAAATTTATGTATATTTTTTTTCCTGGCTGTCTAACTAGTTGCATTCAATCATGTGGATGAAATATTACATTCTTATTTGTTTTTTTTTTTCAATTACTGCATGATCGAAGCCACACTCTATAAAAATCAAAAAATAAACTCCTTAAATAAAGTACCACTCCAGTCCGATTTCCTTTTAGAAAAAGTGCTATAGTTGGAAATCCAAGCAAAATTGCTGGTAGAAAATTTGACCATAGTAAAAACAAATAAATATCATTGTAAAACCAATACATTTCTTTCTCCACATAGAATCTAAAAGTATAACTTCATTTAACTTGGTAAATAACCCATTCAATTAATAAAATAAAAGAATATTTTATCCTAAAAAAAGTTTTAAATCTTCTATAAAAGTCTCTATACCTTCACACTATACATTTTTATATAGTGTCCCACGAAAATATGCCCATTGTAATATCTCCAGAAATAATAAAGATAATCAAAGTCTGTTTTTTTTTTTAATTACTCACAGATAAAAGGACTACAAATATTTATATTTGAATTGTTGACGTTTCAACATTTTATTTTTATTAAATTCGTGATTTATTTTTATAATTTTTTAAGTTCAAAGAAAAAAGCGTGCAATCAATTACCCAACAAAAAATAAAATGTTGAAACGTCTATGAGTACAGAACAAATTTCTATCTTATGTTGTCTTCGAATTAAAAATTGAACATCCCATCCATGATTACTCACTTATTTTCTCCACTCTTGAAATCCCTATTTAAGCCTCTCGTCGCGCTGGAGCTGACTTTTATTTCATCTCTTTACTTCTTGGGGATCTCTTGATTCTCCCTATTTGCTCACTTCTATATCATTCCGTGTTCTTACCCACTATACTAGAAACCATTCCCTTTTTCAATTATCATACCATCGTACCCCTTATGGGTTCAATCATCCACTGCACAGAATGTTACGTAGTCTTAATTCAGCTTAGTCTCAGTCGATTTTTCGTCAATCAATGTTTTAGCATATAATATTATGTAATTTTATACTGATTTTTTTTTTGCTTATGTTATGTACTGTATTTAAACTAATGTCTGTTGTGCCTTAAATAAATAAATAACAATGTCTAATAATAATAATAACATTTTAAGAAGAATAAACTCCATAAAATGGCTATATATTCACATTTTTAGAAAATAATAAAATACAAAGTAAGTTTTTAAATTTGTTTACCAAAATATACAAATTTTATTTAAATATAAATGTTTGGGCTATATTATGTTGTCCGTATTCCTATAAGTAACATATAAAACAAAAAAGCAGAATTTGAATATCTTTATTGTCTCAGGAGATATGGCAATGAGTTCTTAGGACACTTTGTATATACTTACGTCTGCTATTACGTTTGTCTATGAGTCTAAAACGCATAAAAACTGTTTCATTTTATCTCAATAAATTTTCAAGTTTGTAATTTTTAGTATATACAACTCAGATGAACCGTAAAAAATGTAACCCGACCGATTAAATGACTGGAAATAAAAATAAGGCAAATCGAATTAATTTAAATTAATTATTGACAAATGTTCGAAATATTATAGTTACATTTGTTTATGTTCACGTTATAGATTATTATTGCAATATTTACCACAACGCCGTAACCGAAAAAAGAAATACTTAATAGTAATTAAAATAGTAGCATTATTATACATTTTCCAAAGAATACTCCTTTTTCAGTATTTCTGTTTGTATAAAAAACCCATGAACAACTATTTTCTTTATTATCCTTTATTTATAGACAGAACTTCTTAGGTTACGAAGTACCTATAGGTTATTAAAAAAAAATATATATATACCATAAACACGTGTTAAAATTATATTTTACATAATTTTTAATATTTTCATGTACATACAACAACATATGAAATACACGTTTTCCAGTTTTTCTTTTGTTTATCGTTTTCAATTTGGTTATGATTATATTGATTAATTATTAATGTATCGAAAAAATATAATATTTTTATTGTTTTACAAAGATATTTCTTTTTATCTGCGGACAACTTTTCTACCAGCAATTTTGCTCCAATTGCTATAATGATAGCACTTTTTTCAAAAGAAAATTTGACTGGAGAGGTACTATAGTGAGGTAATTTTTCGATTTTCCGAGGCGTTTACTCAACAAATGTAAAAAACCGGGATAAAACATGGAAAACCCGGAAAAAACATAAGAAAGCTAGGAAAATCGGAACAACATTAAACAAATATTATTAAAGAAAATATTTAATACCTATTTAATTATTTTTTTTTTACTATAAAATGACATATATATTGTTGAAAAAGCATTACTATCAACTGAACTCCGCTCAGAATCGTCTTTCGTAAGCAATGTTTTATCGTTGCTTACAGGTATATATTAAATTATCTACAGTGGCTGCACACGTCCCCGTTATTCTAGGACGTTTTTTTATTTTTTATTCATCGTTTGATAAATAAACATAATAATCAATATAAGGCAATGCATTCATTACCTCGGAAAGTATAAGCTAATTTTTTTAAAAAATTAAGTAGTTTTAATGAGTGGCTTGCGTTTTACATATTATTCTCTTCTCCTTGCATAAAATAATAAAAACGATGGTAATGTTTTCGTATTTTGTTTTCCTTTCAGTGCGCTATTTCGGTATTATTACTTTTTACACACCGCTAAGAGATTCGCTAAGAAAAACTGGACCGTCGCCGATATATTCAAAAACACAGTCGTCAAGAATACACCACACAAAGTGATATATATATTCGAAGACAAAGAATGGACTGCTCTACAAGTACGTAAAATATTTCTCTTATACTATAATAATAGTTGAATAGTATAGTAGAGTAGTGGTAAAAACGTTTTAATGATTTCGAAAATTTCTTTCATCCAGGAAGTAAAAATGTTTTGAAGAAAGACTGACATATTTCTCACAATGGGTGGTCCACTTTTGTAGGTGGGTAGTTAGGATATAGAAGAGAATTTAATGTATCTCTAAACAACTATTAACCATTACGAACAAAAAACAATTTTGAGCGGAGTTTTGTTATATATATTTTGAAAGGCCGTAATATTTACGATTTTCGTCAAAATTTGTTAAGTACTAAATAAAAAAAAATTCTACATTACACTCAATTTGTTTTTTCATAATATACGACTTATAATAAAGTTCCTGTTAAATTTTCAAACATTGCTGTTTGATCTAACAACTTTATCCACAGAGTACTTTTCTGAAAAATAATTTTGTTTTGTTGGCGCAATAGAAATGTTATTTTTTTGTTTTTCCAAAGAGCTTTCAAAATAATCGGGGAAAACCGGAAACGAAATTATAAGTAAAACAGCAAATATTTACGGTGCATCACGACGTTAACGATTTCATTATTTTTAATTTTTGCAAACTGTTTTCTACTAAAAATATTTCTGAAATTGACAAGAGATAGATTTTGTTTCATTAATATCTAGCCACTTGTAAAGAAATTTATTTTTTGTTACCTAAAGTAGTTTTCATAATAATTGAGAAAAACTAAAAGAGACGAAAATATAATTTTTTTTTTAAATTAAGACACTACGATTTCATTATATAAATAAATCTTTATCCAAATTTCAAGAATATTTTTATATTTAAGATAATTTTATCTATTTAAAAAATGAAAACGAAAACCGACATTTTCTTACGCGTTTTTACTCCCTGATTTTATCTCAAGTTAATGTATTACGGTTGTAAAATGTTAAAAAATGAAATAAAATATAGATTTTTATATTTTACTCAATATTTGATTTCTGTGACGTTAATATTTTTAACTTAATTATATGTTCTATTATAGTACCGGCTGCAATAAATAATTTAGGCTATTTTTGTAATACTCTAATTGTTCTATAATTAAAAACATATTTTTTAAGTTTTATTCTGATTTATACAAAATATGATTATACCTATACATACATTTAAGTAAAAATAAAATGCTCAAAAATATACGAGTAAATCGTAAAAATGAAATTGTTTGAAACATTGTATAGAACCTTTTTTAGATTTGGAGCGTAGCAAAGAATCTATTGGTTTTACTTTGACGTGTATATGATTTTTTTGTGTCTGTGAGCAACTTTTTGAAAATAAATCTTGCTACAATGCAGGGGTGTCTCCAGACCTTGACTATAAAGAGAGAGAGGAGGGCGAAACAATTAAATTTAATATTAATGATTGGTAAGAAAAAAAGACAGACATACATCGCATAATGGATGGACCACTGTTATAGTTGAGTACTTGGAAAGATAGGATATAGAAAAAAATTTAATGCATATCTGTAAGTAAAGATTGCTAAAAAAACGATTCTGAGCAGAGTTCGGTTAATAGTATTGCTCTTTCAACAATATGCATGTCATATTCTATTGAAAGCTTGAGAGCTTGATGTCGTAGAGTACTTTGACAAACTCCTTCAGATTGATTTATATATTGACAACGAGGACTTGCTGTCTGATTTAGTGGATTATTTTGAAAAAACATGAATTAGTAAACCCCCACAAACCGTTATTAGATGAATGTCTCCTATATACAAGCTTAGTCTTTGAAACTGCTATGAATCAACTCTTATTGACCTTCCCAAAATTAACTAATACCATTAGGCTATTAGAGTTCCTTTTTTTTGTTAAATAAATTTTACAGAATAACTACATATATACTCATAATACGAGTATACATTATACAACTAAAATTAATTTATTATTTTCAATTTTACTGATTGGAAAATGAAATAATTTTTCTAACAACGAAATTCTCATTATTTTATCATCACTATATCCGCCCATGCATTATCTTAATTCCCCCCTGATTGAGAACTACTGATCTATATAATATTTCCTTTCAGAAATGGTGCCACACGTAGGAGCAAGATTTCTGGTAGAAATTGTTGTCAAAGTGAAAAAAAAAAAAATAAACATCTTTGTATAACCAATACATTCTTCGCTACATTCAGAATCTAAAAGATTATATCAAATAATATATTAATTATATCTATAATATCTACTTCTGGACCAATGACTATGCGCTAAATTCCACTGTAAGTTCACTTCACTCGAGGGAGGCAACGCCCCCCCCCCATAAGAATGCCTTTTCTCCGGTGTATAGAGTTTAGTACTTTTTTTGAAAGGAAATTTTGTCAAGTTGTTTCATTAAAGAGGTGATTTTTTTAATTTTTGGAAAAAAAAAACCTTTGGCCACCTTTCAAAACATGTGTAACCGAAGGTCGCTCTGAATCCTCTTTCATTGGCAATGATTTATTGTTGGTTACAGATATAAATTAAATAACCCATCCTTAGTATTAGTTCTTTTTTTTTAAATTGTACTGGTTTTATTAGTAGTACGATTTAGTTGTATTTAATATTGCCTCTATAATAATTTTGTTAATTTGATTTAAATTCTGTGTTGAAACAGGTGGAGGAATACAGTAACAAAGTGGCCAACGCCATGTTGGATAGCGGTTACAAGAAAGGAGATGTTATCGGCCTATTGATGGAAAACCGACCAGAGTTTGTGGGCATTTGGTTGGGCATGTCCAAAGTGGGTATCGTAACCGCACTGATCAATTACAACCTAAAGTCATCGTCGCTAGTGCACTCTGTCAACGTAGCTAGCTGTAACGGTTTGATTTACGGTTCCGAACTGTCTCAAGGTCCGTATTCAATATTCATTCATAGCAATAATTAGGGTATGGCATTTTAGATACTGAGTACAGCAAGGAACGTTAATACGTTCCTCGCTCAGAGTTTTTTCAGGTTACATAAAACACTTATTATCAAGGAAAATTTTAATGTTTTTCAATTTTTTTTTTTTTAAATTTAAGATACTAACAGCTCTAAAATGTTCCATTACTATTATTTTCGTAACCTTTATTTGTGGTCAAACGACTATCTACTTTTGATTTTCAAATGGCAACCTATATTAACAATTCAATAAATAGATTGAGAATTTGTGAATGTACATTTTGGTGCTGAAATGTTTGATTTCCGTCAAATCATTGACGAGATATTTTACTTGTTACGTTTGGGAAGGGGAAGAGTAGTAGAACATTATTAAAATGCCACGTACCATCCCACCACATAAATGATGCTCCACTTTTTCCAAAACAAAAATGTCGTAACTGTATTAATACTATGTTCAGGACCGTATTTATGATTTTGACACCCATGGACAACAATATTTTGATGTCCCCGTTTTTGCTTATGATTAATTTTATAACTACTTAAGTAGTAATACTAATTAAAGGGATTTGTGGTATCTAATTTAGTATTTAGATAAAAAAAATCATTTTAAAGTTTTAAAAAAGACGGACATACTTCGCATGTTGGTGCAGCCACTGTTGTAGGTGGGAAGCTGGGATTATAGAATACAGACGGGAATTTAATGTATATCTGTTAGCAACGATAAACCATTGCTTACTAAAACGATTCGGAGTGGAGTTCAATTTATATTGATGCTCTATCATAGACAGAGGCCAACAATATGTATGTTATATTATGGTGAAATAATTAAATAGGTATTATTATGTATTTTCTTTAATAATATTTGTTTAATAAATAAAATGTATAAATTATTCATATAATTTATAATTTTGTAATCGCCATGAAAATTGAATGACTCCTAACATATAACAGGGGGGCTATCGCCCCCCTCCCCCCGAACCGGCCCTTAAATACGGCCCAAACTATGTTTTATATTATATAATTTGAACTTTGTATTAATATAGGTCTGTCAGCAATCTAGAAAAAAAAATATATATTTGCAACAAATTACTATTTTCAGACATCGACGAGATCAAAAGTCAGCTAAAAAACGACGTCAAACTGTTGAAATGGTCGAGCGTTCTGGCCACCACTAACGACGGAAGCGACAGCACTTGCTTGAACAGCTTGTTGGACAAAGCGTCGCCATCGACACCCAATCCGCCCGAGAAACCCGGTTATAATGACCGATTGATGTACATTTATACGTCTGGTACGACGGGCATGCCGAAAGCCGCCATCATTACAAACGTCAGGTTTGTTTCAATTCGGTTAGGACATTTTTTCGTGTGCGATGTTTACATATAATACGTATGATAAAGTTTTGACCACTTCGTTGATGTCATTCATCGATACGGCCGAAAACCTTGTAACCAGCGCAAAGTCTGATTAATGGGTTCTCCGCCAGTAAGCTATAGGCTGGGACAGTGGGACACGGTCACCATACTTTAAGAGAGCATTTCTTTCTCCGATGATCTTTGTTTTTCTTCTTTTATTTTTGCTCATTACCAAATTTTCGTTACCGGACCTCCCTATAAATCAGATGAAAAAACCCAATTGTACATTGGCCGATTGGTACCCTAAGCTGCTGCCTATTGATTAATCAGACTCTGAGTCAGTAATATAATTGGGCAAAGGTATAGGTGATATGCCAACGACATTGTGCATCGTATCGTATTCTTATTGGCCGTTTATAATCTTGGCAACATTTAGTAACCATCATGACCTACTGAGAAATCGTCATCGTTTCTTTCAATTGGGTTACAACGATCAGTTGATTTGTTTGTATTATTGGCGACATCGTATCTTGTGTAGTTTCCACAGATATATAAATATGCTGATAAAAAATAAAAATGGAAATCAGCTTAACGCTGGAAATTTCCCAGTTGGCCTTGATTATTTAATATTTACAAGATTACATTGACTTATTGAAATACGACACTATACGTGTCTCTAGAATGCCGCTTTTAAAAGATTTAAGTTAACGCACGTTTAAACCTTGCTGAACTTCATTAGTTGGCATCCAAGTGAAGCCTAAAATGTTGATAATTTCTCGGATACCTTATATAAGGTACCTGACATCTATAACTCATAAAGATATTAAAGTCTTACAATAAAGAATATTATTGGCATTTTATAAAAAAAACCAAAAGAAGATATATCTACTTTTTAGTTTTTACTGTGCATTGGATTCATTTTTTTCAACTTTTTCATAAGACTAATGTAGAAATATTGAACAATTAAATCAATATTTTATTAACTCATGAATATATTTATTCATAAATTCAAACATTAATTATTTCGTAGAGCAGTGTTTCTCAAACTATGGTACGCGTACCCCTTGGGGGTACTCAACATTTTTTAAGGGTACAAGTCTGACCAACAAACCTTTAAATTAAAATAGGGAAAAAATTCTAAAATCCATGGTAACATTTGTGAATTTTAAATTAAAACGATGCCGTATGGCGTATCTAACCGTTTCATTCGTCATTGATTGAGTAAGAGCGGCTATCGTTATACCAAGTAGTGTAGGAGACAGTAATATACAGTAATATACGGATATAAAATCTTGCGTCGTTATCGCGAACGACACGCGTGCGTGTGCGTAATTTGCTTATCGCGATTAACGATTTTATTAGCGATTAACTGGTACGTGTATGCGGACGCACACAAATAAAAATAAGACATCTACTTGTCAATATAACACGGGTTATCCCCGGATACGGGAATGCCCAAACCAACGCAGTTTCTTCTGCGGCGGTGAAATATCGGCATAAGCCGTATCACTACAGTAGAAGGTATTGCTTGTTATTACAAGCTCGCTCACAGTATTGTGTTGCGTGTTGTTTTGTGCTGTTATGCGGATACTCAATCATATTCAAACAATTGTTCAGGCCTGTTGACTCCGTTTATAGTGAGTACAATACTTAAATATAATTTATAATAAAAATGTGCAATGAATAAATGGTCCATAATTAAAAGGTCTCGTGAGGATGATGATCGAAATCCTGGATCATCAACTTCATATTTAATAACTTAATCTTAATAAAATAATAATGTATGTAAGTTTTTGAATTTTTTTTTTATATATATTAGTTTAGTAACTAAGAAGGGATACCCAAAAAAATATATTGATAAAAAGGGGTACAGTGTTTATAAAGTTAGAGAATCCCTGTCATAGGGAATGTTTGAAAAACAAAACTACTGCATTTTATTGTAATATTATTCCTAATAACTAGGAAACCGAATTGAAAAAAGTCCCTCGAGTCTCAGGGATAGTATAGTCTCTTATTTTAATAAATCGTATAACTATTACTTTTTTTTCAAAAGGAGATATTAAATACTGAATTTTACTCTATAATGTATTTAAATGACGGTCATTCTAATTGTATGCATTTTATCCAGGTACATTTTCATCGCCGGTGCTTTCTCGTACCAGGTGGCCCTCAAGTACACTGATCGCTTTTATACACCCATGCCGTTGTACCACACCGCTGCTGGCATAATGTGTATCGGTCAATCGCTGTTATACGGTTGCTCCGTCGTCATCCGGAGAAAGTTTTCTGCTTCTGGTTACTTCCAAGACATTTCTAAGTATAATTGCACCGTAAGTCTGTGCCCTACGAGTACTAATTTACAATATTGTATTAAATATTGACATTATCTTATGAATGCAAAAAAACTTTTTGTCTATTATTTTAAATCTCTGTTAGCAAGCTACCTATAAAAAGTAACACTTTATTTCCTGATTGATATTTTGAAAAAAAGCGAATTCGATTTCTAGCTGTTCTGTATATTTTAAATTCTAAGTGGAGTGAGAAATGTATTGGTTTTACAATGTTTTTTATTTTATTATTTTTAGATTCTGAGCGAAGAAGCTTATAGTTTTACTAAGATGTTTATTTTTTTTTTTTCTAATCTGTGGACACGTTTTTGCCCACAAAACTTGTTCATATTTTTATATGTAGCAACTTTTCTGAAATAAAAGCATTTAAGTGGAAAAAAAAAGTGGGAAAACTTACAATTTCATGATTTCATTATTTTTTAAAAACGTGGACGACGTTTTCTATCAGAAAAAATGATTTAATCAAAAAATTACAAGATACCTTTTTTGTTGCCTTTTGATTTACTTTCCTATGGTATCATCGCCAAAACTCTTGAGCTTTTAAGGAATTTTAATTTTTGGGAGTTTTTTGCTGTAATTCGATTATAAATACACGTTGAGACTTGAAATTGGTAATAATACTTATACTGGACTTACCTAAACTTGGTCAAGCAATGGTTTATCGTTACTTACAGATATAAATGAAATTATCTTATGTATCCTACTTTACCAAATTCTCACCTACATTAGTGGCTGCAGTGTTGCCCCATTATCCTAGGACAATTTTCAAATATTTTAATTTTTTTGTTTTTGTGTTTGTTTTGATTGGTTAAAAATATTTTTGTAACTTGAAATTTTGACAGAAAACTTATATTTATCTTTTCTAGACGTGGTGAAATGTTCAAAACATTTTAGCCATTTTTGAACTATTTATAAACATTTTAGTTTTACGGGGTTTTGTTTTACTTATTTTTTGTTCGGTAGGTATTCTGTGGATAAAATTGTTAAACCAAACAGAAATGTTATTTTCCCGTTTTTCCTGGTTTATTATGATTTTTCCCAGTTTTTCTCATTTATTGAGAAAACTTTTGGGAAACTCAATGACCTCCTTATAGTATCTCCCCAGTCAAATTTCCTTTTAAAGAAAATACTACACATTTAAATCGAAGCAAGAATTTTGGTAGAAAAGTTATCCACGGGGAAAAAAAATAATCATATTTTAGACCATAAGCTTCTGTGCTCCACTCAAAATCTAAAATTGAATGTAATATAGAATTTTTTTTTCATAAGAATTTTAATATCAAAGTTTGAAAGCAACACGATTAACCGAATTCTGCTCAGAACCCTTTGGCTAATAATCGTTTATTAAAATAAATAAAATAAAAATAAAATAAATAAATGAATCAATGCATTTCAACGTTTTATATTTTGGTTGTGATGTACCTGATGATGAATTTTTAATTTGAAACCAGTAGTAAATACACTTATCATAATACTCCAGACCATAATACTCCATTGATTCATTATTTTTATTTTATTTTTATACATACATTTTTTACATTTTACTTTATTTATTTACGAGTATTAACCATTTTAATAATTTTGTTTTTACTTTTTTTATTTTATTATTTATCTTTTATCATTGTGTACATACATAAATTAAATTCCCCTATATATCCTATGCCTTCTCAACTTTTCACTTACAACAGTGTCCCACCTATTATATGAAATATCTGTCTTTTTACTTTAATTTCTAAATTCGTTTAAAAAAAATTGTTTAAGAGATATAATTTGATAATATTCCGCTAATAAACTGTGTCATGTGATTATAACCCTTATATCATGGTTTTAAAACACATTCAGTATACTGTTTATTTTATCTTCAATGAAATAATTAATTTATAATGTTTGTCGATGTATCTGCCTGACATATCTGCTGAGTTTCTGTAATTATATTATTATTTTATATCAGGCTAGTCAATACATCGGTGAAATGTGTCGATACATATTAGCTACGCCCACCAAACCCGAAGACACGAATCACAAATTAAGAATAATATTCGGCAATGGTCTCAAAACTCAGATATGGAAGGAATTTGTGACCAGATTCAACGTGCCGCGAGTGGCTGAATTCTATGGTTCCACCGAGGGAAACGCTAACATTGGTAAAATTAATTTTTTACTGATTATCATTATTTGTGGGATGCAAGAATACGCAAATGTATCCCATGAATTTCTTTTAACACACTTAGGGTACAAAGTTGTAGACAATTTCACAGAATATTTAGTATAATACCATAATTTTATAATTTTACAAATAATTACTTGGTGGTTTTATAACAATATTTTAGCGATTAATCACTTAGTAGATACTTACCTATATAATATTAAACTAAAATTCTATAATATGGATTATTTAGCGCCGATTTCGTTATTGCCTACTTTTTGTATCAATTATAATTTGAATAGCATCAGAAGACTTAAATACAGTTATAGATAATAGAATATTGATAAATGCCAAATGATAACAAAGGTATAGGAATATGTTTTATTCCTATATATAAAAAAAAACTCCGTTTATTACAGTTTGTTCAATGCAATTAATATTTATTAATATTTATTGTGTATTAATATTAATGAGTGTCATCCTACTACTGGTTAAAATTTTCAATATTGGTTTTGAATTTCATCCAAAAATGTGAAATGATTTGATGTGCATAAAATATTGGACCAGTTTACTGGTATTATATCATATTTTTAAACTTGGCCGAAACATTCTAATCATATAATTTGTATCTATTGTATCTACATGAAAATTAATTTTTGAATTTCTGTTCACAGCCAATACGGACAACACTTTTGGCGCCATTGGATTCGTTTCCAGACTTATACCTAGCATATACCCGATATCGATCATACGTGTTAACCCGGAAACCTGCGAACCTATCCGAAACGAGCAAGGACTATGCATGCGATGCAATGCAGGTACCTACCTAAATGCAGTAAATTATTCTGACAGAATAATATTACATTTTTCTGCACTCATTGAATACATTTATAAAACTAATAACTATGAAATAATAATTTTTAGGTGAACCTGGTGTGATTGTAGGCAAGATAATTTCATCAAACCCATCCAGACAGTTTTTAGGCTACATCAACAACAAGGAATCTGAAAAAAAAGTTGTGCAAGATGTGTTTGAAAAAGGAGATGCTGCTTTTTTGTCGGGTGACCTACTGGTGTCTGATGAATGGGGCTACCTATACTTCAAAGATAGAACTGGAGACACATTTAGGTGACTGTTATTCTCAAAATATTATTATTAATACACAGCAATATCACTCTTTCTAATAATTATTGCTGGTTTAAAAAAAAGCTTATTTTATTTTAACCAGTCAAAACTTAAAGTAATATAATATTGATGAACCCATAATTCAATTCTTATTACCATAATTCATAGTGGTATTATCATTTATGTCAGACACATACATCACTTTTTATATATAAATAGGTATTTATTTGTATTATAGAGATGACATTTTTCATGTGTCTGCAAACAATTTTTTGAGAAGACATCTTGCTGTAATATATCAAGTGTAGCACCTTTTTCTGAAAGGAAATTGTATCTAATTGGTGCGTTGAAGAGATCAGTTTTGATTTTTCAAGTAGTTTACATTATAATTAAGAAAATCTGGAAAAGATAAAAAATAAAAAGTGATATTTTAGTACATTACGGTTCCTTTGTTTTAAATTTTTATAACTTATGTTTTCTATCAAAAATATTGCTCTAATAGAAAAATATTCAGACACTTTTATTATTGAATTTTTAATCTATTTGGTAATAAAGAAAGTGGTTTTTTGATTTTCCTTGTATTTTTTTAAAAAGTTGATTAAAATCGAATAAAAAACACTGGAAGAACATTAAAAATATTTATAGATTTGAAATTTTGAATGATAAAAACTTATATTTGCTTTTTCTGAACATGGTTAAATTTTCAAAAACTGTAAGCCATTTTTGAGCTATTTATTGATATTTTAATTTTGAAAGTTTTTACATAATTTAGTAGTTTTCTTTGTGGAGAAAATTGTCAAACTAAACAAAAATGCTTAAAAATTTAGTAGGAGGTACATATCGTATTTAGTGGTAAAAAAAATTCAGTGTAATGTACATTATACATAGCAATTTGGTTAAATATAATACTTAATTATAAGATGGAAATTTGTTTTTATTGATTTACTTAATTTGATTTATTGACAATTTTTCATAAAATGTGTTACAGATGGAAAGGTGAAAACGTTTCTACTGCTGAAGTTGAAGGTGTTGTTAGTAATATTGCTGGTTATCGTGATTGTGTTGTCTATGGAGTAGAGGTAATTCATCCTATATATATGTATTTATTTTTTTAACTATAATAAATTGAATCCAGGTACCCAATTCTGAGGGTCGTGCGGGTATGGCTGCCATTGTAGACAAGACTAATACTTTAGATATACCCTCTCTATCAGAAGGCATACAAAAAGCTCTGCCGAATTACGCCAGGCCATTATTTATTAGAAAACTCAATGAAGTTGAATTAACTGGTAAATAATATTATTATTACAACCAGAACCTAACTTAAAAATGTATACTTATGGTATGTGTCATTGTTATAGGTACATATAAATTGAAAAAGTTGGATTTACAAAAAGAAGGATTTGACATGGGATTGATCAAAGATCAACTATATTACTGTAATAGTAAGGGCGTCTATGAAGTGTTAACTCCTGAAGTGTTCAAAGACATCTACGCTGGAAAAATTAGACTGTAAACTAAAAAGAAGTCAACTATTTAATATAAACATCCCTTTTTTTCTCATATGATGTTAATCTTGCCATTGACACTTTCTATTCTAATTGTGGGTATAAAATTGTTTATTTCAAATAATTCCTAGAAAAATTCTTTGTACATGAATTTTTAATTGAGTTTTGCTATCCATACGTTTATTTTTTAATTCTATTAGATACCTACTTAAAATATTAAAATACTTTCTTCTTTTTTTTTTTTTTTGTGACTTCTTTGTAAATATACTTTAAAGTTAAATTATTATTTATATGCATTAGAGTTGCTTTCATGAAATTACTTAATCTCTTAGAAAAAATAGCATTTTATACAAATTCAATATTCAATGTGTGTCATAGTATTTTGTTGGTACAACATCTACATTCATAGTTATTATTCAGTTGAATATTTCTTACAGAATTATTACTAAATTTGACTGAACCAAAATAAATTTTTTATTGAAAAATATTGTTAAATAATAACTTTACTTAATATTTTTATCTTTGTCATAAATAATGTTTAAGTGCGTATTTAAGAATATTTAACTTCTCTTTAGTTCAAAATTAGAATAGATGCAATATTTTGTTAATTAATTCTTTACCAACATATTTTATTAATAGAACTATCAATTATTTAAACTAAATATTATACCAAATATATTTGATGTATTTTAAATTATGATTAATATGTTTAGGACAATAGTATTTGTGTAGCTTATTATATTGGATTCGGATAAACATAATAATTCAGTTTGCATATATTTTTAATGTTTAAGATTTTTATGTGTATTTGTCAATTTTGTCTATTCGTTTTAAATATTGTTTGATATTTTAAAGTATTTGAATAGTTTTACTAACAAGTTTCAAATAGTTTTAATGTAAACATGTAACAAGAGAAAGAACATTTCTAAGAAAGCTGTTTGTAATCATAGTTTATCATCAAATAATTTGTATTGATTAATATATTGAAAAAATATTTTATTTTATTTTTATTAGTATAAAATGACAATGTTTGTTTTGGAAATTTTTTTATTAGTCATTATGGTATAAAATACTAAATTATATATTGTATACACATTATATTTGTTTATATCAATTTATTTGTCCATTTTTATCATTGATTTCTGTAAAATATTAAAGTATTGTACTAATATTATTAAAATATTACTATAAAAAAAACGATTCTGAGCAGAGTTCTGTTGATAGTGCTGCTTTGTCAACAACATATATGTCATATAGTAAAACTCCAATTATTCCAATTCCAAAATTAAAATTGATCCTGTTTTTTACATTTGAATATAAATCTCCAGAGAAAATCGAAAAAATTACCTTTCTAAAGTATCCAGTGAAATTTCCTTTTAGAAAAATTGCTTCACATACAAATATGAGCAAGATCTCTGGTAGAAAAGTTGTCCATAGAAAAAAAAATAATAATAAACTTCTTTGTAGAACCATAAGCTTCTCCGCTCCACTCAAAATCTAAAATACCATGTAAATCCAGTGGATTTTCAATTTATTTTCTTTCATACAAGCCTTATGCTGAAAATTTGGACAAATTTATAGACATCATTAACAGGAGTGTAAATTCATTAGACACAAGAGGCATGTTGTTAATGACTTCTAAAATTCATAAATTCGAACTTTTTTGGTAACATTTTTTTTAGCAACAAATTAGAAGCTCTAAAGTTATATAGATATCCAACCAATGCAACTTGTCAGGTTCTTAGTTTTGTACAAAAACTATAAGTATTTGATACTACCACAATAAAGTAATAAGAATTTGATCTTTTTATATTTATTTATTTATTAATTCAGATAAAAGTCCAATTCACAATATATTTGTATAGATATACTTTATAAATATTAATAATGATTTTATTTCATTACCTATCTCTCAGAAATCCTTATACTACAACAGATGCTCACAATTTAAATGAATTTAAACACTTTGACAGTGTGAGTAAAATTATAAATCTAAGAGAATTAAGAATACAATGTCAAACTGGAATTAATCTGATATCAACACTAAAATTAACATTTGTGTATTTGACAGATTTGAAACCATATTTAGTAAGTTAACATCATGAATGTAATTAAAGAATAATTAAATTATAATTATAATGTTGTAGATGAAGAAATGTATAATGTCTTATATCTGTGAATCACTAATTAGTAAATAAATACATAAATAAAAAAAAAAATAAATGAATAAATGCGCCTGGAGTATTATAATAAGTATATTATAATAAGTATTACACAACTGGTTTCAAATTAAAAATTCATCATTAGGTATATCACAATCAAAATTTAAAACACAATGAAAAATGGGAGCATTTATTTATTTTTATTTTTATATATATTTATTAACTAGTATTTACCATTTTAATAATTTTATTTTTACTTTATTATTTTATTATTAATCACTAATTATTTGCAATTAAATTAATTGTTCTTTAAAAATATGTGCATGTACATATTACTATTTAAATCATTTTTCTTGTATTTTATTTCTCTATTTCAATGTAAGGAAATAATTTTAATTATCCTTGATGTATTTAATTTAAATGTATGGTTTTATGGTGTTTTATTTTTTTTAGTCATTAATCTCCATCAAATCATTCCTTAAAAATATTTGCACATGTTTGGGTTTATTAATAAAATAATGTTCATTTAATGTGTTCTTTTACTTTTTTGAAGTTTTAAATTCTTAAACATAAAGAAAATTAGAAAAATGGGCAGTTAAAATGGTTAATTTTTTTTTAGTTTTAATTCCTTTAATTAATTTTAATTTTAACAGCCTAAGTGATATAAGAAAAGACTTGAAATTTCAAAATTTGGTATAAATTGTTATATAGTGTTCTTATTTTTGCACATAGATCATTTCAAACAAATGTATATTAATTTAATATTTAAGGTTCCCTCTTGAAGAGAAAGAGAGGCTTCAGAAATAGAAGAAAACGTTTTAAACCTAGTTCCCACTCAACATTGTGTAGTTTACATTTCAGTGAAACTGATTTCTATTCAGCTGTAGTAAACTTGTAAGTGGGAAACAAATATTAATCAAATCTGTTGTAACAACTGTATTTAATTTCCCAGATCACTTAACACCAAAAATAAAAAAAAGAAAAATTCTACTATTAGTAAATAAATATGCATACAAAAACAAATATCTTTATATATTTTATATTATTATTTGGGCATTAGGTAATTTTGTTTTTTTTCATAAAATTATTGTTTCAATGTTTTTTTTAAGGACAAAACCACAACAGCTGTTCATAATAGTGAAAATACATCTACTTGTGAAATAGGTACCTAGTTTGTAGATCTTAATATACAAATAAAATTAACTGGTGAAGAATTAGAAAGAACATTACATGATTACAAGACAAGAAGATTTTACAACAGAAATTAATTAAAAAAGATAAGCAAGTATGTAGTATGAAGGGTAGTATGTGTGAAATGTTAAATTTATTAAAAGTTAGTCACTTAATTGAAGATACTGTAGAAGATTTTTTTAAGAACCAATTTGATTCTTCTGTACCTTTATTTTATTTCAAAATTAAATTGCTAATGTAAATAATGCTTCTAATCGCAAATCATAATCAGAAGAATTATTTTGTTTAATGTTACATTTTTATGAGTTCATGAGACAAAGAAGTACACTTACAGATCCTTCTACTATTCTTAGATAGTTAGCAACTAGACATTGCAACCCTGGTATTTTACATAAAGTAATAGATTATTTTAAACAAAAACTTAAGTGTTTACACTTAAGACATCAAAGTTTTTGCATGTAAAAAATGCTGTTTTGATTTATGATACCATGTTAATTAGAGTGGGATTTTGGCTGATAAAAGTGATAAAGTGTATGGATGTTATGATCCTGGTAGCATTGCACACACTGACAATGAAGAATTAGCAAAAGAAATACTAGTTTTCATAATCGTTAGTCTAAATACAAAATTGAATTGTCCACTTGCTTATTTTTTTTATTGATAAAATAAATGTTACAGTTCAGAGCCAATTAGTACTTGATGTCATATCAGTCCTTTATGAAGCTGGAATTACAGTTTGAGCTTTGACAAATGATGAAACAACCACAAATTTAAAAACTTATGAAATTTTAGGTTATAGCTTAGTTCATATAAATATTGAATATTATTTTTCTCATCCAGAGAAAGCTCTTATAAATATTCACAGTATTTTTGATCCTTGCCATCTAATGAACATTTTTCGAAATTGTATGGCTGAGTTAAGTTTATCCCACTCAGGCAGTATGATATCATTTAATTGAAATCTCTTAACTGACAATTTGCAAATTAATTTATTCTCAATATACAATTCCTTACAACTTCCTTTACATTTATATAACAAATTTATAAGTCCACAAGAAGAGCATGTTTCAATAAGTCTTGTTATAATATTTATTTATTTATTTATCTATTTATTAACTATTTATTTATTGTTAAATTATTGTACAACAAATTAATTTATGTGAAGACAAAGATAGTAACACCATTAGTATATATCATTTCGTTTTAATTGTCTCTCTCAGGCAACACTGCTTGGTGAGCATTCCAGTTATCATATAAAGTTCAATAGTATTAACATACACAACTAAACCAGTATTTTGGTTAAAATTATTTCTATAAGTTTTATAATTTAAATTGAAACTTTATATTAATAATAATTAGACAACTTCGAACCAACATACAGATAAGACTATATAATCAATATATTATATGATATTATCTAACATAGGTAATTAATAATTGATTAAAATTGTTTTGAATTCATCTTATGTTAATATGAACAATCGTAAAGCGTTTATTATTAATTATTAATGTATTAAGAATGTTTATATCCGAAAAAGTATTATTTTTGAAATTTCCAAGATTATCAATTAAATCATTATATAAATAGTATTATTAATTTATATAATACATAAAATAATTATAATTTACTGACAATTTTTGTGATACCTATTATAATTTATTCCAATCTATTTCTGATTTGATTAACTCTGGATTGGTTCTTTCTTATGTACAAGGATACCTGAATTAATTGTCCCAACAAATTTAAATTATTTGTCATTTGCTATTTTTTTCAACTTACCAAATAGAACTTTTTATGTTTCGTTAAGTGGTGAAAACATTAATAATAATTTAAAGTGTTACATATATAATAATTGTTGACAAAAATATGGATTGTTTTGTGATAGGTGGAATAAAATTAAGTTTATAGAAAGAAACAGAAAAACATTTAGAAAGTATTCCTGATACTTGGCTGGTTGAAGACAAAGAAAGATCTTTTTAAACAATCATTGTTGACATTAGCAATGGGTTTATCATTGCTTACAGATATACATTAAATTCCCGCCTGTAGCCTATCTTCCCAACTAACCCCCCTACAAGTGGCTGCACCAATGTGCAAAGTATGCCGTCATTTTTTATTTTAACATTAATGTTGAATGATTTTTTTAATAAAAAGGAAAGACATATTTTGTATTATATTCATAATTTTTATTATGCTATCAATACTATAGAAGATTATTTATTTTATGCAGTAAATGAATGACTTTTTTAATCTTAACTCATTTTATTTAATCATTAAAAATAATACATGTTAATACTAAATTGTATATTCCTTTAATATCTTTCATGTGTTCCTCTATATTTATTAAATATGTTTGAGGTTTCTTGTGGAATAATCTGAGAATATTTTTTGGATACTGTCTGCAAATAACCAATGAATATGTTTGTAGATATATATGGTAAGTAATCTGAAGTGAGTCATAGTAAGTTGCTAATAATATTCCTTGAATATCTGAGGTTTATTAGTGAATCACATATACGACAATTATAAAAAGTACCTATAAGATATCTCAAGAAAAAAATATTCAATGTTATGTGGACACACCTTTAACATAAATAGATTTCAGTACAATTTTCGTAAATTAATTAAATTGTATACTCCTGAATAAAATTGAAGAATAAACAAGTTTGGTTAAATTGTCGTAAAATAGTTCCAGTTATTGAGCCCTCTCAAAAATGATAAAAATGAAAAATAAAAAAATTATTAATCCCGTTTTAGTTTATCACAAAAAAATGATATACCTATTAGAAAAAACTGAATTTATAATTCATTATGTTTTATATATTTTTAATATAATGTGGTTTGAAATATCATCAAATACTAATAATAAATAATATTTTGCAATTATTGTTATTATTTTTTAAATGTTAACTTGTATTGTGTGTTTGTGTTTCAATTCTGTATGCGAGTAAAAAAAAAGTGTTATACTTTATTGTTGTATTACCAGCTATTGACACTTTTAATTAATTGAATCAACTAAAAAATTGTTCATTATCAACAATATCTTAATATCTTAACAATATCTGGGTTCAATGGCAGTAGTACATGGAAGTAAAATTTGTGTACCAGATGTTTAAGACTTCCCTGACTGTAAGCTGTGATTATTTGGATCGTCAACATTTTCATAGGACACTTCCTTTTACAAATTATATGAATATTAAAACTTAATAAATTTGTAAAATTTTGTTTAAAAAATTAATTAATTTTACTAAGTAGTTTATACTTTATACTTACTTTCTTTTGACAAATTTGACTATCTTTCTGTTGAGCTTGAGTGGTGACTTGATAAATGTTTTTTTAAATTTGTTAAAGTGGACTTATATGAATATTTTGTCTTACATATAGGTATCACATTTAACAAAACTGTCATCAATAATAATAAAATGTACCCAAACATTACCTACTATAACGATTGTTCATTATAAAAAACAATTGTAAATCCATTATAATTTATACCTAAATTATACCTACTTAGGTACTTAAACATTTTTAACATTAAATAATTTGTTTTTTCACCAAACTTACCCATTGGGTTGTGAAACCTGTTATGTGTTATCTATCAGATTAGAATAACGAATTGAGATAATGAAACAAAATATGTATTTGCAAAATGGTATTGAAATTTCTTGTATTTATTAACATATCACAAAAACCTAAAATATTGTTTATGCATAATTTGACATTAATATTTATTTTTTAAACTATTTATATGTTTTCAAAGATATCAAACCATTTTTAGATTGAGATAGTATCATAGAGACTAGGGAGATAGTAATAGTAAAAACCTATAACAAAAAATATTATATTGGAGAAATAAATTATTTGTGTTTATATATTCTTTACAAAAAAAGACATGGAAATGTTCCATGAGAAATTAAATTTAATTAAAAGAAAAATCATAATACTAGCAGTTATTTTAGATCAACAGCGATGCAAAAGTACGAACATAACAAAATAAATAATAATAGAACTATTTTGTCACGAGTAGCAAAGTGGCCAACATAAGAAATTGCCATGGATATTATGATACCATTAATAACTACACGACAAATAGATGAATATTTTCAACTTTATGGTAATAAGCCGTAACGTCGGTTATAATGGTATCCAAATTACGGTTATGATATTACTCATTCAATCATATCGTTAGATATTATATGGCCCACACAGTCTACATGGCACACGGTGTCAATGGAATACCAGTATAAAATTAAAGATAGATTTAAGATTAAAGAAAGATTTTTCTATTACAGTACGTTTTCACGAAACTAGTAACTCCGCAGTGACACTTCCGGTGGCGAAATTTTGGTGTTCTGCGGTTTCTCAAACTTGCACACAATACGCAGCAGTTTGGAATACTGCACGGTTTTTAAAAAATACGAATAAAAATAATTATTTTGTTTATTGTATAATACATTTTATTATACATTATATTATTTATTGTAATGTACTAAAATATAAATTTTCTTTTGATATTTCAACATTAATATTTATTACAATTATAACACATTTTAATATTCTAACATTTATATTTACAATTGAAATGATTGTGAAGTGATCATGGAGTATCTATGGTACCTATTTGGTGGTTATAAAATGTTTGGCAGTGGAAGGTAAAATTTATATTAACAGGGCCAGCTGTTCGATGGTTGATCGCCGCATCATTTTTAAATTACCGCGGTTTTTTAGTCATACGTTTAGGAAACCCTTACGAAAATCTGTCACCGGAAGCGTCACTATGGAGTCGCTAGTTTCGTGAAACGTACTGTAGTAGCACGTTAATGATAATTATTAATTTTAGTTTGTTCATTGTATAGTGTAATTAGTTTATGATTCATTGTGGTACAAAAAAAGGAGATTATCACCACGAAAATACGAAATCACACGAATTAAGATATTTATGCTTATCACCTATCATCAGGATAGAGTTTAATTAGTAGATTTAATGAAACTCTTTAGATTATTCGATAGAGTTAACGAAAATCTCGGTAACACAGAGTTCAGTTTTGTAATGAAAAACTAGTGATATTACAAAATAGCAAATTTGTTAAGAAAGTTAATAATTTAAAATTCAAACAGTATTCACACGGTTATCAAGTTGCAGAATACCGCTGCAGCCAACGAACTACGAAAGTGATTATTCTCCGTCTACGCCATTACCTACCAAAATTGATTTCTCTACCATATAATTTTCTGCTCAGTCTTTGTAAAGGTAATGTATTACAGAAATCTTTTTATGATACCTACCGGTTCAAAATATATATTAATTGTGTGTATTTTTTTTAACTTGCCTCAAGGGATAAATGTAATTTCCCGCACGAGTCTTAGTAGATTAAAATCAGCCATTGATATACTTATGTTAGTTCGGACACGAAAAAAAATACACCAGTGTATAAGTTCCGAAATTAATAAAATACACCTATAATATGGAAATTCCTACACGAATAAGAATTATACCGAATATAGAATTCTTTCTATTATATGTATTTAAGCACATCCACGTACATATATTTTTTGTAGCAGTGTTTTTCTTAGAATGTATAATTATTTTTGTTTAAAATAATTTTTTCATTTTTGCTAAAAAAATAAGTGATTACATTAATTTTTTCTGAAATCAATAATATGGATTGTCCATACTCTTTATTATACCTGATAATATTTAATAGTAGTAGTCCGTACAGTATAGGAAATGATGTATTTAATCTTATTACTGTGATTTATTAGAAAGTGACTTATCAGAAAACAGGTACCCAGGTTCTATAAATGAAATATATGTATTTGTATACTTTTGTTTATGGTTGTTTGATCATGAAATGCTAGTTTTAATAATTTTTTCATATTGATTTATTTCTGTTAAAGTATATTTTTTTTTTTTTGGACTTAAATATGTATCCTCTTACCTGTTATACTTACCAAACTTCGTCTTGAGACATAGTTCAACAATCTTGTACAGTTATAAACTCTTTCTTTTGTATTGCTCTTAACGTAATTGTACTCTACTTTGACTGTGATATGATGATATGATACAATTTTACAATTGCGATAATTTTCAATTTTTTATTAGGTGTTTCCTGTAATTTTTCTTTTTATCGAAATACCAACTACTATAACAATATCTATAACAATATTATAAAGTAGTTTTCGCCAGTTTTAGGGGTCCAGACCTTTGGACCCCCTCTCCCCAGACACTGATATAATCTCAATAAAATTTCACCTAAAAACAGATATCTATTGAAAATTATACCTAGAGTAAGGCTCTCCTGTCTTTTCAGTACTCTGCCTAGAAAATTGCTGAAAATCCAACACTGGATATAGCAAGTACCTTAAGTATATTTTTTTTGCCATTAATTTTTTAATATTTTTAAATTATCCATAACTACAAAAAATAGATATATACCTATTCTTCTATAATGATATGTTGTAATTTTTAACTAACATTTTCATTATCAATTATCAAAGGATAATTATTATAGAAAGGTAATAGTTAACTAATGTGGACTGTGAAGGAAATATTAATTTGTTGTATCAACAAATTATAAAAATCTTAATATACTATAATAAACTTGTGTTCATGTATAATCTATAAGTTACCAGTTGTTTTTTTGTGTGTACTTTTATCAAATTTCTAGGCTATTCAAATCATTATTTTTTTTTTATAACTCAATAGATCAGGAATTTAGCGTATTAATTTTTTTCTCAATATTAAAATCCACATTTTTATGTAATCATACTCAAATAAAAATTCACTAGCCTAATTTGAAGAATTTTGTTCTTTTTCTAATTCATAATATTATTATAAATACTTTATATAGAAAATATACCTAGTATTTGATATGACTTAATCTCAGTTTCACAACCCAATGGGTAAGTTTGGTGAAAAAACAAATTATTTAATGTTAAAAATGTTTAAGTACCTAAGTAGGTATAATTTAGGTATAAAGTATAATAACTATTACTTTAACACGAAAAGTATTCTAATAATAAATAACTTTATTAAAAGGACCTTTTACCTTCATCTACTGTCTAACTAATGAGTAACATGCAAAATTACGCGGAATAATTAAAACTAGCTTAGTTTTGATTTTAGAGTAAAAGTACCAATTATGAAATTTATAGAGAATAATGTTTTGGAAGGAATGTCTTAGGGTTCTGGTATTATTCAAAATATACAGCTCGATATCTCTATAGTTTCTATCCATAGATTGGTTTGCAGCCATAATATAGCCACAGATAATTTGAAAAATAATTGTTGAGGGCCATATATTTTAGGAGTTGAGCAAAAATAAAATTGTTTGACCTCTAATTTGTGTTCTATCTTAATTAACACCCTTAGTAAAAAAATAAATTTATTTATTTTTGTATAAAAAACAAAACTAATGTATAATATTATTTAATTATTTAATAGAAAAGAATATATATAGTGGTCTCTGGATAATTCAAACTTTTAATGATTCGAAACTTTTGGTAATTCAAAGTAAATGCTCGGTCTCTTTAAAATCTTTCACATAAATTTGAATAAAAACAATTCATTTAAGGGCACTGGGTAATTCAAAATTAAATTTCAGGAAAACTGGCTATTAACACGTGACAATTTGAAGTTTCATATCTTCAAGGCTTGGCAATTTGAAATATATTTACCAAATTTATTTCTTATAATATTTTCATTATTTTATTATTAATTATTATTTTCGAAAACTATAAAATTATAGCATTTTATTTCTTAACTGTCTCTCTTATTGTATTTTAACTTGTTGAAAGCCAACTGTAATTTTATTTTAGTTTTTAGTTTCGTTTTGTTGGTTGTAAAGTAAAGTTCTATAATAATTTTATATTTACATTTTAAAAACAGTAAATACTGTAGTACCACATAATTTGCTATTATATTAAAAAAATATATATATATATAAATAATTTCCTACTCTGTTTACAGTGATTATGACGAAACAAGAAACCCAGTTGACTAATAATCAACTAAGGAACCAATCTTTGTTTCATACAAATTTAAATAGGATTCATAATGACCTTCAGAGGGTGAATGAATACTATATTCCTAAATATGATCATCAAGTCAACAATGGACAACAAAGTAACATAGAAAACATAGGACACAAAGTACCAAAATTTCTGGAAAATCAAAAAAAAAAACCCCCCATTAATTTCTATATTGAATTATACAGAATTACAATGAACGAAATTGAATTAACAAGAAAAACTCAAGTACAACAAATATTAAACAAAAAAGTAAATGTCTGGGAACAAAAACGAAAAGATTGTACCATAGGCGCTCTGTCAAATTTAAGTATGAAATCAATTCATCCAACAATTAATGAACCAAAAAAATATGAAAGTGATGATATGACAACAAAATTGATTGGTATAAATAATGATAAAAAAGAAAATAACTCAGAAATTGAAAATTTTACATTTAAAATTAATGTGAATAGAGAATTAAATAGCGATTTAAAAAATAATTATCCTAATATCAATAATAAATTAAATAATATAAAAACCGAATTGACCATTTCTCCGTTCAACATAAATGAAAGTTTATCCACATTTAAGTTTAAAATGTGTACACATACTACCAGTACAGATATCTCAAATTTTTCTTTCAAAAATGATTACAATAAATGTAAAGAAATTAAGCTCATTACCACCTATAAATTTGAAGATGAATATAGACATATTTTAGAAAATCATCTTGCTATACAAAAATATTTGAGAAAGTATGAAGATTTATATTTTCTTTTTCTTGGTGATGATAACCTTAAAAATTTAAGACAAGAACTAATTAAAGCAATTAATACACCAGTGAATAGTATATCTTCAGCCTCTTCATGGCACATGAGGGACAAATTTGATAAACTACATGCATTATTAATGTGTAAAACTGTAACAACTGGTAATTCTTCTGTGTCAGTAAACAGTCATCCACATGCATTAACATTTTGTAAAGATACACTTGCAAAAAAAATTATAAAAATTGGAGAACATGTTGTCAGTGTAAAAACAGGAACTGCTTTTGATGTAGCATCAATTGTTGTAGAACTTTGGCAAATGTATCCAGATTTTGGTATATTATTATATGCTAGATTTAAACAAAACTGTCCTTGTCTTATACCACACAATGCTACAAGAACTATTGGAGAATCTGATGAGAAGTATTATAAATCATTAGGTTATAGTTATACAGATGGTGTTGTTGAAAAACAAGATAAATATGTAATAAGAATGACTGGTATCATAAGATTATTTGCTTCTATAATAGTGACCAAAACTAAGAGTGGCAAAGCATTAGGTATTGCCCAAGCCTGGATAATCATTACAGCAACATTAAATCTAGTTCCTCAATTAGACATTACAGCTATTTTATTACATGAAATGTTAGTAATTACTGGTTATCATCTCAAAAAAGCTTATAGTAGACAATTTATGAAAATCATACAATATATTGATACTAACTATATGAAAAAGATTGATGAAGTCACTCCAATTGATTGTGTTGGTCCAGTACAAAGATTGAGAACATTAATATCCAAAATTATTGAGTTAGGTTATGTCAATAAGCCCAAAGGTATATTGCCTTATAATTTTTGGTGAACACAGGTTATATATTTTTGTTTTTATCTATAACCAATGATTTAATTAAGAAAAATGATAATGGATCATAGTTTAAGTCCATTAAATATTATTTAAATTTTTGATGTTTCTATATATATATATATATACTTGCATATATAAATCATCCCATATTTTCATAAATTCTATTTGATTAAAAATTAAGATATAAATTTAACATATTTGATTGTATTTAAAAATATAATTACAGTTTATTAGTTTTTTTTTTATACTTTAAAAAAATCTATTGTAATAATAATTAACAATAAATGTAACTAAAAATGCTTATATACTAATTACTTGAAAAATGAAACTACATTGTTTTTTCCATGTCTAATTTCTTCCTCTTCTTCTAATTTAGACAAATATATTATAAGCATTAATTTGACAAAACATATTTTTTTTAAAAGCACATATTTATTGTATAATTTGTGATTTGTTTTTTGCCCATTATAGTTGTAGCATTAATTTTTAATAACTATTATTTAATTAAAATTACAGTAATAATTAGGGCTCCTAAATTATAGGAGGTAAATCTTGTAAATTCATTAATTATGCGAAATATACATTCAGATATGCTTCACTAAAAAATTCCAAAAATTAAAATTAAAATTTAGCAAAATTTAACCAAAAAAATAGGGTAAGCATACTTAGTGAATCATCCTGTATATTATAATATAATACAATAATGTGTTCCTTTTGTAATGGTTAATGTCTCTTTTTAAAATTTAAATCATAAATTATTTATCATGTGGCTAAGATATAAAATAATATATATTTAACCATGATTCTTATGATTTCTCTATTCATTGATAATGAAAGCACACGAAAAATGAAAAATCAGTATTTTAACTGATAATACTAAGGAACTATAAACATGCTCTATAATACCCTAATAATACTAAATTGATAGAATCCGTGACAAATTAGAACTGACTATCGATTAACTTTAATTGATTGACTTTACCAAGTACATTAAGTTTGTTTTATGTATGTGTGTTTAAAGTAATATTAATTTTGTATTATGATGATAGTTACCTACTATATTTTATTATCACTTTTGGTTTTTAAAAAAAAAATTTAAAACTATATTCAATGCACCAGAATCATTATCTTTGTACGAATATTTTTCCAATGTATAAATAATTCAAAATTGAGAAAAGTATAAAAAAAATTATTCTCATTGCAATAAGCGATACTAGATATGTTTGCGGGTTTAAAAATTGTTATAGAAAATGTTTAGTCAAAAGTGCTTATATTACAAAAATAAATAGATGCTAAAAATAATAGAGATGTTATTCGCCCAATGGGTTCCATATTTTGTAACACCAACTCTCATAAAAAAAAAAATTAATGAAAATTAATAAATCTTGATATTTAGGAAATCCTTGTAAAAATAAAAAATTGCTCTTTAATTGTGCACCCTTGTATACATGGGAGGGGGGGATTGCTCGAAAATGATACGAGAGAAAAACAGCTGGAGCTTTAGCCTCCCCTAGTTTAGAAACCTATTTAAGCTTATGGCCCTAATTCGTCTAAGACATAAGTCTGCGCAAATTCATCTCTGGAACAAACAGGTAGATAGGATACTCTTATCAAAATTAATATCATACAATTCACAGAAAGACACATTTATTGGTTTTTTTTATTTTGATTTTTCAAACAATTATGAAAATTTTCTTAGTAATATAAATATTAACTACTTTATTATGGATACCGAGACAGCAAATAGTGTAGCATATATAACAGGTTGGATTTGTTCTCAATTAACTTATAAGGCTTGTATAGAAGAATTAACATCCAGTAAGAAATCTGAGAATAATGTTTCATTCAACATATAATAATATCTGATAACATATGATAATATCTTTATCAACATGAAGGAATATGATAGTAGTAATTTATTGTAGAGTGAGGTCACACGAGCGTTTTATTAACGGACGTTACGACGGACGTCATGACGTCCGTTGTTTAAATTCATTACAGTCATACCTAGCAGCCACACATACGACGTCCATTGGATTTACCGTCCGTTCGACGTTGGTGATAGGCAAGATATGCTATAACGTCCGTTACGATTTGCTTATCAGCGTTGTAGATTATTATTAGATTCAATTGATAAAGACAGACGAACGTTGTTTTGACGTTCGTTTTTGTTATTTAGTTCATGTTTTTCACTTGTAGGTAAAAGGTGATTTCATTTTAATTAATTTTAAATTGGCTAGCATTTCTTGGGGTGGTATCGCAGATCTCATATTCGTATCTTGATGAATGATTTTATGTTTAATTTTGGAAAAAATTTCATCAAATGACGTTAAAGACATACGAAAATAATTAAAAAAACTTACATTATCAGCTCGTAATCTACTATAAAGAGTGTACAAATCACCATGCAATGATCTTCCACTATTAATTGGATGCACCCACCATTTTCTTTGCACTCGTTTTTTTTCGCGAACAATTTTCAAAGTAGTATACGCAAAAATCGCAACCTTCTCGTCATCCATTTTGATGATAACTGACGTTGTTCCTAGCTAGTGTGACCGGAAAAGTAACGACCGTTAATAAAACACTCGTGTGACCACACTCGTACCCTTTTACAAAAACGCTTGAATTTATAAAAGCATATAACTGCATTGTTTGATTGGAGAATTACTTTAAAAAAAAAAAAAAATATTAAAATTAATCAAAACTATTTGTAAAATGTATACATTAAATATTTGTGAAAACTGAAAATACAATAGTTGAAAAGTATTTAAATGTCAGTTTAGATAGTTTTATAAAAAAGTACAATGGCTCCTCTGTACCCTATAAATATTTAAATAATAAAAAGTTTAAAAAAATTACGTATAAATTATCATATATAGTATTTGGTAATTATCAGCACAAATATTGAAATTTATGAATAAAATATAGTTATACACTTATACCCCTAGGGGGTAAAATAACGGCAACCACAACTACGGGGGAACTGATAAGAACTGGACGCCAGTTTTGACCATAGCTGTCCCGTACTATCGTATATAGTATTTTGGTAGAATGCGTTTATCATGTAGTAGCTCTATCCATAGTATATGATCTAAGATTGTTTAGCCGGATTAGCTAAGGGGGTAGGTAAAGGTCCCTAAAGTAATAATGAACGCACTCGTTACAAGTAGAAGAAATTTATTTAAATATTAACGAATAACAATAATACCTAACGAACGACTCGAGGGATCGGTGTTGAGCGGCGTAGACGGTCAACCTGGCCGGTGTTGACGGTAAACCTGGTCGGTGTAGACGAAGGACGTTGGAAGGCGGAGCGATTGTGTGTAGGTAAATGGTTACGACGAAAGAAATCGACCGGGTGGAGGGCGCCCGGTAGTCCGGACTCCGGTAGGGGGAAAGATATGTGGCAGCAGTGCTGCCATAATAGGAATATTGGAAATAACGTTCCATAACAAAGCATATGATGATGTAAACATAAACTGATCAATCAGGGAGCAGCATTTTACACGGTCTACACAAAAGAACGAGAATACGTCTGCATTGGAATGGTGCCTTTATGTTGTTAACTTGTGGTTTAGAGTATAGCTACTGTAACTATATGCCGCGTGGTAATTGCATTCTTAATATTAGTAACATTTCTAAGCATCCTCAGAGTTGTAAGTTTATTTAAACTGTGAGCATCATTTTATTATTAAATATTAGTTTAGTTTCAAAGTGTCGTGCCGAACTCTGTGTGTTACAAGCATATTTATTATAATGGCTGATAGAAGCGCCAAAATGTATGTGATTTTTAAATTTACTTATTTTATTTTTTTGTTAATACATAATAATAAAATCTAATTGTACACAGACTTGTTTGTTCCGGAGTCAATGGACGGATAAATGGCTTCATTGATTATTTAGAATCAATGTTCACTGAATCCGGTGATTACGACTACGTATTTTGTATCGGTAATTTTTTTGGAGATGAAGAAAATTCTGAAAATGAGTGGAAACAATTTTTAGATTCTGGAAAAACTGGTAAGGAATATAACTTTTTTCAGCTTTTAAAATGTATCAACATAATTATAACATGTTTTTACAAGTTTGTTAAATTAAATTACCGTATATCAGTAGCATAACTAGGATCTCTCTTTGGAATGGTAATACTATTACTATTATTTATTAAAATTGTTTCAATTATTTTTTTTCAATATAAGTACTACATGTGGAATAAAGAATTTATGAAATAAAATAATTTTTGATTGGTAATCAATATTATCTGAAATTTGGTAAATATTATCTTCATGTTACAAATCTTAAGAAATTCAAACTATGGGTTAACTGATCCCAAGAGGTTTTGTGGCTGACGTCTACCACTAGCCGTCTGCGTCTTAACGCTGGGTGCTACTTGCGGGCGGTCATGGTACTGGAGCGACGACGGCAAGCCGCCGCCGATCCAGGATTTTCAAAGAGAATACCGGCCCCGGGCTTTTGAGGCCCGAACCTTTCTCGCAACCGGGAGGGGTTTCCGTTCGCCCACTAGGTGCAGTGAATTAGCTTTACTATCTCGTGCCAGTCCCACAGCCACCACGTTTCAGCCGAGTAAGGCTCCTCAACATTGGGGGCACTAGCGGCCAGGCCAATCCGGCGTGAAGTGGGGCTCCCCCGTCCATGGTACCTAATAGGTTTTTGGTTGAGACTTCGTCTCTCCCACTATTTTGGCTCCCCAGTCGGCTAGTGGTTGGCCTAATAAACTATGGGTCAGTATGATCCGATGTGACTATTTGTGTAACTATCCTCTGCATGGGTGCAACTACACTACCAACTTTGGAAGTGTTAAAATTATAGACATATCACTCTTGGACAATGCTTTTACAATCCCTCTACATGAGACTTACAATAAGCAACTACACATTTCATTTTTATTTTTTATATAAATTGTCTATATAGGTAATCTGTATTTGTTCTGCTTATTAATTATGAAATACATAAATAAAATATTTAGTGAATACTATAAAAATGTATTGGATATTTTAGGAGGTGCTAATTTTAAGTGTGGGGGTGCTAAGAACCCCTAGAGTCCTCCTAGTTGTACTTATGATTCTTTAGTGACCAGTTAAGAGTTAATTATTTAAAATTGTCTAAAAATATAATTTGATTAAATAATAATTTTATTAAAATTTATAAACAATGTTAGGTATTAATTATTTCCTTTTTGTACATAATATATCAATAAATACAAATATATAGTTTATAATATAATTATAACATTTTGTTTAAATCAATTTGACATATTTGAAACCTTTCAATATACTTTCAAAAATTACTACAATTGACATAAAAATAATATACTTGAATACAAATTAAGTATACATCTATTAAAGTGTATATACAAATCGGTCTTTGGGCCAATGTTGGTGTATTCTGGTGAGCAATTGTGAATTATTAAACTGCCCTAATTTTTGGTGTCAATAATATAGCATCGAAAGATAAAAAAGAAACATCACCTTATCTTCTTTACATTGTGCGTGGTTTTGTTTGTGTCAGTTCAACTTAAAGTTTGGCTTATTAGAGCTAAATTAACCCAGATGACCCAGAATAAAGAGATTAAGTATCTGTGAAAATTGATTGATTAATCTGAAAACCTGTTTTAATACTACTATCAGAATTTCTTTTTTACTATTTCTCAAATATACAAGTTCACCATTATATAAAACACTGTCTTTAACTTTTATACAATCATAGGATTATCAGCCAATAATATACTTTATATTATATTTTATACTTTATACTAAGTATTGTATACTTGGTGATTCATTTTAGTAGGTACACTCATTATCTTTGAAAGTATTAATTTATTCCAGAATTTGTTCTTTAGAACATTTAAGAAACAAACTGCTTTACAATTTTTTATTTATGTTATTTTTGGAAGTAAATTATTACCTACTTTTGATTTTCAAATGGCAACCTATATTAAATAATCCATAAATAGATAGAGTATTAGATAATATAAATTTGAAAGTTTAAATTTTTGATTACTGTCAAGTTTTTGATGTGATATTGTAATAATTGATATCAATCATGATATAAATATTAATGTAGATGATTACACCAATAACCATATTAAGTATCAAATTTTCGGGGCTATAACCATTACCTACTTTTGATTTTCAATTGAAAACCTATATTAACATATCCATAAATAGATGGAGTATTAGATAAAATAAGTTTAAGAGTTGAAAATTTTGATTTATATCAAGCTGTTGATGAGATATTCCACTTTTAAGTTTAGGTTGGAGGAGAGTAGTGGTACATTATTAACATGCCAATAGCACACAAATGTTATTAACACACAAATGATACTCCACTACTTATAAATCAAAATTTTCAACTCTTAAACTTATTTTATCTAATATTCCATCTATTTATGGATATTTTAATATAGGTTTTAAATTGAAAATCAAAAGTAGGTAATGGTTATAGCACCAGAAATTTGATACTTAATATGGTTCTTGGTGTAATCATCTACATTAATATTTATATCATGATTGATATCAATTATTGATGGCCATAAAATTTGAAAATGCAATTTTATAATACTAATACTATTTTTTGATATTATGTTATTAAGATTGAAATTCAAACTATGTATTGGCAAACTTATAATCAGTGCTTATAATTGTATTTATGGTTCAATTTTCAATTTTTTTCAATAACCATACCTAAATTATATCAAAAACTAATAGTAAAAAGCTATTGAGATGACCATAGGTAATAAATAATAAAATTAACAAAGACTTAGAAATGTATGCAATTTAGAGTTTGTTTTAATTCATTTTATTTTATATTATTTCTATATTAGTAAGTTAATTTTTTTTTCAGTTTCAGTACCTGTTTATATATTAGGACCCAACAAAACAGAACATAAAAAGTATTTTCAGAACTTGACTAACAAGCAATTGGCTCCCAACATTTATTATCTTGGTAGTATTTATTATTTTTAATTAATTTGTTTACTTAATTTGAGTACATTTTATGCTTGTTAGGTAAACAAGGCATAATAACTTCTTCAGAAGGTTTGACCATTGGCTTTATTAGTGGCATACAAGGTCCCTTTCAAGGTATTAAGTGTGAAATGCATGAATTCAACTGTGAATCTCTGGAAATGTTCAAAAAATGTTTTGTAAGGTCTGAAAAGAAATTGGATATCCTTTTGACATCACCATGGCCAACAGATGTTTACAATAATGATAATACAAATAATGTATAAACAGTTGTTTAAACTTGAGTGATGTTTAACTAAATTTTATAAAATAAATCTTCTTTTTATTTGTATAGATATCTTTTTCTAAAGAAAATTTGGATACAAAATGTGTATCAAACCTATTGTCATGGATAGCTATAAATGTAACACCAAATTATCATTTTTCTGGAATGCAAGGCATTTATTATGAGCGTACTCCATATAAGTATGAACATATCACTATTTTTTAAATTGAGTTGGGTATAATAATTGCTTTTCATTATAGAAGTCCGAATAACCAAATAACAAGATTTATTGCTTTGGGTAATTATTATAATATTAACGAACCTGAAACAAATCCTAAACCAAAGTGGTTCTATGATTTTATTTTGAAAAAAAAAAAATTAATAGCGCCTAAGGATACAATTGTTACTACCAATTCACCATATTCTGCTACATTTGAGTATTGTGTACAACCTATATCAAAAGAATATTTTACTAAAATATCAGCCAGTGATCGTGCTCTAAGAATTCAAAAATTCAAAGAAAGGAGTAATCAAAGTGAGTTAAATTAATTTTTTTTTTGTATACAATTCAATGTATATTACTTAATCAAAATATATGCTAACAAATTAAAAATATTTATTTTCATAACAGCTAGTGAAGGAAAAACTGATGTTTGTTTGTTGTGCTGGTCCAATCAAACTTCGGCTAATAAACACATGATTGTGTCAACTGGTGATCTGGTGTGGACTTCTTTTGGTATTTTTATAAATTCAAATTTTAATTTATTTTATTTTATTTAGGTATATTTAGCTGGTAGTAAAAGTCCATTGGTTCAAGAAAATTTATTTATTTCTACAATTGGTCATTATAAATCATTTAACAGAATTTCAAAAATAGGACAATTTGAAGTAAATATGTAATTACAACATTTTGCACAGTATTATATTTTAGAATGTTGGTCACTATGGAATTAAAATTAATTTGTGTACTATTAACAGGTTTAAATTGTCTTTGATTAAATATTTTCAAAGTTCTGGTCGTCAAGTTGTATTTTTTGAACAAAACATAATGTCCACGCACTTCAACCTACAAGCAATCCCAGTCCCAGTTTCCAACAATATGATTGACCGTATTAAATGTGCATTCATAGTAATATAAAACTTGCACTACAAATCACATGATATGTTATTATTATTATTTTGTTTTTTTAAGGCTAAATTCAAAGAGCATGGCCTTAATTTGGAGCCAATTTATGAAAAGGCCTTGTTATATAAAATGATAACGAGTGAAGGGTACTTTTATTTAGAATTGCCAGAAAGAAAATATTACTTGTATACCACTTATAATAAAGATAATACAGAATTTCCCAGTCTCATTGCAAGGTATTATTATATAATAATATTAATTTTATAAAATTGTTTAATTGAAATAATAAAACTTAGGGAGGTATTGGCATCAAAATCATTGTTGGATATCGAAGATCGAATAGATGAAAAAAACTGTACTAAGGACATTTCAGAAGAAACAAAGGACATTGAAACATTTAAGGTTGCTTTTAAGGTTTTCAACAAGTTCAAAGAAGTTGAAAAAGAATAATTATTTTCACTTTGTATATGTTATAGGCCATATAGAAAATTATTATTTTAGCAAAAATACTAGGCTCTTTGTGATAGTAGCCCGTTTGTGAACTACTTATTATTTTTCCAACTGGCCAGCTGTTTTTCAATAGCTTATTCCATACTGATTAGTAGCAATTAGGTCTTTTAAGAACTACTTTTTGCAAAAATACTGATTTTCCATAAGGCCTATGACATTCACACTATATTTTAATATTACTTAATAGAACTGTTTTAATATTCAAAACATGCAAATAATATTTATGTAAAATGTATCACATATATTATTATATTGAGAAATAACATTTCTTAAAAATTAAATTTATTTGAACTTTATAATTTGTAACTTGCATCTTTCAGTAGGTATTTTTTTTAAATTTTTTTTTTAATTATTAGATAAAAATATTATTGGTTGTTTTCTTATTTAAGGGCGTATGTTCATGTTCGAGAAAACTTTAAAATATGCGTGATAAAAGATTATTATATTCCTTAAAAATGTAAATTATGCTTTATATAATTATACATTTGTGTGTCATTGGCGTGTTAATGATGCACTATTAATATAAGTTAAAATAATAAGTGTCTTATAATGCACTATTAATATAAGTTAAAATAATAAGTGTCTTATAATGGATTGACCTGTGATCATCCTATATATAGACATATTTAAAATAATCTTAATTTCTTTAGAATTAATGTACAATCAATTTTTATTTATAGCATTAATATATTTATATATGGCTTGAATTAAAATTAAAAAGACTTAAATAATTTAACAATTATTTTTTGTGTACTTTATAAACATATTTTTACTGATTGATTTTGTTGTATTTATTGAGGTCTTGACACATTTATCTGTACAGTCAATTATACAATAAAATCTTATTGAAAAACAAACTGACATTCTTTGATGGGTGGGCCACTGTTGTAGATGAGCAGTTAGGAAGATAAAAAAAAAATTAGTGTGTATCTGTACACAATGACTAACCATTACTAACAAAAAATGATTTTGCTTGGAGTTCAGTTAAACATGTTTTGAAAGGTTGTCATATTTAGAATTTAAAAATAATATATTTTCTTCCATTTATTATGAAAACCCCTAAGAAAATCAAAAGTTGAGAGCCTTAAAATACTACTCCAGTTAAATTTCTTTTCAACAAAAATGCAACACTTGAAAATCTGAGCAAAATTTCTGGTAAAAAATAAATAATTGTTCTAAAAAAAAAAAAACAATGTATTCCACACTGAGCTCAAAATCTAAATTTATGTAAGCAAGTTTAATTAGTAAGTTTTAGTAATTTAGTAAGTTTAATTATTTTTTGGTAACTTTGAAAATTTGAATATATAAAATTTAACTCTGGAAATCACGATTTCACTAAATTTGATGCAATTGTTAACTGTATGTATTATTTTTGGATTAAGCTAAAAATGAACATACTTCTATTTGGTTTTTACTACAATTACAAGACAATTAGCTATAAACTGTTCACTCAGTTGCATTATGTTGTTCCTTGTGGTACTTTTATAAACTTTTTTTTTAAAAAATTTTTAAAATAAATTATAACTGAAATAATTTATTTATATTAGTTAAATAAATTACAAACCAAACTAATTTAAATTGTAATTTTTCATTCCAAATCTTGTACAATTACTTTAAGATTTGGAGCATAGCAAAGGATCTATTTGTTTTACTATGAATTATGATGTGTTTTTTTCTGTCTGAACAACTTTTATTAGAAAACATGGTCCAAAGTATAGACTATAGCACCTCCTCTTTGAAATGTAATTTTCTTTAGTTAGTGAATTACATACAAAGTATGCATGTCCTTTTTATTTATAATAATTTTATATGTTTTTCAACCTACTTTTATTAAAGAAATTACATTATTATACAGTTATTAATGATTTGAGACCAATTGTACACACAATATTGATTTGTGCCCTACTGCACATTTTAATAAAAAAAGATTTTGAGTTGTAGACCTTTTTCATACAATTCATAAAAATGAGTAATATAATATTGCTGATGGATTAATATAAATTAATAAAAGAAATATACATAGGTAAAATTGAGGAAGTATTGTATTTAAATAATAATGATAACAAACTTATTCATAATAATATTACACACATTCATTAGTGAGCTACATATTAATCAAAATATAATAGACATCAAATAAAATATATTATTATATGAAACTCAATAAAAGTAAATAGCTGTCTAAATTAAATATTTTTTGCAAAAAAAATAATAATAACATTATGTTATTATGTTCGATAAATAAAATGTAAATAATGATACAGGGAAAAAATAATTAATGTTTAATATTGATATAACAAAAATAATTTAATATTAAAAGTATTACAAATCAATAAATAAAATTTACTTTTTTCACTTTATATATATAATATGAATATTATTCCTCATGAGTATGAACTACTAGTGTATAAACTCAGAGACGAACAAAGATATTTCCATAGTATTCCATTAAGTGAAACTCTAGGTGTACTTTTGTATTATAATTTATCCAAGTAAACACTACAAACACCTACATCTATTGTGGAAATCCGAGAGTGTGTGATAGTCTCCACTAAGTAGGAAATCATTTCGCACACTCAAAATACCTATCCGTTAGTATTAAAATTGTAAGTTTATATTGCCATGTAAATGAATGGGTTGTTATGATTTTACTCTTTCATAATCCCCTTAGATAATATATTATAACAGCATGTTTTTTTTTCCATCACACATGGTAATAACCATATACCTATAGATTAATAATACCACCATCTGAGTTTTGATTTCAAACAAGGCCACAAAAGTGATAAAGTACAACCTTACAACTTTTCTTCTTATTGATTGACAGTGTTGTATATAACTTCACAAATTATTAATTTGTCCATATTCTACACAATTTGAATGCTTTTCAAAATTGTAATATAACAAAAGTTTCAAAATCTTTAAAAATTATAACTCTACAGGTTTGTGTTAAGTAACTGTGCACTAGGAACCTGGTTTTTTAATCATTGAATTCAGCTGCTCTACTTGATTTCTCCCAATTCGAGCATTGAATACAACAGAATAACCTCTTATTATCCGAACGAAAAATTCTGAGGTCGATTTTTGTCACTTGCATAGGAATAAAGGAGAGCGGAAAATCAAACATAACTCGTTGATTCGGGAACTATATCAGAAATCAAACATAGACGATATAAGAAAGAGGTGGCTCTTTGGGGGGAAAGAAAAGAGTCCTTATACTTGGTAGACCAAGGCTGAGGTGGAAGGATTAAGTGTCCATATGGACTTCACATATATTGTTAAGTGGTTTGAGCCGGATACTGATTGGCAAGTCCGAGCACAGGATAAGGTAAGATAGCATAGCATGTGTTTGTCAGTTCGGTCTTGAAGGATATTTTTGTAAAAAAAAGTAAACTTATGATTAACTTTCCAAGTTCAAACCAGTGGTAATGTAGGTTTCTCATGCGTTATATTGTCATTCCAATCAATCAGTCAATGAAATAGTTACATAGATACATGTCTAAATTTTTGAGGGATTGACAAAACAAAATGTTGACCTAATAATGAACAACTGTTCATTACAAGATTATTTCCTTATTTTCATGTTATAGCGAATCTAAATAATTAAACACATTAGTTTATTGACATTATTGATATAATTTGTATTTTGTATAGAAAAACATTAGGAATACCACACAACTTGTAACTATAGATAAAGTAGCAACTTAATAAAAATAATAATAAGTGTAATATTAAAATGTACAACGTGTTGGCTTTTCTTGGTAACACCAAATATGTTGACTTTTTTTAAACTTAAAAACTAAAATAGATTTTAAAAGTGATGAAATTATTTGTATAGCTACACATATATTATAGTTAATAATTTTTTAAAAACTAATAAAAAAAAAACAAAATTGAATTTCTTTAAAATGGTGTCAAATCATTTGTTTGCAGATATGCACACTAAAAGGGTTAAACAAGTATTATTATTAAGAAGTTTTATTATGTTTTTAAATTATTTATCAAATCACAATTTAATCAATATAATATGAAAATACACTGAATAAGCACNTCAAATCATTAATATTTTTAAGATAAACATACAAATTGTGTTATCTATGGCTGGTATATCAATTACTGTAAAAGTACTAATAAAATGACTCTTTTAAAAAGGATACCAAACAAAAAAAAAAGTGTACCTGAATTCAATAAATGTATAACATTTTATACCTAATAAAATAAATAAATATCATATGAGTGGAAGGCAATTTATAGGTTGGAGGTAAGCATTATAAATTATTAATATACAGCTCAAATTGTCTACCTATTAGTTTAATTATATTACCTAAGTAAGTAATTTAAAGAACTATTATTAAAAAATAGAAATCATATATTATAAAATAATACACAATTCTATTAAAGTTGGTTTGTATACAAAAGGTTCACCACGTTCATTAGTTTAATAACTTGCATACAAAGTATTATGGTGAAGTATGGAAAAACTATTATGTTGTTCAAAGGATTGTATCAAATATTTTGTAGAACAGGTACTGTAAAATACAATTAACGTTATATATATCTTCAACTATTAGGACAATTAAGTAGGTAGGTATATACTTCTTCAGTTTTACTAATTCAGTTGAAACAATTCAACGATAATATAACAGAATCTACTTATTCATTGTACTATAATATATCAAACATATTCAACAATCAAAATAATAAATTAATGTTATCAGAGAACACCCATAGCCACATACGAACACATTACCGCAATTGTAAAATATTTTAAATAAGGATCTTAATTGTGTTTTTAGTCATTTTTTTCTTATTCCCACTGAATTTTAAATGATATAACAGAAACAAATTTACTTATTGTATCTTATAATTTTGTAGGTCACATTGTTTGGAAGTCATTTTTAATTTCAATTTGGTAGACAACAGTTATAATTATACAGGTTCAATTTTGAAGTGTACAGATAATAGATGTCAATAGTATCAATCATAGACATAACAAGACCACAAACTTTTTGGGGGTTATTCGTCGAGACAATGTATTTTTACTCATAAATTCTATTTGCAACACTTATAATAAGTAACTACATACTTCATTTACAATTTCATACAAATGCATTGCTTAAAAATTAAAATATCGATAAAACTCATAAAAACATGTTAACACAAACAATATTCTCCTTACCTTTAAGTTTGATGATGGGTCAATGTATTCCAATATTAAAATCAACGGCACAAATAAGTCAATATATAAACACAACATTCACCGTAATATAAACACACATTATGTTGTAACTGGATTTGTTGAAGTTATAATTTATAAAACATATATGTTGGCTGCGCACGATATTTAATTATTGACTGATTTTGTGTTTGGAACGCTAATTAGAACGGCAACAAACATTAAAAATTTCATAAGTTTTAATTTGGGGAGTAGTGGCGAATTATTCACACGCCGCGCGTCTTATCACCATATCGCCTTATCAATTGAATATCTTTTATGTTACCACAAAGTTCCTTTGATCAGTATATTCTCCTCCAAATCAAAAGTGATTTTACTTGTCAATGGATTCCAACACAATGTATTTTAAATAAAGTATTATTTATGGAATTTTTATTGCCATTTGAAAATCAAAAGTAGGTATTGGTTTTGCCCATAAAAATAAGGGTGACAAAAAAAATAACATACATTTAATATTGTATTCTCCGAGATAATGAGTGTTTTATGATAAATTGATATCATGTCCTATAGACCGATTATTATTATACAATATACATATTAATATTTTTTGTTGTTTTGGAAAATATATGTGTTAAAAGTATGTAACTATAGATAACACCATAGATATCTCTTTTCTATGTTAACACCGACTTTTTTAACACATCATTTTTTAAAACTTTTCCTCTATACCGTGTCCATTCAATCATATTATTTTTTTTACTAACCTTTATTGTACTATTTGTCTATTTTACATTGCTTCTTGATCGTTTGTTTATTTATTAGTAGGTTTTTTCATAACAATAATATTTAGATAAGCCTTGCAGCAATTGCATCGTGATTGGATGTGGTACAAAATACATCGATAAACACACTGTACGACATCATTTTCCGTTTACTAGACCCTTTTAATGTGTCTATTAGTGACTTGGTTGATTTAAAATTTGTTGAAGAAGAAAATCTCTGTTCAATTAAGAATGATCGAACATTACATTTGAAATTCAAAGAGATCACTCTCAATAAATTCTGGATATATGTTTCTGAAGAATATCCAGAGATATCTATAAAAGCACTGACTATTCTTTTGCTGTTCTCAACCTCATATCTTTTTGAACAAGGGTTTCCAGTGCTTGCTAATATAAAAAATAAAAAACCGAGAAAAATTAAATTCAGTAGAGGCAGAAATGCGGGTATGTCTGTCAACTCTTCGTCCGAGAATTAAAAATATTTGTAACACTCATCAGACACACATTTCTCATTAAATGTACCTATGTATAAACTACGCTTTTTTTTGTAAATAAATTTAATAACTAATGGATTACTAATACAATGTAATTAGAATTAATAAATATTTGTTGGTTCATTTCTAATTAAATGCATTTACAATTATAATTAATTCAAAACAATTTTGTTCATCTAAAAAAAAGGTCAGTGTGCCATAAAATTTTTTTGTAGTTTACGGTGTGCCGTGTATAATACAAGTTTGAAAACCACTGTACTAAGATGTTTATTTTTTTAAATTATTTTTCTTCTTTATTCTAACCTGTAGACACATTTTTTCCTAGTAAACTTGCTCCGATTTCTAGCTGTAGCAACTTTTCTGAAACCTCNGCCATTTCCCAATGAATCGCTAGGAAAAACCACTGTAAAACAAAAAATAAATATAAATAATCAGATTTAATTTTCTATATTTATATTTACAAATATATATATGTATGAATGTATTCATATTTGCACCTTGATGCAAGAACAGTTGATGTCAACAAATAAATCTATTTCCAAAAATTTCATATTAAGCTAATAATTATTTTGATAGATACATATATTTATTTATTATTTGTTGACATTACACTAGATACATATTATATTAATTAAAATTATTAAAATATTGTTTGTAAACCATTATAGTTACTAAATTCTTTGAAAACTTACCTTTGATTGGAGCATCAAAGGATTTGACTACTGTAGTCATAACATTGGTGCCAAACACCCAAAATATATCATAGATGAATAGACCACATAAAATGATACAACCAATTTTAAATTTGTTCAGGTGTAATATTTCTATATGTTTTATAACTAATACTAAACCAAATATATTTTGTACAATCCAATGCTAGAATAAAAATAAAAACATCATAAAATAGCGTAATAAAACTAAATTTAATTATACAAAATACTTTGGTGAACAGGTAAAGTGATCCTAATGTTGCACATGACATAAAACATATAGCTTCATGTAATGTAAATTTGACATTTATCCAATAAAATTTGAATTTAAATTGGGTTTTAGGTAAGTTTTTCGGCAACACGGAAATGATCTGATTTCTAAAAACAAAAATTATACTTGTCTATCACATGCATATTATTGATATATTGTTAACATGCATGTATTCATAAAGAAATAATTCAATAAGGTATAGTTACCTTAAAAGATTATTTAAGGCTTGCACTCCATAAATATAGAAACATGAAGTTAGTAGTCCATTTATAAGTTTCATAGACAATACCTATATTTGGAAAATCAAATAATTTACTTTAGAAACCTATTAATTATATAATGTTAAATATATATTTATACTAATGGTTTGAAAAATACATTATTTTTCTTTGAATCTGTCACTACCAATCACCATAAACAAGGAATTCGTAAAACAATTAAATTTAAAAGACAAATAATTATAAATTGATCATTTAAACAAAAAAAAAAAAAAAAAGGAGAAATTTAAATATTACTTCAGGATCATAACGTTACAAGGTACCATGTAAAATAATGTTTAAATGACAATATGGAATTTATTGAAAAATTTAAACGTTTTGCGTTTTATTTTGGACTTTGGTAGTTGTTCTTTCTGTGATATATTCGGTTAACCACTGGCATATTTGACAGTAGTTAAAAATAATTTAATAAAATATATAATCAACCAATACTTAATGTAAATTTGATAAATATCTTAAATTTATACCTCGAGTAAAATGTATATGGTAAAAATAAATCCACTTTTTATTACTGGCAACATCATAGCATGTCTTTCTGTCAATAATTCGGGTATTTCTTTTTTCATCTAGAAACACAATTTTTAATACACATCAATACATTGTAATTAATTAATATTGAGTACTAACTTTCATATGTAAATGTAGTTTTACTGAACGGAAAGATCCTAAATATATGGACACCAACGCCATGAATATTACACTGATGTAGGATATTAACATTCCTTTTGTGGTGGTTGGAATTATTTTCAGTATTGAGTCTGTATTTGTATTATTTGATTCATCAAACGCTATAATTATATTATCCACAGTTTCGGACATGGTTATTGGGATATGAAATTAAATTTGAATCGCCACCAAATTTTTTATATGCATAAACAGTTATCTAAAATCCAAAAAGTGACATTTATCCACATCACAAAATTGCTACGAATAATCACTTAATACTTACTACCTATGTTCAATATTGGCGAAGAAAGCGTACAACTAATAATCTAAACGAAGTATAGGAATTCGTGACCTAGAGAAACTCATCCCCAAAACATATGATAGAAAACCCTGATAAGACTTGTGTATCTTTTTTCGGTCATGTTGTCACCTTGTTTCTGGACATAATTACGGTTAGTATTTGTCTAAAACCCTATAGATTAGATAATAGAAAAACTGTCATTTTTTTTCGTAATATTTGGTTATGATTCGGCGGCAAAATTATTAATTACGCAATTGTCTTCACTTTTTGTATGGAATCTGTCATAATTCATGAATTCGTTACAGGATTTAGAGTTTAAATGCTTTTATGGTTGATCTCTTGCTCTAACCATAACCTACCATTCCGGTGAAATGAAAGGACAACGAAAACAACAATACGCCTAAACAAAAGAAAAACTGGACATTTTTCTGACGATTCGTATACCGATAGATCTTCAAAACTATTTAAAACTTTATTAGAATTTATTGATTAAACTTGCTCAGTATAATTTCGGAAAACTAACTAAAACCATGTTGACTTAGGAGGATGATAAAGATACAAAGATGATATGACATAAGCGATTTATTCAGTGGATAACATTGTATAAGATCTAACATGATTTTTTTTTTTAAATTAAAAAACTTAAGATTAAAGAAATAATAATTTACAATATTATGATTAACATATCGTAGTAACCTATAAGTAGTTTAAAATGGGTAAGAAAAAAAAATAATAATAAGAAATTATTTGTATAGCTACACATATATTATAGTTAATATTTTTTTAAATACCAATAAAAAAAAAAAAAATCATATTTTCAACCA